GTTTTTGACAAAAAATCAGAGTGAGCTTTAGGTAAAAAAAATAAGAGATTTCTTTAGCTGAAGTGACTTGGTCACTTTTAAATAAGTTTTTAATGGGTTAATGGATAGGCAATGGATCCTATTCAAAACCTAAAATCAAGTACTTAAAATAGGGAAAATTTGTGATTAAGGCAAATTTAATTGAATGCTTTAACTTTTCAGAATAATCTCCTTTAGTAAACACTTGATGCCAAGAAGATGACATCAAAAAATCAGTTTTTAAAATACAGCTTCTTTGTAAAAAATTTCTTGGCTAAAAATAGAGAGATTATAGATTAGTAATATTATACCTATTTCTATTTCTATTATAGCTATTTCTATCATAGCTTTATTTCATAAGAAATCCTTTTTTCTGATGCAAAAAAAGTGAGCTGAATTTAAGCTGGAAAATAATCATTTTTCAAAAATCTCTAAAATTTTCAAGGAAAGCTGCACTCGTTTTTTTTTTTTTACGAGTAATTTCTTGGAGTCGACTTGTCGACGACGGAAATGTCGACGGAAATGATAGAACAAAAAGGAATGTTCTTGAATCGGTGGATTCGTTTTTAAGAAATTCCAGTCAAACTTTTTTTCGAGAACTTTCTTTCCAACCTAATAGGATAAATGGATAATACTTGTGATGAGTTTGCATTCACAAATGTAAATCATGGTTCAAGTGTAAATCATGGTTGATGAAGCGCTTAATGAAGCAAAAGCGAGCGGAAAATTGCGTGAACTGATCGGCAAAATGGATGAATTATGAATGATTTTTGACGAATCATGTGTGAACATTGTTTTACTTTACTGCTTTACTAGAAATATTTTGATAAAATGTAATTTCGAGGATAGCAAAATGAGGATTGAAGGAAGCGAAAATTGGAATCGGATAGGCCATTGATCTTGTGGTGACAAAATTGGAAATTTCATGAGAAAGAAAGGGAATGAAAGAAAGGGAATGAAAAGAGAGTGCGGTTCCAAAGATGGCCAAATGTGGGATGGGGGATCGGTTGAGATCTCCTGAGAAAGCAATGTCTCGATGTGGAGCGACGGGAAATGTGCAATATCCGTTCTCAAACCCCCCACTCACTCACATACGCACTTTCAGCCACGATTTGACTTTGAGTAGACTTTGAGTAGAAAGAGTTACTAATCCTTTAGCGACAGAGGTACTCTGGAAAATCACTTAAGCCTACGTTGACAAATTGCTGTAAATATTAGGCTAGCCGACTAGTTCGTATTTTTTTTATTAACGTTTATTAAAGTTCCTCTATAGTTCCTTTATAGTTCCTTTATAGTTCCTATTTAGTTCCTTTATAGTTCCTTTAGAGTTCCTATTTAGTTCCTTTAAAGTTCGTAACGTATTTTTTAAAGTTTTAATTTCTCAACCCCCGCACCATCAATCTTTGTGCAGAAAAGAGCTATTACTAATACTTTTCTGTCAAATCTTATTTGATGCTTTGATTTTGAATATCTCTGATTCTCTTGTCCTTGCTCTAAAGATAGTTTGTGTGATAAAAAAGGCACGGAGCTCACTTTGTATTCTTTTTCTTTGACTTTGAAACACTGAAACCAACGATTGATTCTATTTATTCGATTAGTGATTGTGCTAGATTTCGGAATGAAATATCTAAATAATCATTGGCCCATCGGTACAAATATCTAAATAATCATTGCCCCATCAGTACAAATATCTAAATAATCATTGGCCCATCGGTACAAATATCTAAATAATCATTGCCCCATCGGTACAAATATCTAAATAATCATTGGCCCATCGGTACAAATATCTAAATAATCATTGCCCCATCGGTACAAATATCTAAATAATCATTGCCCCATGCCTCATTGCTCTCACGCATTGCACATTTTGGTGCGCAGTCCGGGAACCGAAACGAGTGACCAAGCTGAGATTTCTGCAAGCGGTGATCGACCAAGAGTGCGAGCTGAAGTGTCTAGATGGGACAAGGAAAGCGAGGGTCACCGGTCAACTCGTCTACGTTCCAAACTACGGAAATCGATGGGTCACTGGAGACGCGACTTATTAACTTTTAAAGTCTTAATTTCTCAACCCCCCACCATCAATCTTTACGAAAATTTTATAATAACTTTTAATAAAAGTAGAAGGTTTTTTTTATTGCCAAAAAGATGAGGGTTTTCTTTCCCGTATTACTTTTTATAAAAATTTTAACAGTAACATAAAATCAATTTTTGTTTTCAACATAAAAACTACATATTAAATAAATGAGTGACCAAAAATTCATGTCAGAATTTTATTATGATTATTTCTAGCCAAATACTTTCGATAAATAAAGCTCATTTAAAGATTTTGCTTTTTTTTAGTTGTATTCAAAAGAAAGGTACTTTTTTTGAAAAACTAAAAGCTTTAAAACTATGAAAAATGGTTCCACCAGAAAAATTTCCCGTTTTTTTACTTGATTTTCTTTTTGGGTTTATCTTTTTATTCAAAAACTGGACTATGAAAAATTGGATTGAAGATAAGTGAAGATAAAGTTGGTTAGATGATTAGCATTGTTCCTCTTTATTAAATCCCTCCATGAACCTGGACTATGAAAAATTGGATTGAAGATAATTGAAGATAAAGTTGGTTAGATGATTAGCATTGTTCCTCTTTATTAAATCCCTCTATGAACCTGGACTATGAAAAATTGGATTGAAGATAAAGTTGGTTAGATGATTCGCATTGTTCTTTAAATCCCTCTAATAGCTATCAAATTATTCGTTGTGATAGAAATAGTGCTTATAAGAGTGACGGTGATGGGGTATTGCTTTCAATTCCCTCAAAAGGAGCCAGGTTTCATTAGATGACTGGTTAATCATCTAATGAAATCTTCGAAACTAGCCGCTCTCATATTTTGGCGAAAACTTTTTCCAACGATAGTTTTGATTTGTTGCAAAATTTTTAAGAAACATCTGCCTTGTGAAAGGTGAAGCCTTGAGAAATTACAACTTTAAAAGTTGAAAAGGAATTCTACAAACATATCGGTCAACCTAATACAAAATTTTTCGGATCCAAGGCTAACTCATTGAAAATACACAAGATTTTTCAATCCAATGCGAATTTTTTTCTCATTTAGTGTCTAGCAATTCGATTTACTTTAAAGAAAAAACATTAAACCAAAAAGAAATTAAAGATCAAAAGATTTGAAGATATTGAATGTAGCCATTGAGGAAAAAGAAACCCAAATTAGAGAAAGGGAGAGCCAAATGGAGAGATTCGTGGATTGGATCCGTTCAGGCGTGATTCCGCTCAACCGGGAGCATTGCAGAAAAAGGGGAATAAATGAAGAGATTGGAAAGGATTGCAAGAATGCGAACAACTCGAAAAGTCGATCCTGAGTTAGAGGAACAATGGCTCTGATCGAGTTTGTGAAGCATGAGAAACACTTTGACATAATCTTTATTTATTAGGCTTTCAAAGGAACTTTTCCGATGAGGGTAGACCAAAAGAAGACCAAACCAGAAGCTTTTAACCTTGCTTGGCTTGGCTTTACTGCAAGAAGACCTTGCTTTGCTTGGCTTTACTGCAAGAAGACCTTGCTTGACCCGAAGTCAGATCTGGATCTGCCTTCTGACTGGCCCTAGCTTCTGATTCTGAACTTCTGACAGACTCTAGATGACGGACTGTTCGTTTTGCACCTCTTCCAAGGCGACCAGAAACTGTGCCCAGAGTTTCATAACGTTGAATGGTTCGAGAAACAAGGCTTTTGGGGACATTCAGGCGCTTTGAGAGCTCGCTCGCCTGAACACGCTGCCGCTTGAGCTCAAGGATCGATTGTCGATGTCAATCGATGTGGAGACGCTTTCACCATTCCGGAAAACAATCATACTAGTGCATTGAAAGTTAGTAATCATACCATAAAATAAGAAAAGTACACAAAAACCATAAAAATAGGTAAGCAAAAAGTGAAATGGGGCTCATAACATAATACGACGTTGTTACGGTAATTCTTTGTCACCCTGTAGATAAGTCTAAAAGTAATAATATCTACAGAAATCATCTTTTCAATAATATTTACAGAAATTGCAACAAAGCTTATTATTTTCGTGTTGTTCGCAACTTTTTTTTCGTCGGGCTCAAAAGGCAATTTCTTTTTCATGACCTAATAAAATGAGTAATTTTTCAGACTGATCAAAAATGCATGATACAATGAAAGGCTCGATTTAAAAAGCTCAACCAAAAACTGTGAAAATGATGCTGTCAAATGTTTATGAAAATGTTTAAAGAGTATGAAAATGTTTAAAGAATTGTTTATCTGCGATTTTCCTTTCTTTTACCCGATTTCAGATTGTTTCATAAAGCTTTACCCTATCAAATCGTACTCTCAGGTGTAATGGTTGAAGTGTGGTTGATGCGGAGGAGATGATCGCTTTCTATTGGCGTCTACAAATGTCTACAAACGTCTACAAACGTCTACAAACGTCTACAAACGTCTACAAATGTCTACAAATGTCTACAAACGTCTACAAACGTCTACAAACGTCTACAAGTATCTACAAACGTCTACAAACGTCTACAAACGTCTACAAATACCTACAAACGTCTACAAATGTCTACAAACGTCTACAAACGTCTACAAACGTCTACAAACGTCTACAAATGTCTACAAACGTCTACAAACGTCTACAAACGTCTACAAACGTCTACAAGTATCTACAAACGTCTACAAATGTCTACAAACGTCTACAAACGTCTACAAACGTCTACAAACGTCTACAAATATCTACAAACGTCTACAAATGTCTACAAACGTCTACAAATATCTACAAACGTCTACAAATGTCTACAAACGTCTACAAATGTCTACAAACGTTTTCTTGGCGACCGTCGTCTACTTTATTGCGGTTTGTTTTATTTGTGATTTGATTTAAACACAAAAAAAAAACATTTATTATTACAATCTTTCAAAAAAGATAGTTTATTTGAATTTCAATACCTCAAAAATGTGGCATAAAATTGGCTAGAAGTTGCTCGTTGAGCCATGACAGCGTACTTGAGTGGAGACCACCTGAAACGATCATAATTTCGATCATCATTCAATCATAACCTGCTTTATGAATCTATTTTAGAATTTCTATAGCTTTAAACAATATTTTATGCATATATATTTCGAGTTTTCTATAGGTTTGAAGAAAGCTTTACCTCAGGAAGACTCTCGACAATCGACTTCACATCGTTGATCACTTTCCCACACTCATCCTGTTCGATGTCATGGAGTTGAATCTTTGCACCAAAATCTCCGTTCACATTTAACGCCTAAACTTGCTTTGTAGCTTTGTATTGTAGCTAGAAAAGCTGAATCATATAAAATATGTCAATTTTTTTTAAAATACCGAATAGGTTGACTTGATTTCCTCGATTTCTTCAACTTCCCCATTTGTTGCCGCTTTCATCTAAAGATTTTGTGTTTTAACTTTTTCAAACTTCTAAGTAAACTCACTAATTCTTCCAAGTGCTCTAAATAGTCGTCTTTTTTCTCTTCAGAATATTTAAGTTTGGTTCGAAGGACGATTTCGGCATCTTCTAAAGAAAGAGATTACTTTTTTCTGTTTCTAAAAATTTTTGCTCAGTTTATCTAGTCAAGAATATGGAGGTTTATCTAGGCAGTTTATCTAGGCAAGAATATATTTAGTACTCTTGCTTTAGTGCAAACTTGTTATGATTGTGTAAACTGGTGAGCGAAAGGGATTATTCAGATATCAGATATCAGATTTCCCGAACAACTCCAACCAGTGATTTCCCGAACAACTTACCGTTTGTACTGCGGCGACGGCGGGTCATTGTTGTAGTTGTTTCTGGAGCACAAGCCTAAATAAAATGGAAATCCTTTACATTGAAGTTGACAATGATTTATCTATTAGTAAAAATAACGAACCTCAACAGCTACAAGAGCGACAAAAGCAATCAAAACGCCAAGGGTTTTCATGTCAGGAAATGTTTTGAGAATCCATTTTAGACTCGCTTTTATACCGATTTTTAAGAAAATTCTTTCAATATTGAGCCAAATGTCGTTGTAAACAATAGAAAAAAAGCGATTTTTGACAAAAGCTCGTCTTTTTATGAATGAACAGATCCATTCGTTGAAATGGGCCCATCAAACTATTGTGAGTCAGAAGAATCATGTTAAAGGAGGAAAAAAAGAAACGAGTGAAAGAAAAAGGGAAATAATCTGTAAGAATTTCTTGAGCTTTCAAAATTCTGTTTTAGATTTTAGATTTAGAGCTTATTCAGCGAAAAATTCGAATGATCGAAGGAAGCGGGTAATCGACAGAAATTTGGTAGCGCTTTCATACTTAAAACTTTGTCCAAATTAGCATAGAATTTAAAGATTTCCTCGGCAAATGAATATTCTCTCACCTCATCAGACAATCTCTGTAAAGAAATATTCTTTGCGTCCTTGGTACTCTTCACTTGAGTGTGTTGAGTGAAGAGTAGTTGGCACTCTTCTAGTTGGTACGTCTTGAGTAAAGAATAGTTGGTACTCTTCTATTTGGTGCGTCTTGAGTGAAGAGTACCAACCACTCTTCACTCCACCAAACTATTGTGAGTCAGAAGAATGATGTTAAAGAGGGGAAAAAGAGAAGCGAGTGAAAGAAAAAGGGAAATAATCTGTAAGCATTTCTTGGCTTTCAAAATTCTGTTTTAGATTTTAGATTTAGAGTTGGTTCAAGCTTTTCATATTCAGCTCTGTTCTGTCAAATAGGTGCCAAAATTGAAAATTTTCCCAGCAAACGGCATCGAATTGGCGCTATTCAGCTGAAAAATTCGAATGATCGAAGGAAGCGGGTCATCGACAGAAATTTGGTAGTGCTTTCACACTTAAAACTTTGTCCAAAATAGGCATAAGATTTAAAGATTTCCTCGGCACATGAATATTCTCTCATCTCATCAGGCAATCTCTGTAAAAAAATATTCTTTGCGTGCTCTTTACTTGGTACTCTTCACTTGAGTGTCTTGAGTGAAGGTAGATATAATAGTTATAAAAGTTATAAGTTTTTAGTGAAAACGATTTATAAACTTATATTGTCAAGTAAACGAGTGTGATTATGAGCTGCCGAATGGTTTGGCGAGGCTTTTCAATTGGACAAAAGCAATAGACACAATTTATCTCAAATAAAGACTTGAGCAAATCTGTGCAAATATTAACATCATATACAAGTATTTTCGTTTAAAAATTACACAAATCCGTATCACAATAGCAATTGATCAATTTGGGCTCTAACATTTGAATGCCGAAATTCGTCTCGCAGCCGATCTCGGTGTCCATCACAACGGGCACACAAGCTCGCTCAAAATGGATTAGCTCTAGAAAATTGGATTTTATTAATTAGATTTTTATTGATTGATTGATTGTCTATTATCAAATTGATTATCTATTATCTAAAGCAATTCATAGACTAAAGCAAAGTCAAAATCAAGGTTTTACTTTATAAATCGTAAATTACTTAACTTTATGAATTCCTAAGGTGAACTCAAGTTAGCAAAAGTTTCAAAAAAAGTTTTTATCCAGCCCTCAAATAGTTTAAAGTACGATTTAAACGCTTTAAACGAGTACGATTTAAACAACAAAATTCAAGTCTTTTAGTTTTTCTCTGAAAATCACTAGAGTCTGTTGTTAGATTGTGTTCCAGCTATTCAAAAGGATCTCTTCAAATAAAAAAGAAAAGACATTAATTAATTTATCAACAGGACAATTCTTATATTTATCTCAATTAATTTGTAGCTTTTTATTAACGCTAAAAGAACAACAAGAAAAATTTGAGAATAACAATATAACTGTTGAAACTAAAACTATTAATGCAGAACATTTATTTGTAATACTTCTTCAATACTATAATACTTCTTCATTTACTTCATTTACTTCATTTACTTACTTCTATCAACTATTCAATTATTACAAGGTTTAATAAAAGTCAAATTTCTTGGCTAAACCAATCTAGCCAATAATGCTAAAATTTCAAATGACTCAAGCAAAATCACTCACGATCTCCTGGCATCCACGTGGCACTCTTCATGCACATTCCCTCACAAGGGACAGTCGTCACTTGAAGAGGGAAATTCTGTTGGAAATGAAAAGTCGAATTGGCACAGGTTAGCGCGGAGACGATGGAGGGAGGGATGAGAGGAGAATCTGGAGGAGAACGAGTTGCATGTTCAGGCTGAATTGATAGTCTGAAAAGAAAGATCTTTCAAAAAGTTTCAGAACTTCAGGAGACAATTCTTTTTTGTATTAAGAGACTGTCCGTTGGTCGACAAAGGGAGATTTCTCTCATCTAACATCAAAAAAGAAAGAAAAGATTGGGCAAATTGAGAGAACGGCAAATTTGTTGAGGGTAAATAGGGAGAAAAGGAAAGGTGAGGAATTGGAAAATTTGGGTTTTTCGTTTTTCGAGAAATTTGGTAACATCGAGAAATATAAGGCTCCAGTTTTATCAAGTTTTTGAACGAAATGGAAGGATATACTATTGAATGCATGCATTTTACGGGCTTAATTTTACTAGGAGATGATTTATTTGATCATTTATCAATCAAAGAATTAACTCTTTAGCAGCTTTATTTCCAAAAAAGAATTCTAGCAAATTAATCCGTAAATTTCAAGTTTTTTGACACTAAAGAATGAGTATTTCAAAGAAAACTATAGAAATCTTTTCTTTAGACTTTGTTAAATTTAATTTTAATCTCATTCAAGCCACAGTTTGTCTTCATGAGCTTCTATTAGGTTGGTGGGAAAATAATCGAAATTTGGAGCCTCTAACTTCAAGTCCAAAACTAAAAAGCCAATAACAAATGAATTTATTCAAAGTAAAAACCATCAGCATCTATACACTGCTGCCAACGCGAAACAAGTTTAGCTAAAAGTTTAGTATCAATGACGCAAAAGGACTCTTAAAATCAAAGACAAAGTTTGAGTCTTGTTTATTTCGATTATTTTCCCAGCAACCAAATATAAATCAAAAGAAAATCTAAAAAAAGATTACAATAGTGTTCCAAACTCAAGCAAATCTAAAGAGACTACGATAGTGTTCCAAATTCAAATAAATCTAAAAAAAGATTACAATAGTCTTTCAAACTCAAACAAATCTAAAAGAAGACTACGATAGTGTTCCAAATTCAAATAAATCTAAAAAAAAGATTACAATAGTCTTTCAAACTCAAACAAATCTAAAAAAGATTACAATAGTTTTCCAAATTCAAACAAATCCATCTTTTCAAAAAACTTCTAATGAAAATAAACGAATCGAGCTTAGTTTTTTTTTTTTTTTGAGAAATCTTTACTTTTATAACTCTAGCTTGAATTTCCAAAACAAATCCAATTTAGCTTTCAAATTGTCAACTTCAAAAACAAGATCAATCTAGGAAAACAAGTTTGTAGAAAAACGTCAAAAAACTATCCAAAAAAAGCGTTTCGTTTACTCATTTGCTTGTTTTTTTCCCTTTTTTCCTTGCCAAATCATCAAATTTATCGAAAAATTTCAAATTTTCCCAATAAAATCAGAAAAATTCAGCGAAATATTATCAAAATATTTGCTTGAAAATAAGGAAAATGATCAGAAAACGAGGGATTTCATGGTGGTAAACATTTAAGGAAAATTTGATGATCACTAATTTTAGAATTCAACCGAAAGAGATTAAAAAGCTGCAAAACATAAAAGAATGGAGATTAGATTTCGATAAAAATCTTTGTGGTTTAATAATTTTTGAGACATTCAGCATGCCAGAGGAGACATGAGGCAAAGTATTCCCACGGAGGTTCACAGCAATCGTTTGGATCTGGAAAATGTTGGATTTTGAATCTATTGGGTTGGTGAATTGGAAACTGCCGGCTATTGTCCTATGTGACAGTTTGAGCACTTTCTTCAAAAGAAACCCATTTTGGTGTCAATGGAAAAGTTGTAGAGAATCAAAAACCAAGCTTATATCCAAATTTTCAGAAACGATTCAAAAACTGGTTTTCAAGAAATGCGAAATTTACGAATTTTCACAAAACTTGCATTTTAAGCGAAACTACTAAGTGTATCTTTTTGGAAATTTGGCTATAAGCCTCATTTTTCATTCTCTACAACTTTTCTATTGACACCAAAATGGGTTTCTTTTGAAGAAAATGCTCAAACTGAGACATCTCCAGTCCTCGATCTTTGAGTCTCACACACAAACCAAAATCTTACTACGAAAGAGGAATCCGCAAATTGCCTGAAGTCGTCAATAATAATGGAAATTATTTGGAATGAATTTATGGTTGTATGTTGAATAAATTTTAGTTCAAAGTCCCGCAGTTTTCAATTCACCAACCCAATAGTTCTAGTTCTAGTTCTAGTCCTTGAACCCTAAATTTCAAGGCCAGAAAGAGTACTTTTCCAAGGAAATCTTTTAGAAAATGCTAAAAAAGTTTATCTTCAGCTTTTAGGTGTCACGAAGATTGGGCAAAAGTCGTCAATAATAATGGCAATTATTTGGAATGAATTCATGGTTTTATGTTGAATAAATTTTAGTTCAAAGTCTCGCGGTTTTCAATTCAGCAACTCAATAGAAATATCCAGAAAATGTTGGATTTGGATTTTGAATTGACTTTAGGAAATGAGTGAAAAGATTTGAGAAAATCGAAACACAAATGCAAATTACTATTGCTACAAAGTACAAAGAAACTACTAATTACAGATTACTATTACAAATTACTCTTGCACAGATTTGAGTGTCCAACTTTTGTTAGATAAAGACTGTAACTGTAATTTATCTAAAGGGCTAGATGATAGAAAAACGTTGAGAACACTTGAAAGTCGGCGGAAATACTTGCATTGACTTTAACTTGCTGTTGCTTTAAACCTACTTGATGTTTTAACTCCAAGACAGTACGAACACCACCGCAACGCGCCTTGTGATCGATAGGGTGGACCTTCTAAAAGAAGACAGAAAAGAAAAATGTTTAACTTTAGAAAATCTCTGGCATCTAGCCAGTGACTAATTCAAAAGCAAATGCAAAAAGTTAAAGCTACAAGAGCTGAAAGTTAAAGCTATAAGAGCTATAAACCAAAATTCGTCAGTTTTAGCCGTCAGCCATCAACTGTCATTAATTTCATTTCCAAATAAGTTAACCATTCCTACTTGGTCGTTCGGTTTGCTGAAAATCGAGGATGCCCTTTGATGTGATGAATTCAAGAATAGAGAAAAGAATAAAAAAGAAAATCAATGACTTTCGTGACATTTTTTGTGTGTGTAAAGATAGAAATGATGAAAAAGAGCTGAAATCTTAAACCTGTGTTTATTTTTTTCGGCCACTAAGTGCAAGTGAAAATAGTTTACAAAAAATAAAGCAGCAAGAACCTTGAATTTTTGTCGATTTTTCAATTCCTGCACTTTTATCAGTAGCTTGTAAATAACATTTCGGGAATCAACAAAAATTTTGCGTGAAAATCTTTATGTTTTTTTTTTTGTGAATCGTAATGATTCAAGATTCTTATGCAGTAAACAGAAGTAAAGAGAAGTAAATAGAAGCTTACGATCGGCAAGCTTACGATTCTTATCGATAATCACAATTAGTAGAGTGTGTTCCTCACAAGTAATGCATTTTTTAAAAAAGCACACTTGGGAAAAAATTATTGCAAAAAAATGGGGGTGGGACAAATGCAACCTTTTTTTGCGCACCTGGACATTTGCGCACCTTTTTTTTTGCTGGAAAAGGCCTTAGGAAAGGTCGTAGAGCTTCAAAAATTTTTCCATAAAAGGGAATCGTATGCGTAGATTCCGAATTTCGACAAATCACACCTCGCTGACACGTCAAATTTGGGCTAAAAGGCAAAAACTACGCAACTTAACGCTTTTCCGCAGTTTTTGCCTTTTAGCCCAAATTTGACGTGTCAGCGAGGTGTGATTTGTCGAAATTCGGAATCTACGCATACGATTCCCTTCTATGAAAACATTTTTGAAGCTCTACGACCTTTCCTAAGGCCTTTTCCAGCAAAAAAAGGTGCGCAAATGTCCAGGTGCGCAAAAAAAGGTCGCATTTGTCCCAACCCCCAAAAAAATGAAGCAAAAATCACGAGCCTCGCATTATATATGACACTTTTTAAAGATACTCAGCCGTTTAACGGATTTGGTGGAAAATCACCTTCCAATGTAAAAACTGATTTTTTTTTTTGAAAAACCTGGGGATAGGCTACTTTGGGTCAAATTTTGGCGCAACTAGGTCTTTTGCCCAAATTGCCATAACTTTCCTCGAAGTTCGCCAATCTTTATGATGTTGGTTTCATTTTTTTTGCACTTATTGATATCTACAAAATGAAACCAAAATCATAAAGATTGGTTCACTTAAAAGAAAGTTTTGGCGAGTTGCGCAAACGACCCTGTTGCGCAAATAAAATGGCGGAAATTAGCCTACCCCAAAACCTGCGCAAAAAAATTGCTTTTATATTTTTTTCGCGCAGGCGCACTTTTTAGAAAACGCATTACTAGCTACTACTCGAGCTACTACTCGAGCTATTACTGGAGCTATTACTGGAGCTATTACTCGAGCTTTTACTCGAGCTTTTACTCGAGCTTTTACTCGAGCTATTACTCGAGCTAAAAAATCAATCATGCAAATTTACTCGAGTAATTACTTACTCAGGAGGAGGAACACACTCTAACAATTAGCATGAAATGAATGATTGAATTAGAACCATTTATTGATACAACGAATCGTTTCATTGGTCATGAATTTGATCTTTTCGTCGAAAGCATCCACAAATGATGGATTATCTGGAATAAAGAGCTTTAGAAATATTGGAAAAACTTTATCGTTTTCCCCAAAGGTGGCTAGTTTTTAAAGTTACCGTAATCTTTTCTTTCAATCTTTTTATTTACTTATGATCCTTGATGAGGAATCAAACTGGGAAAAGAATTTGATCAAAAATTCCGTATAACTGACAAAATCTAAAAGCAATCTTAGAGAGGTTTCCAAAAAAAAACGTTTTAGAAAAAAAAAAGGCAATATTGTAATCATGAAACTATAGAAATTTCATTGAAGTTTCTTTTTGGCGGTTTTTTGATATCGATTTGTTTTTCATTTAAAACTGACTGATATTTGTGCCTAAAAGCTGCTCTTTCGATGTCGTATACCAGGGCATCAACACCATTATACAATACGTAGTTTGTGTTTTAGTTTTTTTTTTTTTTTGTTCTATTTTGCTTGTTATATCTCTGTAAAGCAATGCTTAAATTTCCCCTTTCGTCAGAATTGCATTTGTTTTTCATTTAAAACTGACTGATATATGTGCCTAAAAGCTGCTCTTTCGCTGTCGTATACCAGGGCATCAACACCATTATACAATACGTATATGAAACTTCATATTGTTGAATGAACTAAAAATTTTGAGTTGAAAAGATGAAAAGACAAACAAAAGAAGTTACATTTTCGAGATTCGACCACGGCATGGGCAGGTTGGTGACGGATTGCTTGAGATTATCATAGTAGTAGTGGAGGTAGTCGTTTTTTCTGAAAAAAATTATATGAAAGATCTGTGGAAGATTATCTATTCTTTAGTTAAAGGTATTAGAAAGTTGTCGTAAAATTCGTTTTTATCAAGTTTTTATGTGTGTTTTCATCAAACACTTTCAATCTTTCGCATCTTGTACCATCTTGTAGTTCTTCGATGAACCAACCACAATTTACCCGTTATTTACTTCAAACCAACGGGTTATTTGACACGAATTCGATAACGAGGATAAAATGTGCAAGGATTTAAGCAAAATTGGAGATTTCTTCAAAACAGAAGCAACAATTCAAATGATTTCATTTTTTGTTTTAAAACACTGAGGAAATGGGGGTAGTCTGCGCAACTGGGTCGTTTGCGCTGGGCTTCTGGGCTCGCCATAACTTTCTTCTAAGTCGGCCAATCTTTATGATGTTGGTTTCATTTTGTTGCACTTATTGAGATCTACAAAATGGCAACAAAATCATGAAGATTGGTTGACTTAGAAGAAAGTTATGGTAGATCTCAATAAGTGCAAAAAAAAAATGACACCAAAATCATAAAGATTGGCCGACTTAAAAGAAAGTTATGGCGAGTTGCGCAAAAAAAAATTCCGGAAATTAGACTACCCCAGGAAATGAACAAAATATTGAAGAGAAAAAGGGATTTTAGGTGAGACAACAATTGAGCCAGTCTTTAGTACTTTTTCGTAGTCGTACTTTTCTTACTTCGGAACTTTGGAACTACTTTTAAATAGAAATTTGTAAACTTGAATGTAAATAGCTAAATATTTAACAGTTTTAGAAAACAAACTTTTTCGGATATGTTTCCGGTGAGAGAGCACTGTGCAAGAAGTAGACGAGATCCTCGGTGGGAGATCCCACATTCAGCAACTGCAAAAAAAGGGCTATAAAAAAAGGGCTTTGGTGTGCCGGAAAGTGAATTTTATAGATGTTTAAACCCAAAGTACACGTAGAAATGTTTACTCGATAGTTTTTTTACAGTTTTTAGCAAGATTAAGTCTAATTTCATTTCATGAAGTCTAATCTCATTTCATAAAGTCTAATTTCATTTCATGAAGTCTAATTTCATTTCATTATCAATTTCCACAAAAATTTCATTAACAAAAAAACAAATCTCTTGAGCTTTTTATCTAAAGAAATGGTAAAATTTTGAATTCAGAACTGTAACTACTGTATCAGAAAGCACTTTTTTAAAAATGGTTTAGGCTTTTAAGCACTTTTTTCAGTGAAGAACGTTTCAATGATGTGCAATGATGACTTGAAAGTGGCTGGGGTTTTTGGCTAATCAAATTGCCTGAGCAAAACGAATGCCTAGAATTTGCCTAGCTGTAAGTTCTGTCGTAGATGTGGCTAAATCTTGCCCAAATTACTCTACCAATTACCCCACCCAATCACCTATTCTTGCCTACCTGCCAGTCGAGAATCGCGGCGAGATCAACGCTTCCGTTCACGTTTCTTTGCCACAAAACGTTCGGCGTCCACATGTCACCATGGCAAAGAACTTGTCGATCGCCTAAAAGAATAATAAAAACTTTCAAATAGATCCTCTTTACTTGTCGACTTTCTTAAATCCATAAATCTTTTGAAATCTCCAAAAATCAAATTAGTCTTTGCGAGCATTTTGTCGATTTGTGAGGTAAGCTTTGGGTAGAGATCTTTCATCGTATTTAAACGGCCATCGATTTTCTGAATTTCATCATTTATTATTCAGTAGATCAGTTTCATAAATCAAAAAAATTTCTAAAACACAGAAAAGCTACCGCAATCGTTCTTCCTTGTGCTAGCAAGGCATTCATCGCGGCGTTGTCCCACACTTTTAGAATGTCCGGGTTTTTCAGGGCTAAAAAAAAAACACTTAGCTTAGTAAATGCTGTAAAAATATTGTTGCCTTTTCGTTTCCAAAAGTTTCCAAAACTTTCGATTCACTCACACGTGGCGGCGAGTTGAACGAGCTGATCGAGCACTTGCAGAACTCCATCATCGGGCACTTCCTGATAGATCTGCAACATCTCACCGACAACATATTCTTCTGCTAAGTAACCTAAATCATTTTTTGAAATTTCTTTTAAAAGCAAAACTCTTTTACCCATATTGATTCCATTTTCACCAAATTTCCGTCCACAATAGAAACCAGGAACTCGTAGATTTTTGGGCAAACCAAGCTCTGTTTTGTTTGTTTTGTTTGCCTCGAAAAATCTCAACTCTGTATCGTTCATCTAAAATTTTGTTTCAATTTTTTATTGAAAACTGAAATTACTAATGATTCTAGTGATGGTTCTGTTGAATTTTCAAGATTTAAATCCTGTTGAATGATTTTGATGATGGCTTGCTTTGGAAGAGATTGGAGATCATTCGGATCTTGTGATATCCATTCAAAAGTGATCAAAGCAAGCTTAGAGATGAAACCCTGAATTGAAATGAATGAATTTTTCAGTTTAACAAGTAAGTTATTGTAAAAGAATGTTTGTGAAGGCAAATTCTCGTCATTAAAGTTTCTTTTCCTACCGCTCCATCGCCGATCGGATGAGCCGTTGTAGTGGGGCCGAGTGTAGCCGTTGCGTTCAGTGATTTTTGTAGATCTTCTTGTAAAATCGCCCAAGTGAGTGGTGTGCCGAAAATCCCGTCACTTAGCCAACAATTGATCATTTTCTTAAATTTGTATTCTTAAACTGAAGCTGGAACTCTCATGACAACTCAGGATTCTAAAAATGATTGATCATTGTCTAAGTTTATGCTCTTTTATAAAATATAGAAAAGGCCGTCACTTAGCCAACAATTGGCCATTTTCTTAAATTTGTATTCTTAAACTGAAACTTGAACTCTCTTGACAACTCACGATCCTGAAAACGATTGATCATTGTCTAAGTTTGTGCTCTTTTATAAAATTTAAAACTAGAGCTCATTAAAACTAGAGCATCCCCAAAAAACGTACCAATGAAATTACTAATAATAAAAGTTTATTCATTGTTGAAAATAGTAAAGCTTAGTTCTCGTGAATGTTTAAAAATTTTCACACAAAAATCGTGTGTGCATTTTGATTGAAATTTCTCTTTTTCTAATCACAAAAGTAATCAGAAATTCGTTTTTAATTCAAGCTTTTGTTTTAAAAAAAAGAAAATAGATAATGGAGAAAGAAAATTGAGAATTTGAAAAGAAAAACAGTTGAAATTGAGAGAAGAGACAATTGATTTGATTGAAAAAGGGGAAAAGATTAGTCCTAATCCTTTCTTGAACTCAGAAATGTCCTCAACGAAAAGGTGTACTCAAAAGAAAGCCTTAAGAAAGCCTTTGCCTTTTTCAAGTTTCAAGTGTTTACAAATTTTTGAGCACAACGTTCATCATTGAACGTTCATTTTGTAAACGCTCACCGTCTGACGCACTAGTGAGAATGAGAAAAACAGAAACAGTAGCTATTTAAACAAAAACAGAAACAGTAGCTATTAGCCAACAGATTTAAAAGGATTTCAATCAAGATTTACTTGTGCTCACTGGATCCAACTCTTTAATCAATAAATATTTATACATGGCAACGAAAACTTGTACTGAGAATCAAGAAAATGATAAACGTTTGGTTATTCAGCCAATTGAGCAACAGCATAATCCCCAGTGACCATCCATTCGTATGAATCTTCGCCGAATTTCGCTTTCATTTTTGCCACAGTTTCCTCAGTGAGTCCAGGTGCTGTTTGAGCTTTCATCGCACGAAGAGCAAGAAGGGGACACGGTTTGAAGCCGCGGAGAGTTACCTCCAATTTGAATTAATAGAAAATTAATAGAATTAATAAAATTAATAAATTAATAGAAAACAGAGTAAGGCATAAAGCCCTACTATATCGGCCAGGAGATACGTGTCCGGTAGCGCGTTGGTAGAGCGTTCGCCCGGTAGGCGAGAAGCGAGAAGCGAGAAGCGCGGGTTCGAATCCCAGCCTTGACTACTTTTTGGATTCCCAGCTCCATAAAAGGATCAGTATGGGCCCCAATCAAGATATAACCACTATTCGTGACCTCAAGTTCTCAAGACGGCTCAGCTGGTTCAGTTTTTTCATTTCTTTCATTCTATTTCAGGCTTTCATGCTTTCAGGTGCTACCTTTTCCTTCGGCCCTTTTCCTTCGGTTATGCTAAACCTATCAAAAAAATTCATTTCAAAGTACCACAAATAGTGGCTTTAATCGCTTAAAATCTCAGCTTTATCCAACAAAAATTGTTTGAATGATCTTAAAATTTCGAAAAATTTACCTCAAATGGTGTTACATGAGGCCAATATCGATCACCGGTTAATTTGCGAAAATTGAGATCACCTTTAAAGATCAAAAGAGACGATTGCGAGAGATCTTTGTATAAAGCGGGAGCATGCTGAAAAAAAATGAAATAAATGAATCCATCAAAATTCGATTATATTAAATGTTTATTTTCGACTGCTCACTCACTTTTTCCATATTGTAAAAAGCGTAAGGAGTTGTCCAGAAATGGTCGGCTTTATAGGTGAAAGAGTTCTTGAAAATTTTCGATTAATCAACGAATCAACGTATAAGGAAAATGAGGAATAAGGAAAATTTACATTTTGAAGTCTTTGTTTCCACAAATCCCCAGCCCATTTCGAGTGTTGTTGATCGATTTTGGTGAGACGATCGAAAGTCCACACGAAATCCCGTTTTATTACATCCGAAACAAACCACGGGTATTCCTAAGAATCTATCAATGTTAATTTTCTAGTAAACTAGTGTCTCTAGATACGTCTAATGTCTCTACATCAATAGTGATCGTAAAAATAACCTAACTGAACTGAACTGGGTGAACTGACCTTTCCATGAAAGACGACTCGATCGGCCAACTTGTGAGCGAGAAGGAATTCACCGATCATCAAATCGCCCATCAACTCGAAACCAGCATTGTCGAGAATAATGTCAACTTGACGATTTCCTCTGAAACGATTTCCTCTTTCCTCTAGACTTTTAGTAAAGTTTTTGACATTAGCTAACATTAGCTAAAAATCAACACTCACTTTAAGTTCATTAAATGATCAGCGACTTTCTCGAAGTGATCCACTAAGAGATACTCGTCTCGAGCTGCCGCCGATTCCACTGGAGACTTTGCCTAGATTTTTGAAATCCAACAATTCAACTAGTTTAGATTATTATTAAATAAAAATTGTGATTATTTGCGAACTTATTTATTTATTTTTTACTCACTTGTTGCGATTTTTCTCCACCGGAAAGCGAGAGATCGGCTTTATTTCCCCAGAGTGAGATCTAGATTTTAATCACTTTGCAAATCTCAAATCTATTTACCTTTTTTAGCTAATAAAGGTTTTTATTGAAAAATTAGTCATTCACACCTTGAGCAAAGTGATCAATTCCGATCGAATCTCCTCGTGTGTTTCTTTCTTTTGGCATTTCTCGTGTAAAAACTCCAGCAACTCTTTCGTTTGCTCAATGCTAAAACGATTAGAGTTCTTGGTTTTTGATTTTCTTTTAAAATCTTGATTCTCTTTTAAAATCGAATTTCCTCAAAACCCACTGATCTTCTAAGCTCTCATCTTTCTGTTCAGCAAACCAATCATAGTCTCTCAAGAGTTTCGTCTTTTGCACGGCACTGTAAACTTTCCGATAGAGGTAACACTCGACGAAAAGCCAATCGTGTTTGAACCAAGTGAAACGTTGCTCATCCTGAACAGAATTCATGTTTTAGGAATAAAGTAAAGAATCGAAATGGCAAAGAATCGAACCATCAACCTTCTGCTTACCGGGTAAATGCCCTCCCACTGAGCCATCGGCACCAGAAAAAATGGGGAAAGACAAGGAAGAAGAAGAGGGAAATACCCGGATTTTCAGAACCTTGGGAATGTCACAGACGAGATATATTTTGACTGATTTTATTAAAGTAACCAGCCTTCCTGGCTGGATGTTTTGGGGCTAACGCATAGTTTGATCTCTCAAGTTAAAAGGGCCCCTCCTCTCCTGCGCCCCCTCCAAGACCTCCAAAACAATACTGGGATCTATATCTTAATCCTTTAAAGCAAAAAAAAATTTTGGAACGGGGGATTAGAGCAGTCGACACCCGACATCCCGGTTAGAGCAGTCGTTTTGTAGACGGGACGCCAACCACCTCGACGACTCCCCCAAGGGCAGCTGAATGTAAAAAGTGGCATGGCTAAGTGGTTTTTCTGATTTTTTTACGGGTTTTTGATGAAAAACTTGTTTTGTTTAATACTCAACCAAAAACTAAGTACCTATTCATTTTTAATTTCCTATCGATCAAAAAAAAGTTTGTCGAAATCGGCTCACGGGAAGCCGAGATCCAGAGTGTTAGGGACGGACAGACAGACGGACATTTCTCTTTTCTATATAGTAAATAACGCGAATACCTGTTCCCTGAAAGCTTCGCACATTTTATTCCACTCGTCAACATCATAAAAGTTGTCGTTAAGATTCTCAATAGGTTTATCAGTGCCCATTCTGTATCGCATTTCCGAGAGATCGTGAATAACAAGTTTTACATCAGCGTCAGCTTCCTGATAATATATATGTCGTAGCCGTTTACGAAATTCAGCCGTTAACGAATGATTCGTAAAGGGCTAGCCGCTAGCGAATGACATTTTTCGTTGGCCGCTAACGAATCGTTCGTAATCGGCTAGCCGTTAATGAATGATTCGTAAACGGCTAGCCGTTAACGAATCGTTCGTTAGCGGCTGAATTTCGTAAACGGCTACGACATATTTATATATAGATAAATATAAAATTTTGTTTGAGAATCTTTTTTTTGACCAAACCTCTCCATATTCCTTCATCAATTTTGGTCGATTTCGATGAAAATGATCGACGATTTTACCAAGAATTTTCGGCCATCTTTCCAAAGCAGTTGCATAGGCAAAAGAACTAAAAAAGATTTGAATAGGAAATGTTCTTTTCTTCGGGTTGATTCTTGTCTTCGTTTGTTTCAGTTTGGCTAACTCGAACTCGAACTTGATTAGTTTTTGATTCGTACAAGGTGCAAAAAAGCTTTTAAACGAGAAATATATTAACTCTTTTCAGAGTTTGTAGTTGAAAAAGCTGTTTGTCTATATGTTTGTTAAAAAAAGAGTCTAATGCTGTCTAATGCTCAAATATAAAATGATTGTGAAAAATCTTTATCAGAGTTTGTAGTTGAAAAATCCGAGCCTGAGCCTGAGCCTAAGCCTGAGCCTAAGCCTGAGCCTGAGCCTAAGCCTAAGCCTGAGCCTAAGCCTGAGCCTGAGCCTAAGCCTAAGCCTGAGCCTAAGCCTAAAAGCCTGAGCCTGAGCCTAAGCCTAAGCCTTACCCGGGTTTCTCGCAAGTGATTTTTGGCGCTAGCGTTTCGATGCTTTCATTCATGGAGATGCTAAAATTTTGTAGACACGAAATCACGGGGAAATGCGGAATAAAGCGACGAGACGATAACATTGCAAAATATTGGTGAAATGGAATGGAAATAGAATGAAAATGAAGCTGAAAACAAGGCAAACGAGGCAAAAGAAAGTACAAGACCAAAAAAAATGGAGGGAGATGTGGTAAACAAGTTTTTCACCAAGAAAATAATTCAAAAGTGTAGGTTGTAGTCGGAAAGGGCAGATGGGAGGATAAAGGATGGATAAGGAAGAAAGTTACCGTAATCCTGACTTTTATATTCGGTGTTGAGGTGAGAGAAATGAAAGAAAAGGAAAAGGAAAAAGAAAAAGAAAAACCAATCTCTTTCTCCTCTCTTTCTCTTTTTTGATGAATTTTAAAAACAATTTTCGATAAACATTTCTTTTCTTTGTGTTATCGATCTTGGATCTTGAAGAAATTTACTCAAAATTCAAGAAATTTGACTTAACTTTGTTGATCAACTGTAAGAAATATATGTTTATGATATTGATCTATATAATCTCTTGTGAGACCGTGTCTCGGTGTGGTTCAATAGTGGTCTTCTTGTAAAAGGCACAATTTATCCAACTAACTTTCCCTTATTAGGGCAACTTCGCTCAAACTCTGAGCAATCTGGCACTATCACAAATGGTTCAACACTTGCATATGAAAAAAAGGGATGATAAAAAACAAAAAAAGGACAACAAAACTCACTCAAAAGCAAAGCTTAAATAACGGGTTTTTTTTAAGTATACATAGAAATAGAAAATAGAATAGAAAAATAGAAAAAAAGATCGAATTGTGCTTTCTGATTTGCAATTTTCTCTGTATCTGTTACATGGTTTAATTTCTTTTTAATTGAATATCTTTTCTTTAATTGATTTAATTGATACCAATTGATAGAAGTCGCGTTTATTTTTGGCTTTTTAACAAGAGGTGAAAGCCGGTTTTTATTTAAACAGGGAAGAGAAAGAAAAAAGTGAGAGAAAGGAAAGGAAGGAGAGAAAGGAAAGACTGAATAGACTTACGAAAAGGAAGCTTTTTGTGTTTTCGTTTTTTTTTGTTCCATTTTGCTTGTTATATCTCTGTAAAGTAATGCTTAAATTTCCCCTTTCGTCAGAATTGCATTCATATTTTCTTTTTTCTTTTTTTAAACCTTATTTTTTCAGGTCGATTCATCTATGCTTAAACGAATAAAAGCTCAAGTGACGCAAGTGGCGAATGAGGTGAGAATTTGTGAATTTCAGAACTGCTTTATATTAGTGGGATATTGTTGGACTGTTTAAAGTGTTTGTTTACATTTTCCGAGTGCAATCAATATCGATCACATTTGAGCGTTTCAGTTGCCCGATCTTTTGAATAATTCTGGACGAGAGGCGAGTAACGGCAAGAATTCTGCAGGTGGGGAAAAGAACTTTTCGAAATAATAAATGAAGATAAACTTTTTGGTGAAATTGATTTCAAATCTAGTTTCCAATCTAGTTTCCAATCTAGTTTCCAATCTAGTTTCCAATCTAGTTTCCAATCTAGTTTCCAATCTATTTCCAATCTAGTTTCCAAATCTAGTTTCCAATCTAGTTTTGACATTTTCCGCCACTTTACATAACGAATTTGCGTTTTAAAAGCCGGGAGAAATAAGTAAATAAAGAATCAAAGTTTCTTCAAAAGTTGAATACAAAATAATATTACTGAAAACATTACACTTATTCAGATAATTGTCGATGTTTTTTTCCCCGGGCTTAACACGCAAATTCGTTATGTTTCCCCCACAAAATCCTATCCTAAGCCTCGGCAAACACTTTACGTAAGAAAGAGTTCCAAACGATCGTCAAATCTTTGCACATACTTTAATGGTTGTTCGTAGAAATCGTTAGAAAACGGGGTTTTTGCGTAATTGATATGCAAATTTAAGTATTGAGTGTAAATTTGCCGAATTTATGGGAAAAATTCAGGTGAAATGCCGGGTGAATGTGAGGGTTTTCTTTGTCCAATGTGTATGACTCCATTCCCATCACCTGACGATTTGAGTTTACATTTTGAGAGAGCTCACACCTCGGACACTATGGTAAGACTTTTAAAAAAGACTTTCTATGTATTTCTATGTATTTCTATACAATTAAAGCACGAAAACTATTGAGTTTTTATAATAAACTTTAGCTAAAGAAGAAGATTTCTATAAAAGATCATTTAGCAACCGGTTACTTCACTGGAAAATCCGAATTTTCTGACTACCGACGATGTGTTGATAAATCGAAGAGGTAACAGAATTTTATCAAGATAAAGAAGAATGATTAATATATTGCTGATTAATATATTGCTTTCAAATATTTTTTTGCAGCTTCAACCACCTCATCAACCATTGGCTTCTCAACAAAAGAAGAAGAGATTCAAGAGTTGAAACATCAGTTAAAAGACGAGAAATGGTTCTCAGCGGAGTTGAAAAAGGTTTTGAATAAAGTCAAGATGATTGATTCGTTTAATTTGAGGAACTTGATCGAATACAAAGCATTTTTGCTCAATCGCAAGACGTTCCGAAAGAAGAAGTGCCATATTTGATGCAACAGATACAAATGTTGGAAGCGGGAAAAAGTATGGGTGAGTGAGCATCTTCAAAAAAAAAACACAACAAAACACTAACAAACTTAACAACTTAATGATGATAATAGTACGATAGGAGTTAAATGATTAAAACAGAATCATAAAACCTAACAAAAAGTTATGTAAATAATGTTATGTACAAAAAAGTACAATAACAATTAACAATAAGTTATATAACTAGGTAAACATAAGAAATTGTTTAGTAATTGTTTAAAATTTTGTTTTTTATCAATAGCTATTAAAAAGATTTGGTTAAATGGTTCAAGATGGAAAGGTTTAATTGCAAAACTCTTTCCACAAAGTCTTTATTTATAAAAGAGACTTTTAGAAGCTGTGTTTTTATGTTAATATTAAACATTTCTTTAATTAAGTCACTCAACGAATGCTTGAATTCGAGAAAGAAGGAAATCAGTACAAGCGGCAACTCGAGTACACTGTTCAAGAAAAGAAAGAGGTTTGTGGATCTAGGGAAATCGCTTGGCTTTCTCATCGCTGGTCCTCGTTTTTTTTTTTAAAGCACATCAATCATCAATCAGTTGATTAATCAACAACGAGAAATATTTGGTTTTGGGGAAAGCAAAAGTGGGGATTTCTAGATATGGGAACGATTGAAGACACTCACCGAGAAAATCCGGCAACTCACTGAAGAAAACGAAGAGAAAAAGGTTTGTAGGGAATGTGTTTTTGATTTTTTTTTTTATGTGAACTATTAGCAGGTCTATGTTTTGTTTTTTGAAAGTATTAGTGTTACTGTTTGCTGTACTCGAGATCTCTATCATTTTTGTTTGCTTTCTCGCATGAAGTGCACCCGTTTTGAGTGTAATTTGCGTGATATTCAGTTTTCAAAAAACAACTTTACTGATTTAGACAGAGAATGCGGTGATGTGCGAAGAGCTTTTGCGGGTGAAAGGAGCGATGGCCGATTTGGAAAAGGAATTGGACAAGTTGAGTCAGACACTCGATGAGGAGGTGGGGCTATTGGCAGAGATGGTTGGAAACTAAAGTTTTTGACTGGCTCTGACTGGCTTGACTGGCTTGAGCCGGCTCCTGACTGGCTTGAGCCGGCTCCTGACTGGCTTGAGCCGGCTCCTGACTGGCTTGAGCCGGCTCCTGACTGGCTTGAGCCGGCTCCTGACTGACTCACGAAATGTGAACAGCTTAGCCAGGTCGGAGCCCTTCATGACCTGGCCTAGCTTTAGCTTTATCTAGACTTGATCTAACTCATTAAAGTCTTCGAACATCCTAGTGCTATGGCTAAACTTAGCTTCTAACCTGTCCAAGCTCTTGGGCCGGCTCTTGAACTTGCATGGCATTGGAACTGGCATTGGAACAGTCTTAGATGTGTATAAATAAAAATACAATGTTTAATACGATACAAACTTCAATATAAATACAATGTTTGTAAAAATGACACTTTTTAATGACACTTCTAGACCCTCTGAAGACGATGTGACTGTGCTGAGGAAAGAATTGGTGCGCGCACAACAGTTAATGGATGAGATCAGTCTACATAAAGATGGAGAAATGAGACAACACTTGGATCAACTACGAGAATTGAGCACGGAAAGGGAAAAGTCGGCATTGATAGAGTATTCATTTCAAAGCACGAGTTTAGGTTGAAATTCGTCGTCAACGAGTTGCAGCGACAGATCAACGATTCGGGAGAGCAGAGCTCGAAGTGAGCTTTTCAAATTCAAGAAAAATATATTCCTTTATTATCTAGGCAAAACGAAGAATTTAGAAAATCCGAAGAAAGTTTTCAATTCAAAGCCCAGCTCGATTCATCGATGATCGAATTGGAAAATCACAAGCAAAAAGCCGCAAATCTCACAACAGAGCTTGAGGGGACGATTCAACTTTTGGCGGAGGCGGAGAAACGGTGAGAAATTGTTCTGAAAATGTTCTAAAAATGGCTTTAGAACAATTTTGATTAGAATATCTAATTTCAGAAACATTTCAATTGCGAAAGAGTTAGAAGAATCGAGGAAACGAGTTGATGAGGTTGAATTGAATTGAAATGTTTCCAAAACAAAAAGTTTTCAGCTGGAAATCGATTTAACGGCTAGTGGGAAAAGCGCTGATGATTTCAACGAATCAAATAAAACAAGCAGAAAGAAGATACAAGAATTGAAAGAGGAATTGAAAAAGGTTTTTCTAATGAGAATACGATTGACAAATGAATGATTGACAAATGAATTGATTTCAGTTTGATGAGGCCAAACAACAACTACAAGAACAACTCTCAGAAAAAGAAGAAAATGAGAAAAAGGTTGTTTATTTGAAAAAAGTCATCTTTTAGATACTTTCAGTATACTGTTTAAAAGTTTAAAAGTTATATTTAGGCATACTATAGGCATATTATAACACCTACCGTAAATACTGTAATAGTACCCCACCCCCTCGTACAGTCGGGTAGTCGCAAAAGTTTTTTTTAGTATTTCATTTTTTTTCAAAGCGCCCGTACTTTCAAAAAATGCGTCTTTGATATCAAAAAATAGCTGAAATTCAGGGCTATTTTTTGATACCTAAGCGAGCATTCTAGCTTAAACCAGTCTCGAGAAAAACTCGTTCAAAGCTAGACTACGCAACACTCCGCACCGTCATTACGGGGGTGGGGTACTATTACACTATTTACGGTAGGTAGATTGGCGAAAAGCAAGCCAAAGAGCTTGTGCTTGTAAGCGCATAAAGTACATACCGTAAATACTGCAATAATACCCCACCCCGTAATGAGTGTCGAGAAAAACTCGTTCAAAGCTAGACTACGCAACCTTCCGCACCGTCATTATGGCGATGGGGTACTATTACAGTATTTGCGGTATAGTATGCTTGATCATTTAGCTTGAACAAGTCAACAAAAATCTCGTCATCGACGTGACAACTTTGAGCGGAAAATTGGAGAATGAGAAACGAGGGAATCAAGAAAAAGTTGGACAGATATCAAAAAAAGAAAATTCGAGATTTAAGAATGAACAAATCAACAATCAACACCAGAAAATCTCGGAATTGAGTGATCAAGTGATCGATTTGCAGAAAGAATTGTGTAAGAAAGATGGTTGGTGAAAGAAATTAAAGATATTTCTTTCTTTTATATCGAATTTAGGCATTATTGACGTAAAGGTGGCCATCATTGAGACACAAACGCGAGAAATTGGCACACTAAAGGAAAACGCGAGTGATCTTTTGTCAAAGGTTTGTACGGGAAAAAGTGATTTGTACTTTTTTTTTATAGATTAAGCTAAGAATTATAGTAATTTATACACATTGTAAACTGTAACTGTAACTGTAATTTATAACTTTATAAACTGTAACTGTAATTTATACACATTTTAAACTTTAACTAAAGATCTTCTTCAGATCTCTGAGGGTGAAGGTGGGGCAAAAGTGGCGATCGATCAACTCAACGAAGAGAAGAAACGATTGCTGGAGGATATGAAAATGATAGGTGCGTTTAACACTGATACTGATTTATTTTTTTTCAAACGTTTCTGAATTCTGAAAACGTAATCTCTAGGTGATCTGCAAAAAGAGCAAAAAGCCGAGCTGGAGGAGAAGATTTTCACGTTGGAGAAAGAGTCGAGAGAGAAAGAGAAAGAAAAAGCTCAACTCGAGATGCAGAAAACTTTGATGGAAAACGATTTGAAACAAAAGTTGTCAATTGCTGAAGAAGAGATTATCAGAAAGGTTTACAGAAGAAAATGACATAAAGATCGAATGTTTTGTCTGTAGGCTGAGTGTTTTGTCGAAATGGAACGAGATCGAGATGATGAGAGGAAAAAGACGGGAGAGCATTTTAAACAAATCAAAGCTTTGTGTGCGGAGAAAGAGCTGAAGATTGAGGAAAATGTTCAAAAAAATGAAGAAGTGAGTTGGAAATAGGGCAGATCAAAAACTCCGTGCAGCGCCGGAACTCGAACCCGCGAACTTTCGCTTACGGGGCAACCGTGCTAACCACTACACCCCAACGTACTTGATCTCCCTTGCTCCAGAGGGAGTTAAATTCCCTCCTCTCTGGCCAAGAGATTCCACACGTCTCGATTTATAGGCCTGGGGTCCCAGTGCACTGGAAACTAGGTATGAAAACCTTAGCCAGCATTGCAGAGCCCATCCTTCTGTGGTCGCCAGTTGAAACTAGTGCAGATCAAAAAGTCGTGCACCGCCGGGACTCGAACCCGCGACCTTCCGCTTACCGGCCAACTGTTTACCAATCAGCTAAACCTATCCCAAATCCCGGTCACTCTGTCACACTACACCACAACGCACTTGACAGAGTTAACTCGCACTGACAGAGTAAACAAGAGTTAACTCCCCCTTACTCCAGAGGAAGTTAACTCACACTGACAGAGTTAACAAGAGTTAACTCCCCCTTACTCCAGATGGGGTTAACTCTTGTTATTTTAAAAATCTTTTTAGTTGAGTAAAGAAATCGGAATTTTGATGGACGATTTGAGGGAAAAGGAGAAGGCGCTGAATGATTCGAGATCACAAGTGAAGCAGAGCTTGGAGACATTGAAAGCAGCGGAGGAGAAAGCGAGGAAATTGGTGGGTGCAAAGAAACGAGTGCATATTGGGATAATAGTCAACATTACTATTCATAGGATTAAATCTATTTATTCACACGAATAATGTTGTACAAACAAGCACAACCCCTAACTAGTAAGCCCTAAATGTAGGGAAGAAAAAAAAGTCACATACATGCAGAAAAAAGAACCAATAAGCTAGCCGATGAGATTGAAGCTAGCCAATGAGATTGAAGCCTAAGCCTAAGCCTAAGATACCTCCTAGCCCGGCTCCTAGCCAGTCGGCCATGACGGCAGTCGGTGATTGTTCTGATACATTCGATATAAAGATCAGGTTAAGAATTGTCCTTGATTTAGTCTATAGCGAATAAAAATTTCTGGAATTACAGGAAGAAGAACTTTCTCAAATGGAGTCTGATCGTTTCTCTATACAGCAAAACGAAAGCGAACACGTGCGACAAAATGAGCAACTTCAGAAACAGTTGATGGAAAATGGAGAAAAGAATTTAAAGCTAGCAAATGAGTTGATCGGGTTGAAAGAGGAGAGTGAAAGGAAACAGGAAGCGATCGCAGAGATGACCACGGAGAGCACGAAAAATCGAGAACAACTCAAGAATGCATTGGATAAAGTTCAGCTACTTGTAAGTGCAGTGAAAGACGTAGAAAAGAATACAAGTAATTTTAGGGAAGACTCTCTAATGCAAACGCAGAAAGATTGCTCGTCATCAAAGGATATTGAAATGGAGTTGATTCGTCGTAATGATGAGCTACAAAAGGAATTCTCAATGTACAAAGAAAAAGCGGCTAAGGTTGGTAATAAAACAATTATTGCTATTGATTATTAGTCTTATCAAAGTTTAGATTTTCTTTTTAGTATTTCTTTCAGCTTTCCGAGGAGATACGCGAGAAAAGCGATTACTTGACGAGTTATGAAGCAGAAGTCGAAGAGATCAGAAAACATTCAGCGAATAAGGTATAGTAAATTCTTTTTTGTCAATTGTGATTTCATTTTTAGGTTGCTTTACTTGAAGAGCAAATTGAGGAGAATCTGGCAATGAATGATGAGTTGACACTCGTCACGAAAGAACTCACCGAAAGAAATGAGAAGTTGCAGAAAGAGAAATCCGGGATTGAGGTGGATTATTGAACTTTAGAAATGATAATAATGATTTAGAAATGATGATTAATGATAAACTTTAGACAAAACTTTCTCTGGAACTTCAAACCGTTGAAGAGCTTATGGCAAAAGTCGATCAAAATGAGCAAAATCTCTCAACGACAAGAGACGAATTACAAAAGAGGACAAAAAGTGAGGCATCGTTGAAGCAACAATTGGAATCGGTGAGAAAATTGTTGAAAGGAAAATGCTTATCAAATGTTTTGCAGTTACAATCGATTTACGAGCAATTGAATGGGCAATTGATTCAAGAGCGAAACGACTACACAAAGACGTTGAGCACAAAGCAAGAAGAAATTGTAAGTGAGAGATGAATTTTTGAAATTTGCATAACATTTTTTAATGGTTTAATTTACATTTTTGCTTCTTTAGTTAACAATTTTAGATCACTCTTCAACACCAATTGGATGAAGTGCAAGAGAACTTGTTGAAGCAATACGATAAAGCTGGAGAAGAGGCTACGGTAGTTAGATTTGAGATTAAATAGAAAAATATATAAAAAATGATTTAGTTAATTTATCTAATCAAATTTCTTTTAGATATGTCATCGAAAGATCGAAAGTCTTCAATCGGAGATTGGATTGAAAGAGTCGCAAATCGTTGAAGTGAAGGGAAAGCTGAATGATGCGAATTCGAAAAATGAAGGTATTCAGTTATTGCTTAACTTACTTTATTGCTTTATTGCTTTATTGCTTAACTTACTTTATTACTTTAGCTTAACTTACTTTATTGCTTAACTTACTTTATTGCTTTATTGCTTTATTGCTTAACTTACTTTACTTTTAGAGTTGAATAAACTGATCAACTCGTGGGAAGATGAGAAGAAAGCGCTCATTGAAAGGTTCGTACATTCTGAATATTCTTTAAATATATAAATATATATCTAAATCTTTACTTTAAATCTTTTTAGATGCTTAAATACGGAATCCGATTTGGATTTTGAACGAGAGCGGGCAACTGAGAATAAGAAACGATTCGATGATGCGTTGAGCGCAATGCACGAGTTGGGAAGAGCCAATCAATCATTACAAGTAACGAATAAATCATATCAAACAGAATAGAGGATGAATTTATTCTAAATTATTCTAATTTATTCTAATTTATTCTAAAATTTAGTGTTATTTATCTTTTATAAATCTTTTAGATGGATATGTCGAAGCAAAGCTCACGGAAATGGCTAGACGATAGTGAGGCGGTGAATTGCACGGCTTGTGGGAAAGTCTTCTCATTAACTGTTAGAAAGCATCATTGTCGGTGAGTAAATTGTAAAATTCTAGAAATTCTCAAGTTAAACGCAAATTGAATATGTTCTGTTTAGTGTTTGCGGTTTAATCTTTTGCTCAACATGCTCAAGTCACGCAGTAAAGTTGGCAAGTCACAAGAGTCCGGTGCGCTCGTGTGAGCCATGTTTCCAAGAGGTAAATGATTTAAATTAACTATAAGATTCGTCACTTTGAATAAAATAGTATTTTCAAAATGATTTACATAATCATTTTGATTTGCTTTATGATTGCTCTTCAATTTTCAAAGCTTTTTTGTCACTTACCGTAAATACGTAAATACCGTAAATACTGTAAATACGTAAATACCGTAAATACCGTAAATACGGTAAATACGTAAATACGGTAAATACGTAAATACGGTAAATACTGTAATAGTACCCCACCGCCCTCGTACAGTCGCGTAGTCGCAAAAGTTTTTTAGTATTTTTTTCAAAGCGCCCGTACTTTCAAAAAATGCGTCTTTGGTATCAAAAAATAGCCCTGAATTTCAGCTATTTTTTGATACCCAAGTGAGCATTGTAGCTTAAACCAGTGTCGAAAAAAACTCGTTCATAGCTAGCTAGACTACGCAACACTCCGCACCGTCATTACGGGGATGGGGTACTACTACAGTATTTACGGTAGGCTCAGCTCAGCTTTTTCAAACTTTTCATAAAGAAATCATAAAGTTTAAAGGTTTAAAAAGCTGAGTTAAGATTTAGAAATTGACACAATTTAAGAAATAATTAGTTGAGAAATTCCTAAATTTTATTTGATCACAAGCTTGGTCAAATTTGGTCAAAACACAAATTCACAAAAAACAAATTTCAGAGTTCGACTCGATAAACGTCTCTGTTGACTGAATATTGCCACAAATTTCACTTTAACAATGAAATGTGATTGAATTTTTTCTCTTTCTCAATAACTCAATAGCTTTTACCTCTAAATGACATTGATCTTTTGAAATCAGTTATCTCTTTGTAAAAAGCCACCAATCAATCAATTCGATTCCCTGCATTTCTAACCAGAAGTCAACCAGAAGTCAACCAGAAGTCAACTAGAAGTCAACTCCTTTAAATTAACCCAAAGAATTTAATTTATTTTCGAAAACTTGCCTAAAATCATTGATACTTGAAAGATTTTGTTTACCTGTGATCGCTTTTTTTTTTTAAAAAGCATAATTTATATGTGACTCTCTTATTCTCTTCTATAGGTGCCAAAGTTTTTTGTTACGGTTAATGTAATAAATAAAATATACTTAATATCTTCTATACATTAGATAATAATAATAATGATAAATAATGTCTAGTGTAGAGTGTTTTCCTCGCGAGTAAGTTAATGACTCGAATCAAATTTACATGAGTAATCTTTACTCGATTAATCAGCGTTTTTGGTCGAAGAAACTACGAGTAATCCTCTTTACACGTCGAGTAAATTGAATATCTTTACATTTGAAGGGAATTTGCCACCAAATCAGTTAAACGGCTGAGTATCTTTAAAAGGGGTCATTTAGAACGCGCCAATTTTTTAGATTAGAGAACTCTCTTAGAAGTATTATTAAAATTGAAATTTAGGGGGTGGCGTATGGTTTTGCACCGGGTGAATTTTCGTTTTTTTGGCTGTTGCATTTTCCCTATTCATGCCATGTCGATGATTTTTGGGGTTTAAGGGTTATTTTTGGTCCTGAATCTAACCACGTTTTCAATTTTTTTTGTCACTAGCACGGGAGCCGCAGAAAATTGAAATTTAAGGGGTGGCGTATGGTTTTGCACGGCACTGTAGAGTGTTTTCCACGCGAAGCTACTGTGAAGCTATAAATATGCCGCGGCCTGTAAATACTCGTAACTAGAGTATGTTCCTTGCGAGTAAGTAATTACTCGAATCAAATTCACATGAGTAATCTTTACTCGTTTAATCAGCGTTTTTTGGTCGAAGAAACTACGAGCAATCCTCTTTACACGTCGAGTAAATTGAATATCTTTATATTTGAAGGGAATTTGCCACCAAATCAGTCGAACGGTTGAATAACTTTAAAAGGAGTCGTATATAAGGCGGCGCTCGTGATTTTCCCGCCAATTTTTTTGCAATACTTCTCGCTAAAAGTACGGTAATTTTTCTTAAGCGCGCGCTTTAAAAAAGGCATTACTCGCGAGGAAAACACTATACACAATAGAAAATGAATCGAAAGTTTGCTGAGGTTTTAGTTTTAGCTGAAGTTTTAGCTCAACCTACTGACTAGAGAACTCTCTTAGAACTATTATTAAACTTGTCGCGTTTCACCGTTTCACCAATTTATCGATTCTATCGGAAATCTGACGAAAATCTTTTTGTTCGGTTCTATCGGAATTGCAAAAGTGGTGGCATTTTCTAAAACTAAAACCTCAGCAAACTTTCGATTCATTTTTTATTGTGTATAGAGTGTTTTCCTCTTCACTCATTAATGAAACTTCAAAACTTCGATCAATCTTCGCACCTTGCATTTTTCTTGATGAAATTGTTTTTTTAAGGCACTTGTACGGGTACAAATTGCAAAAAAAAAGTGATAAAAGAACTCTCGAGCACAGTCGAGCATGTGAGCTAAATTGAAGAATGAGTGAGCGTCGTTCCCGAAAAAGTGCTCAGGAATGGCGCCGGAACGGTGTCAAGTCAAGGTCATTTGAAATGACCGCTTGAAGAAAATAAATGGAATGACCACAAAAGCAAATTCGGAAGAATTGTGCTCATCCATTTGTGTCACTAATTTGTTCTTTTTTTAGAGGCAATCTAGTCTTTTTGGAAGAAAGTCGGTCAGTTGTTTGCATCTAAAAGTAAAACTTTTTGCTTTTCTCATTCTTATCAATAAATGGGCTTTTAATTAAACGATAACTAAGTTAAAGTTGCTAAATTTCTTGATAAACTTGTTTAAAACTAGTTACCGTAGATACTGTAATAGTACCCCACCGCCCTCGTACATTCGCGTAGTCGAAAAAGTTTTTCAGTATTTCATTTTTTTCAAAGCACCCGTACTTTCAAAAAATGCGTCTTTGGTATCAAAAAATAGCTGAAATTCAGGGCTATTTTTTGATACCCAAGCGAGCATTCTAGCTTAAACCAGTGTCGAGAAAAACTCGTTCAAAGCTAGACTACGCAACACTCCGCACCGTCATTACGGGGGTGGGGTACTATTACAGTATTTACGGTAGGTAGATTGGCGAAAAGCAAGCCAAAGAGCTTGTGCTTGTAAGCGCATAAAGTAAATACCATAAATACTGTAATAGTACCCCACCGCCCTCGTACAGTCGCGTAGTCGCAAAAGTTTTTCAGTATTTTTTTCAAAGCACCCGTACTTTCAAAAAATCCGTCTTTGGTATCAAAAAATAGCTGAAATTCAGGGCTATTTTTTGATACCTAAGCGAGCATTCTAGCTTAAACCAGTGTCGAGAAAAACTCGTTCAAAGCTAGACTACGCAACACTCCGCACCGTCATTACGGGGGTGGGGTACTATTACAGTATTAACGGTACCAGTCAGAATTGAAATTAGAAGAAAGCAAAACCGGCAATTTGGTGACTAAAAACGAGCTAATGCTTGAGCTTTGAGATTTGAAAAAAAAAGAGAACTAGTCCCATTCCTCTTCAAAGCAAATGCAACCTTAATTTCAAAAGAATGCTGCAACAGTATGTATTTGAAATGGAAAATCTATCCATTAGCTGCATTATTTCCTCTTTTTTCTCTTTATGGGAAACAATGACATTGAAGGAGGATTTCCCCAGGGGTGCGGTTCTTTTTCTCCTTTTCCAAAATCTTCAATTCAAGGTAATCTCTTCTCCATCAGACTTTCAATTTATCATAACTTCCGGCGATCTTGAAACTTTTCAACATAAATAATTGGCTCACGGCTCGGGTGATCGTTTTTCCGTTTTCCAGAAGGGTGCAAAGTTTTTTGCAAAAATCGCGTCAAACTACTGTAACTGGCAATGAGATTTGGCTGTCATTTTTCAATTTGAACACTTTTAATGTTACGCCCAAGTGTTGATGTTACTTTTTGTTCTATGTTCTATGCGGCTCATTTAGAGCAAGATCGGGAGCTGTATGAAATTGTATTTGAAGGGGAATCGAGCAATTCTATCATCAATTATCAATTTTCATCAATCAGTTTCTCTTTTTTTGTGTGTTTGTAGCAAGAATACGGCCAAATTAAGGCAATTTAAGGCAAAAATTTGAGGAATCGATTAGGGCTATTCATTTTGTTGAGTCCACCAATGAGAATTTGAACTTAATTGCTCTAAACTTTGAGATAAATTCGAAAACTTATTAGCTATTTTCGATTTCAAATAAGATAGTTTAGCCGGAAGGAAGCCTTTTTTAGCCTTTTTTAGCCTTTTTACTTACCTACAATAATCCAGATGAGAAAAATTCGAAATAAAATCCAAAATCCAAAACAGTTACCAAGTTTTAAACAGTTTTACTTACCTACAATAAACCAGATGATAAACTCGAAGCAAATCCAAAATCCAAAAAAGTTTCCTTTCTCAACGTCCCCCCCGATCTTACCCTGTTTTCCGTGCCAAGTCACGAAATTCCGACAACAAAAAAATGGGAAATCCGAGTGGAACGTTCATCTTTTAAATGACTCAGAATTGGGGAATTTCGACAATGAATGGAATGATAATGAATAACTTTTCCTCAAATTTATTTGTTGAGCAAGATTGAGAGAGATTTTATCAAATTTTTTATTGTTAAAAATGAGAATCAAGATCGGGAACTGGATGAAATTGTATTTGAAGGGGGGATCGAGCAATTCTATCATCAATTATCAATTGTTATTGTCAAAAAGTGACTCTTAAGATCGATTCGTATTCGTAGCTCGCATTGTGATGGAAGTTTGGTTCTGAACTTTTGCTTGCATAGCTTCTAGATTTCATTTTGTCACTTCTGGTTTTAGTCAGAGCTTTTCCTATTTAGAAATGTAAACTTGGTTTGGCTTTTGGATTTTACTGACTTTGAGGATCTAGCAAATGCAAACACAATCTGCCTGGCACACTACCACTTTCTGTTTCTTTCATTTCTGCTGTTGGAAATGGAAATCCAGTTTTTTCTACACTAAATACAGCAAAAAAAAAGCTAATTTTCTTAATAAACTATTTAAAAGCTTTAATTTATTAGATTTTTAATAAAAAAATCTCATATCTTTTTCATTGAACAACATTAAATTTGAATTTAAATGTCTCAAAATTTTCTCTAACAAACTCTCTAACAAACTCCCCAACAAACTCTCTAACAAACTCCCCAACAAACTCTCTAACAAACTCTCTAACAAACTCCCCAACAAACTCTCTAACAAACTCTCTAACAAACTCCCCAACAAACTCTCTAACAAACTCTCTAACAAACTCTCTAACAAACTCTAACGAACTCTCTAACGAACTCTCTAACAAACTCTCTAACAAACTCTCTAACAAACTCTCTAACAAACTCTAACGAACTCTCTAACAAACTCATCCAGGTCAAGACCACTAGAAATCTTAAAATCTCTCATTTATAACAAAAAAAAAGTCAGTCGAGATTTTCAGCGTTCTAATGTAGTTAAGTGGGATAACGATTTTCACAGTCCAACGAACTCTTAACTGGTTGATCTAGGTCAAAAAAAGAGACGCGTTATCAACTCAAAAAAAAAGTGTCACAGATTTTTTTCTTTTTTTAGCAATATTGAGACAATAAAATTGAAGAGATTTCATCGGGAAGTTTCTTTTTTTGAAAAGAAAAGAAAGAAATGAAACGATTTGGAGAGAAAAATCCCAGGATTTGACCTTAGCCTTACCCATTGAATGAATCCATCAATCTCACGGTCATTTAATCTTCATTTTTATGGCATAAACTCTGATTTTTTTTTTGTTTTTCAAAAAGAATTCTTATGAATATGTTGAATTTGTTGAATTTCTTTTTGTTTATCATTGAGTTGATACGTTTTTGAATACTTTAAACAATTGAAATCTATTTGAAAATTAAAATAAATCTTCAGATATTCGAAATGAAATTTCTCTTTTTCTTTACATTCATCTCGATCGTTTTTGGTTGTAAATTTGAGGGTTTACAACGTGGAAACGAGGAAACTTGGGTGAGTTTTATTGAGTTGAAAATTCATTTTACATTCTTATGAACACAAAAGCTATCTCTGGTAGTTGCTGCCATGACCGACTGACTAAAGAGCCATGGATCTTACTAGGGAGAGACTAACTAGGGAAAGGCACCAACTTAAGGTCGAGTTTAAGCCTATAGAATCGTACCCTGATAGAGTTTGAAACGGGAATCCGAATCCGTTTTTTTTTGGCTTCCCCTGTGAACCTCTCAATCACCAGATATTTAGCATCAAAGTTTTTGCATTGGAATTTAGAGCGCTCTCTAGCGAAGGGAAAGCACTCAAACAGTGGTGTCGAGGTAAAGCGACGGATTGGTGGTCAAACGATCATGGCTCCGATCCGGCTTGCCGAGTTTTTTTTTTTGCTTTTTTCTGTACACAGTATATAACCTTGTATTTTTTAAAATTATGGGACGATTTGGAAACTTGGGAAGCAAAAAAATCCAATAAATTTGGGGAAACCCTCTGAGAATGTTGTCTCTTTTAAAAATCGGGAAGTCTAAATCGTTGAGCATAACATAATTGAATCCCAAATCCTAAACTCGACCTTAAGTTGGCGCCTCTCTCTAGTTATTAAGGCTTCAATCCGGGCTAGATTATTTGTTTGAAAGACTGAAAAGCGATAGAAATCCTACGAGTGTACTTTGAGCCATGAAAACGCTTTCTTTCTTTCTTTCTTAATTTCTTTTAAAAGAGATTACGAATGTGTTAGAGAGTGTTCGTTTTAGACAAAAGAGCACAAAGTACGTTTAGTTCTTAAGAAATTGCTCTAATAGATGAAAACTATTACTTTCAGGTAGTTCGAAAGAGTTTCGTGATGAAATGCTTTATCAACAAGGACTCATCTTGGAGAACAGAGGTGATTGGATGTCAGAGTCCGTTGGGAGTCGAGATCCCACCAGAGGGATTCGTCAAAGAGAACGGAATGGTGAGATTTCGCTAAAAAACAAACATTGCTTTTGTTAAAGATAAAAACAAGTAGAACCTCAAGATCAAGATGATCTAGAGATAATTTTTGCAGAAATACTCGTGTCTTCGCGGGGTAAACGGTCATTTATCGTATCATAGTGAGATGGATCCGATCACTTTTTGCGATGGTCATCAATTGGGTTTGAAATATTGTCAAGTCTATGTTTTAAAGTGATTTAGGCGACACGTGGATTGTGAATAAAAACTTTAATCGTTCTTGCACGACGAAAGGTTCATTTATCTTGAATTGTATGACGGATTCGGGAACGAGAATCGAATTGAACGGACAATTAACAGAGCAGGGGACAGTCTACAAGTGAGTTTATCCAGCTATAGAAAGCTATTCAAATTGGGTACTTTTTATAGAAATGAACACTATAAACTAGAAAAATGATGACCTGTCACGCTACAAACGATTCTAACTTTCTTTAAATCTAGCGGATTTACATGATCTATAGCTCAAAAAATAGAGGAATTTCAAGAGCTTTTGAATGGATTAAAGCAAACCGAAAAATATCAATTCTAAAGAAAGTGACAGTGGTTTGTAGCCTGATTTGAAATAGACCTACTCACGCGTAGTCGAAGCTACAAACCACTGTCACTTTCTTTAGAATTGATATTTTTCGGTCTGCTTTAGTTCATTCAAAAGCCCTTGAGATTCCCTATGTCTTAAGCTATACATCATGTCAATTCGACAGATTTAAAGCAAGTTGGAAGTGCTTGTAGTACTCTACTGTTTCAGATGTACTCAAGATGCGACGGGAGCCATCTTCTTGCATCGAGCTCCATCCTCGAACGCTCCCAAACACCACCCATTTAAAGCTTTCCTCTTCAAAGAGACTTCCATGCAACCAACAACCACAACAATGCCTGCTTCAACGACTGAAGTGACAACAACTGAAGTGACAACAACTGCTGTGACAACTGATCCCGAGTTAACCACTTTTGATCCATCTGATCCGGCTGAGGTATTGTATTTTAAATGATATGCATTCTCAAACATTTTCACTTTAGGCCATCTTCACTCAAGCTCCAGCCACCGAAGCTGAGACAACTCCAATGGCCGATGAACAACCAACTCTCTTTCCACAAGTGACACAAATCCATCCCACTGAGCCAGGACCAGCTCCACCCGTTTCTTTACCCGTTTTCGATTCGAATGATCTCTCTTCAATGCCTCATCCACCATCGATTCGACCCAACAAACCGGAGGATGAAGGGCCAGCTGCTCCACCAGCCAGTCCACAAGAAGTAGGATCCAATTGAAACAAAGGGAATGACTCACAGTACTAGATACTCGACCGTAATTACTAGACTACTAGGTACTAGACTGTAATTACTAGACTACTAGATACTAGACTGTAATTACTAGACTACTAGATACTAGACTGTAATTACTAGACTGCTAGATACTAGACTGTAATTACAGTACTAGACTATGGTGTACTGTAATTCGTACTCACTATTGGCAAATTCGAAACAATTCTTACAATTGAAATTTCAGTTGCTCGTTTCCCCGGCGGAAATTCTTCATGAGCAAGCGTTTTCAACGGAAACCGTTCAGCCTGTGACAAGTCAACCAATTCATGTAAATATTTTTGAAATCATCAAAAAAGTTCATCAAAGTTTAGTAAGCTTTTTAGATAGTCCATCCTCCATCAATTAAGCCACCCCGTGGTTTTATGAGGCTACATAACAATGATGTTCAATGTGCCGAAGACGGAGTTGTGAGAGAAGCCGAAGAAACGTGAGGGTTGAACAAAAAAATCGTTTATAAACTGTAAACCTGTTCTAAAAGGGTTTAAATCTGAAAAATCAAGCATTTAGTTGGATTGCGGACGAGAAATTCCGAAAGGAGTGTACTTCGCAGGGTGCGATAATCGTTTTGGAGTGTTTAATCGACGAGGACACGACAATGCCTGTGAACAGCGATTTGAGAATCGGTGATAGAGTGAGTTTAATAGCTGTAGAACATTCTTATTTGTTTTATTGAAAGTACTACGTTCATTTGCATACTAAATCATAGTTGACCTAGGAAGATAGAACTAGATAGCTTTATTTTTAAGTACTTTTAATTGGACAAGAGTAGATTTGATCTGTTGCAATTATTCCGACCAGATTTACATATTGGGTTCGTAAATTGAAAATTGCCGGCTATTTCGCGGGACTCGCAGATAAAAAAAAGAGCGCCACCGGATGGATAAAGAACACGATAGCGTTTCGCAAAGTCCTCGTAGATCCATCTAGAGAACAATCAGTAGATAATTCATAAAAATATCTCTAGTTTTTGAAGTTTAAAAAAATTTTAACCTGCTTGGGTAGCCATCGGCCGAGATGCCGTCTCGAGTACACCGCAAGCGCGTAGCTGTTGGATGGCTCGTTTCGGCTCGAAAAAGAACTCTTCCTAAAAATGCACATTATGATACAAATTGGACATTGCTATTGCATTATATTTCAAGTATTTGCTGAAAAAAAAACCCTTTTCATCGTTTGGTTTTATGCAGCGAACGTAGTGTGGAGCGAGTTGCTTGCAGTACGGTCATCAACTCGCGTTAATTTACCCGATAATTTACCCCGATTTGTGGTTCGAAAGAAAAGCGAACGGATTTTTCTTTTTAGTAATTTTCCAATAGGTTAGCGAATGAATAAATTTATAATATAGAGAAAATTATACGGTTAAGTTGCAAAGTTAACTTTTAACTTTGCTCTTAAAGTTAACGAAGGAGTCTTGTCGGGGTAATTTTGCTCAGCCTTGTTCACCCAATAATTGACTAATATTCACGGTACTTGTTTTATTTAGATTCACCGATGCTGGCGACAAAATCAACAAGTCTTTTATGAAGTGAAAGACGCAAGACAAAGATTTTAAACAAAATTTTTGTCGAAATTTTAATATAGCTTTTTGTTTTAAGAGCTGTTTTAAGAGCTGTTTTAAGAGCTGTTTTTTCCAATGCTTTTAATGATTTCAATTCAAATAATCTTTTTACAGTGTTTTCTTGAAAACGAGTAAACTTTCTGTAAAATAAACTAAACTAAACAAAACTTTATGCACTAAAATTTTTGATTCAAACAAACATTAAGGTATTGAAGGTATTGAAGGTATTGAAGGTATTGAAGATCTTTTCTTATGCAGATTAGAAGTCTAGAAGTCTAAAGGTTTAAAAACATGGCTAAATATCTTTTAATCATCTTAAAAAAGAGAACATTTCTGCTATTTGGAGACAATGACAATGAAAAATCTTCTCTCAAAAAATTTTATCTAATGGAGATTTCGAAAAAAGAAAGTGAAAGCATTTGAACAACTTGGTAAGCAGTAAAACTTTAAAAGAAGAAAAGAAAAGGAAAGGGGAAATCGAAGGGAAAAAAAGTGAATTGAACAGTGGGTGTCGGAAAAGAGACAAAGAAGATTTCCCCGATTTCCCCAATTTCCCCAAAGAAAAGAAAAGAGGCAACAACAATTCGGGGCGGAAAAACTCGAGAAATTTGACAAGAGTTTCGAGTATAAAAGGTTGAGCTTTGTGGAGAAACAGTATTATTTGGTCCCCTCCAACTCAAGCAACTCAAAAAGAAAAGATGGGTTTTGAGCGTGGAGCCCTTTGGGTGGCCATCACCGCGTCCACCGTCACCCTTGTTGGTAAGTCGCTTTAATCCTCTTGAATACCTCTTTACTTGTTACGATCTTTCTTATCTTGTCTACAGTAATCTAGTTAGTGTCGTTAGTAATCTAGTTACCCAATAAAAGTCTTATGACGTACTTACTTACTAGGAAACACCCTGAAACCTATCCAACTACTTTCTACAGTACTACAGTATCTTTTCTTGAAAACTAGCCAGTAAGAGTACTGTACAATAACTACATTATTATAATGTATCGTAGAAATGCTCAACTTCTTTTCAGGATGTCTTGCTTTTGCTGGTTACATGTTCAATGACATCAATGACTGGAAGGCTACCAGTGAGAGTGATCTCAGGGAATTCAAGGTGCTTAGCAATTTTCCTAATTTCTTATAACCAAATATTATAACCAATCTTTTCAGCTAGCGGCTAACGAGGCTTGGAGTGAGATGTACGGTGCTGTGCCTGTTGGTGAAACTGTCAAGAAGCCCTCGCATCACAGTCTTTTCGGAGTTCGTAGGGAGAAGCGTCAAGCTGGCTGCAATTGCGGACCAAAACCTAGCCATTGCCCCCGCGGACCCCCAGGCCCACCCGGGCAAGCTGGACACCCTGGTGATTTATAGGAGACTTTCGTTAAACCTTTATTCTAGGTGAGGATGGACACCCCGGACAAAGCGGTCAGCCTGGACAAGCTGGACATGGCCAACAAAGCACCGGTGGTGGCGGTTGCCAGACTTGCCCCGCTGGACCACCTGGACCCCGTGGACGCCCTGGACCCGCTGGACCTGGAGGCCCTGATGGACACCCTGGACAACCTGGAAGCCGCTCTTATGGAGGACCACGGCCTGGACCCCCTGGCCCACCTGGAGATGCTGGAAGACCTGGACAACCTGGACATCCTGGAGGACCTGGGCAAGCTGGTCAACCCGGAAAACGATATGTCTCGCAGCCTGGACACCCTGGACCCCGTGGACCACCTGGACCATCTGGAGGACCGGGACAACCTGGACGTGCTCAGCCTGGACAACGTGGACCCCCAGGACCTGCTGGACAAGCTGGACACCCAGGACAACCCGGTGGAGACGGACAGCCAGGAGGCCCCGGCAGCGACGGACAACCCGGCAAGGATGCCGCCTACTGTCCATGGTTTGTTTAGATTACTTAACTCAGCAAAAAATCTTTTTAGCCCACCCCGCTCCGGTCAGGTTCAAAGCCCACCACCCACATCGTCCGGCTACCGTCGAAATCGTAAAGTCGTCAAGAAGGTGCGCAAAGTGCTCCGTCACCGTGCCCGTGCCCGTTTCCACGCTCAATAAGCGACCGAAACAAAAGCGATCGAATATCTGTAAAAATTACAGAATAAACATGATCTCTCAGAGAAAAGAAAGCACCCTAACAAATGCATTTGTAAACAGTTCAACAGTGGCGTAATTTTGCTTGGTTTTAATCTCCACAAGCAGAATAAGGTTTACACACCAACAAGGCTCAGCTTAATTTTAAAATGTTACAAGCGTTGCTTCAAAACTGACAAGAAAAGGTCAACTGGCTGAGCCAAATGCTATGCGACCTATAGCATTCAATGCAGAATTTTATGCTGATTCCAAATATTACCGTTTGTTTCCACAAGCTCTGATATGTCAAAATTTCAATTCGACACCCTCAAATTACCTAGAAAAACAACTTTTGGAATAGAAATTCGTTAATATTAGCTTTTTAGAGCTTTTTTTAAAACGCGAAAAAGGTGCGCTAATGGGCAAGGTGCGGAAAAAAAGGTGCGCAAATGTCCGGGTGCGCAAAAAAAAAGGTCGCATTTGTCCCACTCCCGTGATCAGGCATCAGAAATGTTTAGGATTATTTGTTTTTCATTTAGTCAAAATGCAATTTTTATATGTGCAAACGCAGAATTGCATCTAGTGTTTCTAGAAAAACAAAGAGCTAGTAAAAATTTCAATTTTTAAAGAAGATATTCACCAAAGATTGTTGCGATGAAACTGGTAAATTTTTGCTAGAGCTAGTGAAGTCTGGAGCCGAGCACAGGCTGGGTCTTGAAGCTGGGTCTTGCCTGAACTGACTTTACTAATCCAACGATAAACCAAGCCTTTCTGCAGGCTTGTTTTTCAAAAATTGCTTCCAGCTATGCCTTTCCTGGTCTCTGGATAACCGGAAGCCGGAAATTGCAAAAATTTCAAAACTCTCCAAGTACTTCAATTTTCCCTATAAGCCAAGATTTCAACGAAATCGAATCATAAAATGAAATCAAATTGCTTATTCTCTAAATCTTTATCTAAAGAATTATATGATGTGCCTAACTATGCCCATAGTTTCAGTGATAAGAAGGGGTTTTTGCAGGGTCATAGTTTGAAGCGAGGCACGGGATGGGCTCATCTTCTTTTTTTCTAAGTCTGCCAGATTTTTGATGCAGTGTGGCGCCACCAAATTTCTTTGCTCTTATCTTAGCTATAGGCATAGAAAAAACGCGGGGCGAGTCTCATAGTTATGCTTATCTTGTGAATAAAAGGGAGCTGGGATCGTTGTGGGGAATGGAGCACTGCAGGCAGATCATAAATCTTTTTTTAAAGAGACTTAACATTTTTAAGGGTTTTTTTGATGAATTTTGAACTAATTGTCTTTAATTTTCTGTTTCTTTTATATAAAGAAAGCTTTCGTATTTGAGAATAGATAATAGATGCAATAAAACGAAATTTCTCTAAACTTTGTACTAAACTTTCTTCGTGTTCAATTTTGTAAGATGAATTGGATTTTTCAAAAATTCTAATCCAATCATTGGATTGTAATTTTAGAAATGCAAAGATTGTCCACAGTTTGTCTCTTTTCTCTGGCCACTGCCCTGCTTCTAAGCACATCGATTTTGAGTTCTCCAATTGTTCCACTCAACGCTGATGACACTTGTCCATTTCCGAATGGATCTGAGACAAAAATGCACACATTTGAATGTGCCACTGGTAAGCCAAAGTTTGGCTATTTAACTGCTATACTAACTAACTGATATCATCTTGAACTAAAGCTGAATTGAAGCTAATCATTAAAACGCAAAACATTGTACCTTCAGGTATGCAAATCACCGTCTCTGACATCAATGTGACTGATGTGAATGGGAAACCGATGTACCCGATGGACCCAAAGCAAACGATGGTTCTCGACTTGATCTCCTACAATCACGGAGAGCAGGTTTGTCTTGAATTAGTCTTTAAATAAAATCTTCTCTTCTTTCAGATCACTGACAATAAAGTCGACGTCGGCATTTACTCGTACTCGAAATCGTGGGCCACAAACACTTGCAACTGGACGGCTATTCCAACACTCGGATTGCTGTGAGTTTAAAGAAAATCGCTCGGTTACAACCACATTTCAGCAACAACATTGATGGATGCGATTTCGCGAAGAATTGTCCGCTAGCCTCGGGTCCACTTCAGTTGAAAATCCCGCTTGATCTCTCGCAGTTCTCTTCAATCATCAACATGTTGGCCGCAAACGTGAGTTGAACTTGACGGTTGAATTACATGACAAACTAGACTTGGACTTGTAAATTCTAGAAGCAAGTTTACAGTAGCGTGTTTGAAAGCTGGCATCTTTTAGGAAAGACTTTAGAAGAACATATGCTAATTTGATCTAGGGCTAGCTAGTAAAAGTCAACTAGCATACCGTATTTTTCCTAATAGTGCACCCCGTCGAGCTGATGACGATTTTACAGTTTCCAAGTTTTCCCATAAGTCCAACACTCTAATCCCCCACAAGATCGCATCGTCAGCTACATTTGCCGACCTCCCATCGATAGTTTCTGATAAGCGCTTTTTGAGATTTGGAACAATTTCGGCAAAGCTTTGGGTAGACTACTATTAGAGAGAAGACGGTATATTATTCCAGGTTAGGCTAGTAGATCAGACTGATCTATTTCCCTAATATTTCCCGGTGAGCCGAGTTGATGACGATTTTACAGTTTCCAAGTTTTCCCATAAATCCAACACTCTAATCCCCCACAAGATCTCATCGTCAGCTACATTTTCCGACCACACATCGATAGGTTCTGATAAGCGCTTTTTGAGATTTCGAACAATTTCGGCAAAGCTTACGGTGCTCTACTATTAGAGAAAAGATGGTATTAGTTAGTTAGTATAGCAGTTAAATAGCCAAGTTATTACCGTTATCAGAGTTGCTCGTTTTTCAGCGACCCTATCAACTTAACATCGCGATGAAAAACTACAACGAGGGAAACAAACAACACGAGCAAATCGCTTGCGTCGTCGCACAGATTCATCTCATTTAAATGGAAATTGAGAAAACTTCAGTCCATAATTTATTTTATTCCAAATTGTACATAACTACGTGTATTCTCGTATCTCATCGACTTTAGTCTAAAATTATGAATTGAATAAATCAAATTTTATCTTCAAAAAGTTTAGAATCACATGATAAGGCCAATAAATAATGACTAGATGGAAAAGGAATTAAAAATTGATTGAAAAATGCATCAAGAAGAAAGCTCAATAATTTTAAATTTACAAAAAAGAAATACCGGTATTTGTGGTTGAAGAAAATGAAAAAACAAGCAAAAATTGGAAGTGAAAAAAGAGAGAGATAGTGGTTATCACAGGTTTAAAAAGTCAAGAAAAAGAAAAAGAAAAAGAAAAAAGCAAAGTCACAACACAAAAAAATTGAATAATACAAATTTGGATAGAAGTTTTGGCTGAGTGATGGGATTTTTATTATGATATTTTTTTTCTGTAAGACTCAAGTACTCAAGTACAAAGCTGAGTTTTCATTGATCACTTTACCAAAACAAATCTATTATGCTTTAAAGAAAGGCTTTAGACTTTAAAGAAAACGGCAAACTTCATGTAAACGAAGGGGTGATGGAAGTGAGAGAGTTTCAAGACGGAAATCACAGGGTACAAATTTATTTGTATCCAATGGAGGTAAATAGGTACCCGGCATGATCAATTTGTTCTGAAAAATGGATTCAATAAAGATTTTGCTAAATTCTCCTTTATACTTTGTGCTTTAGATCTACCTCTTGTAATCTATCGAAACTATCGTAAGCTTGTCTTTATTTTATTTGTTAAAAATGATAGAAGAATTACTGTGGCTGACTAGTTTTAGAAAGTTGTCATGTTTTAGAGAAACAGCATTCCTTTAGAGGATTAGGTTTTTTTATCTCAAAACTTTTCTAAATAAAGAAAATCGATTATGCTTTGATAATCTTTGATAATCGTTGATAATAATCTATTTATATTCTCTATTTTCCTGACCGTATCTTGTCCAGTGGCAGCACTTCTTTCCAATAATCTTTTCTCAATTCGATCGAGTAATTCCGGTGAAACGACACTCTCTTCAAACCCTTCTGATGGGGTATAATGTTGAAGAATGCAAAGAATCTAAAAGAATTGATGTTTGTACAATTTTTGAAAGGCATTAATTGATAAATTTTTTCTTGAAATGCTTTCTAAAGATCTTTTAAAGATTAACAAGATTCTAAAGATTAACAATTTCAAAAGCCAACCTGTTTAGGTAACAAAACGCTCGTCATCTCTCCACAAAGTGTCTCCACATTAGATTCATCCTTTTTCGATTGAAGTAGATGGGATGCCTAAAAATTCTCTAGCAATAAAATTTCTGAGAGATTTTTACCTGTACTAACGGCTCAAACATTGGCTCTAATCCCTTCATGTTGTGCTTTCCCAACCAATTCTGGATCTCTTGCACGTTATGTCTGAAATGATTGATTGAAGATTACAGCATTCATCTCGACTTTTAAAAGTACTACAACTGTTTATTTCACTCACTTGATCTGAATAGCTCTTTCAGCTCTGCAAAGATCTTTTCTGAACATCATATGATTTAATGACATCGAACAAGTCCATTCAGTCAATCGTCGGAAGATTTGCTCCAACAGCACCTCATCTCCTCCAAAACCAGCCACTTTTTGTTGAATGATCGAGAACTGAAAAGGTAAATGATCATAAGTTATAAATAATATTAAAACAAACATAATCAAGAAGATCATCAAGCGCTTTGGCGTGTCTTCCATCGCATTGTTTCCCCGTTAACATCTCCCACATTGGGGACTCGTGCAAAAGGACACCAGGGACTGGAAGAAGATCATAAATGTCAGAAGAAATATTGAAAAAAATTTTCTACACTTCTAGAAGTAGTAGATTTCAAGCTATTCAAGTAACGCACTTGTCTTTTGCTTCAACAGTGGCTCGATCGTCTTCTTCATCAACGTCTGGTAGCACTCATCGGCTCGAGCGGCAATCTGGAAAGTCAAAAATTGCTCAACTTCGCTCAACCCTTGAGCATTCAGCACGCTTTCTAAGTCAAATATAGAGGCTATTGTTGGCTTCAAAACTGACTGTCACATACTGTACATAGGTCTAGAAATGGTTGCACAATTGAATCAGATTCTTGCACTTGGGATTACAATTTTAGTTTGAATCAAAATCGAAACCTGTTGCCTTAATGGATCCAAGTCCAGATTCTTAATCCTTTGCCCGTTTTGTGTTTCGGTGTTTGCCGCTTGCCACTCGACATTGTCAATCTCGCCATACTGTCGAAGGAGATGATAGAGTCGCCATGTGTTGACAAGCCACAGCGAAAGGATGTCCATGTCTTGAGTGTGCTGAAAAAAAATAGACATTCTAAAAGGATTCTCACATGTTTAGCTTTGAACGAGAGGTTCAAAGCTATCTATAAAGCGCGTTTCTTATTTCATTTCAATCTTTCCCACTTACCGAGATCGTATCTTTCAGCACGACATGAATCGCCGAGAAGAGTGGCGTCAACCCGGTTTCATCTTGTTGCTCATCGTAGTATCTAGAAATGAAATTTGATTTGTTTAGAACTGGATTTGATGAGAAAAATTCTCTTGGCTTAAATTTCAAACCTGAATGATGTAAGTAAGAGATACGCAGGGAAACACGGAGTTAGATGTTTAGCCAAACGAGGTTTCAAATCTGAAAGATAATCTTTCAGTTCTTTAACAACTTCTAGGCAACTATCATAATTTATTGATAGTTCTATTAGATAGATAGATAGATACAATTTACGATAGAAAACATCATACCTGATATCAAAATCTTCGAGAACTCAGGCACATTGTAGACGTGTAGCCGAGCTGAGTGGATCTGAACGAGAGTTAGATTACGAAATGAAAAAGAATTGGTTTACCTCAGAATTTCTCCTTCCACCAATCGCCTCCACGCGCACAATCTCACTGTCCGAGGCGGTACCGGCTTCTAAAAATGAATATAAATGATAGTTAAGTAGATAGATATTTTAACATTTAAGAATAAGTTCCAAGAATAGCTGACTCACCACAGTCACCGGCATATCCTCGCAATTGAGCGCGAATCTCCGAGAGTTCGTCAGCTTGCCGATTGAATTTATCCGTTAAATCGAGATTCTCGGAGACGAGTTCACCCATTTGCGAGCGTAAAGCATCCACGGAGCCATCAGGGTGTTTCTGAAATCAAAATCTTATTTGTTTAAGTCCTGTGACAAGCTAGATGGTTTCAAGTTCTCATTCACTCAACACTTCCTTTACCCCATTCATTTGCGCATGACTATTCTGATGATCGCTCGCAATATCCTCATCTTCTACTTGAAAGCTCAATTGATAATAATCGGATAGTGGTCGTTGCTGTCCCATTGTATCCACCATATCCTGATTGATCGCTTCACAATAAAAAGCGTCGAGGTCCGAATAGGCTTCAAAACCATTTTCCGTTAGATTGTTTTTGAGCATAAGATTAATAGAATGAATCAATATGAATGAATGAATGAATGAATCAATCAATATAAATCTATGAATCAATCAATCAATCAATATCAATATGGAATCAATATCAATATCAACTTTCAAATGAATCAATATAGCAAAAACGGCTCTTTTGTTTCAAATATGATGAAAATTTCGAAATGTGAGCTTATAGAAAAAACGGGGAAAGAGGGAAATGAGAGAAAAGTCAAAGAGATGGGTGGCTTGTTTGTCTTTCGAAAATGGGCCGAGCGGCGGAGGAGTGGGATATTGAAGGGTGGATGGCCAGTATTCGAATGCCAAAGAAGGGAAATGGAAAGAAGCAGACTATGAAGCTATGCTGTTCACTATCAAAAAATGAAATGTGGTATGCTTTCGTTTTGTTCTCTTTCAATAATCAAAGATAAACGAAAAGGTAAAAGCTAACGCTCAACTTTTACCTTTAGTTCAATCCAATTCAACTCTCAAAATTTAGCACTGGTGTCAAACACTGAAAAAAGGTACCTTTGATTTTAAGTTCTAAGCTGGCTAAAGAGACAACAACAAAGCTGTGGGGGAAATCTTGGATTTCTTGAAGAAAACAGACGTATATGGCATGATCTTAAGCTGTGAAGGGCAATGCATTCCTCTTCAGCTCTCCCCTCCGTCATCCATTCCAATGCTGTCCTTTATTCTTTTCTTTTCTCCCGAGATGAGCCCCGAATGGATGCAATGGGTATAAAAAGAGAGAAAGAAGGGGGAAGAATAAATGACAAATGGGTGAAAGGGATCTCTGGGGATCAATTTGAACGAAGAAATTTTGGGAAGGAATTTGCTGTCAATAGCTAATATTTCGATGGCTGGCTGGCTGCTCTTTTGTATTAAAAGTTTCGTTAGAAAGCTTCATAAGTGGACTTAAAAGAGGTCGAAAGAGGCGTTTGAAAAGTGTTCAAAGATTTAGAAAATCTTCAGAAGTAAAGAGAAAGAGGAATAATTCAAATCTTAAAATTTATGAATAACATTCTAGTAATAATATTTGTGGTGTTCATCAACTTTATGGATGGGTAAATCCGAGTGATGGTGAAAATATGAAAAGCGGTGACTATGGCAACGAAAAAGGGAGAAGACGAGGGGACAGAGACAAGAATCACCACCTTTTTCGCAAAGTATTCAACTATAGAAATTCTAAACTAAAACTTTTCACTAGTTTGTAATCGATATTGTTTACCGAGTCGTGTCAGTGCTTGTGGATAATTTACCTAGAAGCTTTTCGTAATTCCCCTTGGCTGAAAGAGAACTAAAAGAAAATACAGGGTAAATAGAACTGGGAAATGAATAGGGAAATGAAAAATGGGTGAAATTTTTGTAATTCAAACTTGATTCAAAAGATTTGTGCTTAAAGAAAGTCATAAAGAAAAGGATTACTGAAAAAAGCAGACTGAAAAACTATGATTTCCAAAAGCAGACTGAAAAACTCTGATTTCCAAAAGCAGACTGAAAAACTCTGATTTCCAAAAGCAGACTGAAAAACTCTGATTTCCAAAAGCAGACTTATAAGTCTGGTGGTTATAAGTCTGCTTTTGAAAATCATAGTTTTTCAAAAAAAAAACTTTTACATTGAAAACTAGCTCGGAAATGCGTTTGAGCAAATAATTTCTCTGAAGAGGGAAATCGATTTAAAAACAACAACTCATCCGGTCATTTCCCATTTTCTGAGGCTAGTCAGCTCATGAAAATACTATAAAAGAGGAGGGAAAGATGAAAGAGAAAAAAAAATTGGCGATAACACCTGAAATAGATGAGTCAGAGAAAGGAAAAAAAAAAGTCAATCCTGTAAAAAGTTCAACACCCACTTGTGGCTGGAATTTGCAGCTTGCAAAACTTTTCGAGTAAGTTAAAGAAAAGCAATACTTTTTGCTATTCGTTGCGTTATTTGAAAAAAAGAAATACGACTGGTATGATTGATTTAAAATCTTTAGACTTTTATTCAAAACTTCTAGATGTTAGTGTGCCAAATGCTCGACGTTTTCATCATATTATTAGCTTTTTCTTCACAAAATTTAGGATAAAAGAATGGGAAAGAATGAAGAGTTTGATAAGAGATAAGATTTTTCACTTGTCAGTGATCTTTTACTAAATAAAATGCTTCTGGATCAGTTGCATTATTTGAGATACACTATTTGAGTAGATAAAGAAAGGTACTAGAATTAAATAGAACATTGAAAGCTATTCATAAGATACAAAAGCTAGGCACGAACAAATTGAATAATGTTTTCAACGCGGAAAGCCATTTTTCTGACGATCTATGCGGAAAATCGTGGCTGGGAAATCGGTAAACAGGAGAAGGACAATGGTGAAGAGGAAAGGAGAAGAAAAGAGAAGGAGAGGGGCAAAAGGAGCAATGTTTTGAATGAATATTGAATTGGGCTAAGCGGAGACTAGAGGAAAAGAGCAATGGAATAGGCAAATTGGAGAAGAGAAACGGAGTTGCATTGGATTTTTGGTACTATTCGTGCTAAATATTATGCTTTAACTACTAGTAAGCTTATGATAAATCAATCAAGTGTGAATCGCTTAAGGATAGACTTTAATCTACATAAATTACGTAAAACTTGTGTGAAATATAGAAACAAACTGACGTAGTAAAGGCAAGTTTTACGCTTTGCTCCTATCAACAATTGAGCTATATAAAAAAGAATTTGATTCGTACGAGAATTGGAGAAAGAAAAATAATGTTTGGGTAAAAAAAAAAGCTTTTGCTTTGGGAGAGAAGGGAGCACCAACAATAAAAGAAGAGAGAAATGGCGGATAGAAATGGGTGAAGTGAAGGGCAAAAACTGAATATTCTCTTGCGTGTCTCTTTTCGAAAAGAGAAAGATGCTAGTCATTTCTTTCTTTCTTTCTTTCTTTTTCCACTAGGGAAAACTCGCTTTCTATTGTTGAGTTGTGAACGGGGAAAAGAGAAGAGGGGAATAAAAGAATGAATACATTCACTGTTCATGTGATGGTTAGAGTTATTCCGGTGATTTGATGGATGAGTATAGTTGGGATAGAATTGATAGATCGATTATGCAATTGATAGATCGATTTTTCAAGCAGTCAGCTCTCAATTTCATCTCGTTTTCCCAGAAATGGGTTGAATGATGCGAGCATGACATTGAAATTTCAGGAAATTCTATTTACTAAAGCAACAAAGGCTCAAGAATTGCGCACTTTCAACCATAAGATTAAGTCTTATAAAGAAAAACATAATCGTCTCCCAACTAGTTCAAGACTTTAAATGCTCTTCTGTTGTTCATGATATCAACTTTCTTTAAAGTTTTGAATCTGATAGCTTTTCTTTGATTATCAATATTTGTTTTACATGAACACCAATTGCTGTGTATAGCCAACAAATGAAATATAACAGAAATTGAAATAAGCTCAAAAATTTTGAATTAAAAGTAATCAGTCGATCAAAAACGTGCCAGAAAGCTTAAAATCTTTGTCTTTGTTTCTAACACTTTTTTTTCGACTAACAATACTCCCGAACTTTTTGAAACCATCTGGCTTGCCATAAAGCTAGCTTATCACTCACTTGTATCTCATTTTGTTGTACTCTTTGCTCCAATTTCTCGATCTCTTGATTCCTCTCAGCGTGCACTCTTTCCAACCATTCGATGTGTCGTTTAAACCATCGAAATTGTCTTTCCACGCACAACTCTCGATCCAAATCGGTGGTGGCCTCGAGTCGGTGACGACTCTCCGCATCACTGCCCGATTCCGAGTGCCCAGCAGACCAATGACCTGCAATAAAACTGTAATATATTAATCTTAAAGGCATAGATTTCTGAATCGAAACAGTTAAGTCTTCAAACTCACCAGAATCCGGTCTGGGACTCGTTGACGCTGGATTGTTGGAGAGCAAGGCTCGGAGCTCTGTCGCTTCGTCTCGGAGCCTAAATTATTCTTTTTAAAGCGTAAATAAGTTTTCTTCTCACTTTTCATTTTCTTCCATCAATCGATCAATCATGTCTCGTGCTTTGTAATCATTCGGTAGATGCGATTCGACGAGACGATCGATCTCAAGACGCAATTTTGAGTTCATCGCCTCAAGCTCCTGTAAAATAGTTGATAGTAAATTATGTAAATTACGAATTAAACTTAATTAACAGTAGCTAGTAAATCAATTTAAAAGACCACTTAGTGAATGAAAATGCTTTAAAAAAAAGTGCACCTGATGTCTCAACTGATCGGCTGCTTTGAGTGATGGCCTTTTTGTCCAGACTCTCCAATAGATTCTCGGAATGGATCACCGATCGAAGTCTTTCATTATCCCGTTGTACTCGCTCAGATCTTGCCCTCAATTCGGAGATCATCTTTTGTTGATTCATGATTAGAGCTATCTCAGTGACGTCACCAGAATTGTTTCCACTTTGAAGCTTGTCGTTGCTTTGTTTCCTTTCTAAAATGATCATTAAATAAGTTAGTTAGTTATTTAATTAAATAATAGTATTTATGTAAAGTTAAATTAAGTTCAAAATAGCTATAATATTTATATAAAATATTTTATATTCGTAAAATTGGAGGATTTTTGTATGAACCACACCTTTCCTATACTCTTTAATTCTAAAAATCTTTGCAAGGATCCTTATTTGCTTAATTTAAACCTTATAATACCATCTAGTTTTACCCGAAGACTTTTCCTCAAATCCTTTATCCATTTCACTTACCCATTTTTCCGAGCGCTCCACTCGCCAGCAGATTCGCATTGTCCACCAATTGTTTCCTCATCATCGACAAATCGCTCTCGAATTTCTCCTTTTGAAAGATTTCTGAAAAAAGTTGATAAAATTAATGTTTGTTTGAAGATCATTAGTCACTCGGGGGGTTTCAAATGTTGCAGGAAAAAAAAATAAAAGTCAATCTTCAAATCAATTCTAAATCTACGCAATTATAGAACCTCTAAGGACTCGGTTATCTAAATTCCTTGTTACTATTATTGTCAGTTTTCATTTACCTGCTCTCAATCGGCTATTCACAATGTCCCGTTCCTTTTCAGCACCTTCAGCTCGAGTTTTCAGCTCGGAATACTGATCGCGGAGATGTGAAAGTTGTTGCTCGTAGTCAGCACGACACTAAATGAAATTGATTAAAGTATGATAGTTTCTATAATTTATAGTTTCCATAAATGTCATTCATCTAATTCTTTAAAATCTTTCTATCATAATCTATACTAAAACTTTCGAGAAAGGCTGAAAAAGAACAAATTTTCAGAGGTGACTTTTAACGTCACTTTGCCAGAGTTTAACTTGAGAATCTCTAAAGATTTACAGTAAACCTTAGAAGTGAATAAAATAACTTAATCATAAAATGAATAACAGATAAATGAAACTTGGATTGAACATGTTTTATGAAATGGTTACCACTCGGCAATCTTACCTGTGCCAGTTTACTTTCAGCGACTTGACACCGACTGTCAGCCTCGATTTTCTCACCCTCACGTACTTCTAATTCAACCTAAAAGTAGAAAAATAAGTTTTAAACAATAAATTGAAAGTCATTCGTAAGATTAAGAATCTCTAAAACTTAAAAAAAATAGACGATAACATTATTTGCAAAGAGAAAAAGATTCCTTTTTAATGTTTGGGCAAAAGATAAAAGTGGCTGAAATCTTTCTCTCAACAAATAAAAAAACGGAAAAAACGTTTGTGACAAAGGCAAAGTTTGACCGTTTATCTATTTAAATGTAAATGATATGCAAATTGAGATGGGAATGATTCGAAAGGGAAAAGCGTTTACCTGCAATCGATCGACCTCCATCTCTAGCTCCAACATTCGATCGCGAGCTTTGATCAGTAATGGTCTAAAAGTATCAACTTTAACATTAGAACTTTAAAGTTAACTATCAAATTAATGTTCTTTTAGGCTTTAAGTTCTACTTTTTTAAAGCTGTTTGGAAAGGTTTACCTCTCCGATTGAAGATTGGTGAGATCGGCTCCGAGGAGCTCCATCGCTTGCCGGTTTTCCGCCAACTGGGCTGTGAGCTTTTGCTTCTGAAAAAAAAATGTTATTTGATAATGTGATCTTTTAGAAAATGATATAATAGACAACTTTTTACCAATTAGCGCTTGACTTTTCTATATCATAGAAAAAAGGAAGAGGAAACCTTAAAGAAGTACGGGGAAAGTTCAGATTAGCTGTAAAATTACTGTAAAAACTGAAGGATTCCTGTAAAAGTTTATCTTCATTACAAGATTTTTTGAAAATTTTCTCAGAAGAACGGATTTCAGTGTTGAAAGAGCTCTTTCACAATCTCACAAAGACTATCCAAATCTGCAAAGAGCTCTTTGTCTTAGAAAAATCTTCAATTAAACTTTTTTGTTCTAGATTTGTAAATGTGAAAAAGTGAGAGAAAGGTCAACTTTTGGTTGCTCAAACTTTTTTTTCTTTTAAAGAAGAAGCCTCATGGGGCAAAGGGACAACTTTCAAGTGCAAGGGGGAGACCGGGACGTTTTTTTCGAGTAGGAAACTACTCCTTGGGGACAAATCAAACCAAAAGACTGATCGGTGAGGGGACAAAGGAAAAAAAAGGAAAGGAATTGAGGTCTTCGGGAGTTGGCAATTGTGGCAATTGTCAATCTTTGGGAGTTGGCAATTGCGAGTTGGTGAAGATGGAGATTTTCGAGGGTAAGCTTTTAATCTGCCTGATTGTTGACTTTAGAAAAGTGATTTAAAAAATTGATCCTGATCGTTTAAAAAGGAATTGGGAAAAATTAAGATCAATTTTCGGGAGTTGAAGATTAAGAAAAGCTTCGGATTGAGCAATAGCCAAAGGGAGAATTAAATTTTAAAAACGATGAATATTTTAGCTTTTCTAGCTTTAGTTTAGTTAGTTTTTTTTTTAGTTTAGCTTTTCAAATTCTAATATTTACTAATAGAATAGCTTTAAAAATCTCGTTTTTCGAAAAATCATTAAAAATGCAACTTAATCTCAAAATAAGAGCATAGCTTTATTTAAAGTTTTCAAGTTTAGCTCACGAAATTGAAACGAAATAGATGAGTTTAGCTTACAATTTTTCGATATACTCTACAACGAACGCCGAAGTCACATTTGAGAGTCTCAACTCGAATCAAATTTTTCTTAGAGAGGCTGGCGGATATGGGTCTAAAAAGGACATGAAAAAAAAGGACTGTTAGTTCCCGTGGGGATTCCCCGACTGCAACACAACACAGCGGAAAAAAAAACCTTTATGAAAATATATGTAAAGAGGGTGAAAGGGAAATGTGGGAAAATTTCGACAAAAAATTCAACTAAACATTGATTTCATGGTAAGTGGAGTATTTTTGCAAAAAAAAAAATTATATGATCACTCGTTTGTAAAAGTGACAGCTTGAGATTGAAGTTGAATTGACAAAGCTGAAATTGTTAGGCTAATTTAAAAGTAAATGTTAAAAGTGTTAAGCTACTTTAAACTTCAAAAAATAGATATATTTATCTACTGATTGTTCTCTAGATGGATCTACAAGGACTTTGCGAAACGCTATCGTGTTCTCGATTACTCGATTAAGTATCCTGATTACTGATCAAGTTTAGTTTAGTAAATAGTTTAGTAAATAAATTAAATAAATAAAATAAATCAAGTTTAGTAAATAAATTCAATTTCGGGTTGAAAAGATTACTCTTGAAACAATTCTGATAGGATGTGATGAGAAAACTTTTAGCTGAACTTGTAAAATGTAAAAAAGAAACACCTCTGTTTCTTGTCAATTGATTAAAAGTAGGAAAGCTAAAAGAAAAACAGTAATCTTCACGTAAACAAGTGCGGAAGTTGTCGAGGAAAGCGGAGGATAGGCCAAGTTTTGGCAGGTTCGGATGGTCAATCAGTCAATCAACGAGGAAAAGAAAAAGGAGAAGTGGATAGGCTTCACACATTGCGTGGCCAATGCCGCGCACAAAAACAAACACCAAATGGATTGGTGAGGAATAGAGAAAAAGAGGTGCGTATCATTTTGATCTAATGGCTTGGATAGAAATCATTTCCCACACTCTACTTTAACCTTAAATACGATACAAGCTTGTATATCAGAAAATAGCATTAAAGTTTTCAAATGAAAGCATAAGATTTAGTTGATCTAGTTTAGTAATCATACCGTAAATACTGTAATATAGTACCCCACCCCCCTCGTACAGTCGCGTAGTCGCAAAAGTTTATTAGTATTTCATTTTTTTCAAAGCACCCGTACTTTCAAAAAATGCGTCTTTGGTATCAAAAAATAGCCCTGAATTTCAGCTATTTTTTGATACCTAAGCGCGCATTGTAGCATAAATCAGTGTCGAGAAAAACTCGCTCAAAGCTAGACTACGCAACACTCCGCACCGTCATTATGGGGGTGGGGTACTATTACAGTATTTACGGTAGGTACCAAAAGCGCTTTAGTAAAACGTTCTTCTTAAGAAAAAAACTTATTAACATTAAAGATTCAGCTTGTGATTAAAAAGAAAGCTGAAAAGAGGAAAAAAAAAGCAAGTTTCCTAATGGGATTTGGGGAGAACCGGCTAAAAATTCCCCACAATCACCTAATTTTTTAACGTGGTTTGGAAAAGAATCAAAAAAAAGGGGGAAAGTGAAAACAGGATGTAAATTATGTGTGTTCTGTTGATCAATTTCAAATAACTTTCTTCATTGAGTAGTTTTTTTTTAAAACGTGTCAACTTTCAAAAACAATTGTAATCTTTTCTAGTTTACCCAATCTACTTTTGTCTGAAAGTGAAAAAGTTAGAGACAAAATGAGTGGATTAGGTAAAGGATTACGGTAGTTTATCACAAGTTTGTTATTGTTATTTAGAGAATGAGGATTACGGTAGCTTAAAAACTGTAGTTAACGGCGGTCGATCGCTTTTCATGAAATCCGCTTTTTAGAAAGCTTCAGAAAGAACAAGAGCAAGACAAGATGAAGAAATTTGATGTGATTCCGCAAAAGGAAAGAAGCAAAAAAAACTTAACTAATTAACTAACTTAATCTTAACTTTAAAATATCTAGTCTTTTTGCGAAACAGAATGCAACATTTTTCGAAAAGAACCGGAAACACGCCGAAAGCACGCGATATTTCACATTCAAACTAGGAGATTTGAAAGAAAAATCGAAAAAAAACAAAGATCAAATAGATAAAGTATATGAAAATTTTGAAATTGCTACTACTCACCTCGTTTTCTTTCGTTTTCAACTGCTCGGTGAGCTTCATTTCCAGCAATTTCTTCTCATTTTCGAGCGCGCGAATTTTTGTCACCTCATGATTCTAAAAAGCAAATTTTCTTTCTAAAAATGTTTCTAAAAAATGAATTTTTAGATTTTTCACTCACTGAAGTGTCCAATTTGATTTGCAGCTCGATGATTTTATTCTCGAGTCCTTTGTTGAGTTTCTGGAGATGGCCAACGGAGCGAGCTTCGATTCGAGCTTCTCGTAAACGTCGTTTTGCCAACCAACGACGCACCCAGCATTGAACCTAAAATTTATATAATAGTGGCAAGTTTTTATTGTTTTTTTTGTTCTGGCATAAGTTTGATGCTCAAGAGCTTAAAACCTGCCTGAACTGAACATGGTAAAGATTGAAAAACATTCAATTTCAAACACTGAAAGAAATAAGACAAATATTGAAAGTATTAGCCTATATTGATGTAGTCTCTAAATTTCGAGCTCATTCACTCACCTTGATGACTTTTCGAATGTACTTGACACGTTCGCGGCGTACCATGTAGCCGCGGAAATAGCGCTGGATTGTGATCGCGCACTTCTCATAACGCATCTGAAAATGGAATGAAAAGAGAAATAATTGAAAAATTCAATAATGATCTAGAATTTATTCTCTTTTCAAACCCACCTTTTGATAAGCTCTTCGAATAACATTCGCTCGGTGGGCTGATTGGATGGCGATGACGGCGTTGAGGAGACTTTTATAGCGCTTCTCGGCAATGTAGCGTCTAAAAATTGTACGATACATGAAGCAAGGAGCAAAATAAACAATAGTTAATGCAAATTTTGAAAAAACTCACCTCCAAGTCGTCTGAATCTTGACAGCAGCTCGTTGCATTTGGAGGTAATGCAAGCGGCGACACGCGAGATGGGCCCGAAGTGAGGCCTGCAACTTTGAAAGTTTGCTAATTTTTGAATAAATTGATAAATTATCAGATAAACTAAGTATTTCATAAGTAGAAAACTCAAAAATTTCAAAACTTTAGCACCTGGATGAGTCGAACGGCGGCCATGAGCTTTTCGTAGCGCTTTCGGGCGACATACCCACGCCAAACGGATTGGATTTTCGTGGCACTTCTGGAAAAGGAATTAGCTATAGCTTTTACTGTAAAATTTCAAAATTTTCGTATTTAAAAGTTTTGTTTTACCTTGTCAGCGTCTCTTGTCGCAGTCTTTCCAACAGAGCAACCTGGCCAGTTCGGAAGAAAATCTTTGTGCGTCCAAGCGCGAACTTTTCTTCCTAGAAACAATTGAGAAAATTGCTAAAACGTTTTTTCTCTATTATTGTCACCTCAAGAATTTTGCTGCAAGCTTTTTGAGCGAATTGCTTGCAACCGTCGTGTGTTCTCAACAGAGCGCCACCGGATGGATAAAGAACACGATAGCGTTTCGCAAAGTCCTCGTAGATCCATCTAGAGAACAATCAGTAGATAATTCATAGAAATATATCTATTTTTTGAAGTTTAAAAATTTTTTAACCTGCTTGGGTAGCCTTCAGCCGAGATGCGGACCGTCTCGAGTACACCGCAAGCGCGCAGCTGTTGGATGGCTCGTTTCGGCTCGAAAAAAGAACTCTTCCTAAAAATGCACAGTATGATACACATTGGACATTATATTTCAAGTTTTTGCTGAAAAAAAACCTTTTCATCGTTTGGCTTTATACAGCGAACGTAGTGTGGGCGAGTTGCTTGCAGTACGATCATCAACTCGCGTAAAGAGTCACGGAACTGAAAACTTTTGATGACTGAATATTTCGAGGACTCAGATCGCATTATTCTGTTTGGCTACTGTTTAAGTAACACCAATGGTTTAGCGGGACGCCTTTGTCCTTTGTCCTTAACCCTTTGTCCCAAGAGGAATCGAATTAGGTTTGGGGTTTATTATCCCAAATATTTATTGATTATTAATTTATTATCTGAGAAACTGTATTTTGTCTGACTGACATATCTTAGCATTTCACAATGAAAAGACTCATATTTTGTCCATTTCGAATTTCCTCAATAAACCGAAAATTCTGTTTACCTGTCCGGCGACAGTCTTCTTGATGGTTCCAGGTTTTCGGCCGCTTGCCGGCTCCTCGATAACAGATGAGATGATCGTTTTGAGGAAATTGCTCTAAAATATTCAGTTTAATAATATCTATTTTGCTATTTCTCAAGTTTTATCTCAAGTATCCACCTTTGTCTGTGCAATCACTTCCAGCAGTTGCGCGTTCACACTGTCCTTATTTTTCTCAACGAAACCATCGATTTGATAAGAGACATCGGCGGCGAAGTGCCGAACCATGAACGACGAGGCTCTAAAGGTAAATCTATAAAGGTAAATCAATAAAGAAAAATCCAGCTACAATCCAGCTACAATCCAACTACAATCCAGCTAAAATCCAGCTATCTTAGCCTTTTATAGACAGTTATTATCCTCAAATTGTATTTGGTTTGACTGACTTGATCTTTGGCATTTGTAGATGCGGTTGCTTCTTCAGCTGAGGACAATTCGTGATTTGATCGAGCCAGCCGGGATCAGTGCCTTTGACGATTTTGCACTGTTCATCCAGGTACTCGATCAATCCCGGACGACCCTCGATCAACTCGATGCACGGTTGATTATCGTAGAAGTCGATTCGGACCTAGAACTTACGATTCAACAACCCTGGATTCAAAGTCGCGCAAAATCTACTCCTAACTGCAATCAATTCATAGAGGTTAAGGTTTAAGTTTGCTTAACCTTTTTCTTTCAATATCTCCTTTATTTAATTCTTTTTTTGTTAATGAAGCCGGTCAAGCCAAATCAAACCCTTGTCTTTCCTCTTCTTTCTGATTTTCAACCAAAGCTTGGCTTAGCTTGGCTTGGCTTGGCCTGCTAGGAATAGCTCTTCTGACATTAACCCACCCAGCTGAGCTCTTCTCTCTCATATTCTTCTTGTTCCAACTTGAAGACGTGTTGATTAAACTGTTGTTGCAATTTCTCATTCGCATAGTTGATACAAAATTGCTCAAAACTGTTCACTTGAAAGGTTTCGAATCTAAAAAACTGACATCTTTATAAGAAAAATCAAGGAAACACTTTTTTATTAGATTCTGAAGATGCTTCACTTACCCATAGATATCCAAGACTCCAATGAATTTCTCATTCTGTCGCTTTTTCAATTTTTCCTTCCTTGCCAACGAAACGTTCACCTTTGCAACCACCCAATTGAAAAGATTCGAGTAAAGCATTTTTGCGAGAGCATCTCGATTCCGAAGAGACTAAAAACTAGTGTCATAGTAGCTATTAAAAGTTTGCTTTTAGCTTTCAAACCTCTTCTCTCGTCAACGGTTTCACGACAGTTTCATTGATTGCTCGAATCTCTCGATGTGTCAACCATCGTCGCAAGTCCGTCTCTTTCACCAAAAGGAGCTCTTGACAAAGGTGCTTCAGATCACTGCCGCATTTTGTCTAAAAGGAAGAAGACTATGCCAGAGAGGATTTGTTTGCACTTTTAAAAGTACAGAACTGAACTCAAAGCAAGCTCACCAAAATCGTCGATCCCTCATCACCCTCAAAGTCGACATTGCCGAGTGTGAGCACGGCGGCGAGCACACGGAAGAGTTCGCTCTGCTCAACGACAGTGAATCCGAGTAGATCAAGAGCTTGCACCTAAAGATATCAATACTATATCAATACTATTAAAAACTATTGTACTATTAAAAATTAAAAATCACCGTCTCTTCAAATTCAGCTCGATCGTCGACTTCATCGACATAAATATTTCTTCCCTGATTCGCGTAGAAATAATCATCAGCCGATTCTAAACAAAAAGTATTTGCAAAATGAAAAAAAACTACTGAAAACTCACTCAAATTCCAAGGTCTCAATAGTGCATGATCAAAACTGGCACACATTTGATAAAAGATGTGATAATTCCGCTCGTTTTGAGCCTGGAAAACCAAGCGCGACTTCTCCAAGAGGTAAGTTTTCATTTCTGCGCCCACAATCTCATTGCTAAAACTTTTATTGAAAAGCCAAAATCAAAACTAAAACTTTAATTGAAAAAAATCCACTAACTTGTCTCCAAAATTGATTTGAATGAATTTCCCGAAACGACTCGAGTTATCATTGCGGATCGTTTTCGCGTTTCCGATCGCCTCCATAATTGGATTTGAGGCAAGGATTTTCTCCTCGATTCCCCGGAAACCTTGATTCCCACCAGCAACGGTAGCGAGGTATCTAAATGCGAAAGGATACGGTCAAAGAAAGGTAACGGCCTAGTGGACTTTGATTAATTTACCATAAGAACAAAAAAAATGGTGTAATGGAGATAACTAGCTGTGCAATTGTGCAAGAGTCAATATCTAGAAGTCATTAAAAATCAATTTCAACTGTCAAAATTGGTTTTTTTTTCGCACCAACCTCATGACATGTTTAGCCGAGACGGTTTTTCCTGCTCCCGATTCTCCGGAAACGATGATCGATTGATTTTTCTGATATTCACAAAGATCATAGTAGGCCTCTTCGGCCACCGCGTAGATATGTGGGTCAAGTTCACGAACTTGTTTCCCGACACCACGATAGATCTGAATTTATGATGACTATGGATCTATACTAGACATGAGAAAATTCCAACCCGAACCTAATTCCACCTTCGTTTTCTTAGCCGACTCTTGCCCGATTTTTGACTGATTCTTGGCCACTTCTTGGCCAATTCTTCTCCGATTTCCTCTGTAATTTTGTCTACAGATAGAAATCGAGATTTTCAGCATTTTGTAGACAAAATTTCAGAACAATCGGCCAAGAACCAACGACCGAGAAACGAAAGTGGAATTTTCCCATGTCTAGTCTATACTCTACAAAATTCAAAAATACATACGTAAGTACAAAATCTTACTCCTTAACACATTTGAAATCACCTGTATCACATCATCACTGTAAAGGTGTCCACAATTTGCGTACGGATTTATAGCGACGAGCACGATTCCGCAATACGTGTACACGCATTTCCGGGTCATGAAGCGAAATTGGAGATTGTGAAGAACTGAAAATGAAAGAGAATTAGATTCCAAACTTAGATTCCAAACACTTACCAGCTGGTTCATGAAGATAACTCAAAGTGGTTAAATCGTCGACACCAATCAAAATGTCGGGATTACGCAAAAAAGGGAGACTCTCGGGGCCTTTAATCAAGATCTCGACCACCTAGAAGCTGATAAGTTCGTGAATTTTTGGAAAGCAAGAACAATTTTTAGGGACATTTATTTATATCCGCACATTTCCACAATCTGGATCACTTATGGGTAAACTTTGGCAGGATTTAGAAGCAAATAAAGTAGATAAATCCTAGCTTGAGACAGTAGGAATAATTTAGTTTTCTTGATTTAGAATACCACCGAAAAAGATTCCAAAAACCACTCACACTCTCGTCATCCAACTGAACATGAGCCCGGGTGGCGCCGATTTTAAGATCGTCGAGGAGAAATCCTAGAAAAAGATTTTCAGATAAGTAGATCGATTTTAAGAGATATATTTAAATTTAAAGATATCGGGGAGTGGGACAAATGCGACCTTTTTTGCGCACCCGGACATTTGCGCACCTTTTTTTCCGCACCTTGCCCATTGTTCGAAAATGCCGCACAAAATGCCGAAAATGCCGCACAAAATTGGCCGCTCAAAAAGTCACTACTTTTGAAAAAGAATTTGGCTAAAAAGTGCTTAGAATGGTGTATATGGGCCTTATGCATCACCCAGAAGGGTTGGCAGTAAAATTTAAAAGGATCTAAAAAATTATAAGGGGGGACCCTTATCATTTTCAAGAGCCGACCTCCAGGGATTAAGGCTGAAAGAATTCTCTTGTTTTAAACATGTTTTTCGTCCGTTTTAGAGCATTTTCAATCAAGCTAGAGTGATTTTAAAAGATTTTTAAAAATTTTATATGTTCCCCCCTTATGTGATTTTTTTGGGGAGTCTGAAAAATGATAGGGAAAAAAATAGAAGGCGCATGCCCTACAATTACAGTATTTACAACTAAAAAACATCAATTAAAGATGCAACTTACCACAAATCCATACGAGTTCCGAGTGTCGTTGCCAGATCCGAGCTCCTTTTTTGTAATTCTCGAAAGCGAATGCCTGATTGCGTCCGAGCGTCGCGTTGCCGTTCATTTTCTAAAAATAGTTGATAACTTTTTGCAAATCTAAAGCAATGAAATTGTTAAACAGTTTTCTGTTTTAACATCAACTACCATAATACCTGTAACAGAAGAGGAAGGAAAAACTTTAAAAAAGTAAATATAAAAAAGTACCATCTATTATAAAAGCGGTCTTCATAAATAACGAAAATATCTTCCGAAAACTGTTTTTTTTTTATATCAAAATGATGCTTTTACGTGCCATTACGTGACTTTTATTTCAACAAAACAACTTAGTATCATTAAATTTCTTTTCATGAAATTTTTAGAGTCGCTCTCATCGTATTTTAAACATTGCTTTTTCTAGCACCACCACACAGCACGAATGGCCGAGTCTAAGGCGAGGTCTAAGGCGCCGGACTTAAGCGGCAGCTTCCCCGTGCTACACGGGTTCGGGTCTTCTGGTATCTTCGGATGCGTGGCTTCGAATTCCACCACCGTAGAAGATTCCACCACTCGAATTTGCATTTTTGCAAATTCGAGAAAATATTATAGAGAGACAAGTCAAGGATGACCCATGAACTACTTTACTTTTGGATTGCTTCCAAAAGTATACAAAAATAGCGGTAAAGATAACAATATTTTGTGATGTTATTTCAGCGGTTAATACTAGTAAGCAAATCCCCGTTTGCAGCCGGTGTCCTAAACTTTCAGAGATTTAGAAAGAGAAGAGTGAAAAAGGGTGGCCATGACTTATTCTTTAGCATAATACAGCCTGTGGTAGACAGTTCTGGTTAAAATTTTAGTCAAGATTCCGCTTTTTTAAGTATTTTGATCGAAATCCGAACAAATTTGGGTCTAAAAAAGGTCATTTTTAAAAATTGGGCGGTCGTCTCTAGTTAGATGGAAATTAGAAGAGCATCCTCTTCTATTACAGGTATTACGGTATTCAGTTTTTCTATAAAATCAAACCTTTCTTTATTGTGTGCAGCTTTTGTTCATCACTGGGTGTAATAGATCAAAAGAGAGGGGCAATTTGCTGAAAAAAAAGCGGTAAGAAATTTAAATAAAATCAAAATAAAATCAACCTCTCAGAAATTAGAAAAAGTCAAGACAGTGAACAAGAGTAATAAGTTTCTAGGTGAAGAAAACGTTTTTTAGAAATAGAATTTAAATCGGTTAAAGATAGACAAGAGATCATTGATCAAACATAAAACATCACTAGATTTGAATTTTATTTTACAGCGATCCTAGATGACTAACAGCCGGAAAAGAGGGAAATGTGTCGATGTTTTGATAGTGGTTTAGTGGGAAGAGAAGGGAATGGGCATGACGAGTTTGGAAAAGGAAAAAGGAAAAGAGAAAAGGGAAAAGCAAGGGATTGGGGTCGGGGAGGGACCACAAAAGGAGAAGTCCCGAAAGAGTCGAACAGTTTTGCGACAATCGTCCAGAAAAGGAGCCGAGGATGGAACAAATAGAACAAAGAGATGAAATGGAATGTGGAATGAAGTGGATCTGAACAAGAAAAGTGACTGGCTAAAGAATGGCTTTATTCAGAGAAGTTTAATAACAATAGTGCAAGCTGTGAGCTGATCAACTTTCGAGTTACTGATTGAGAAGATGATTCTCAAGATTCTAACACCATTACTATTAGGTTGTCTCCAGATATAAATGCGCGTTTTTAAGATAACAACTCTTTATTTTAAAACCAACAGTTTAACAGCTCAATCAACAATATATTCAACATTTGTTAACAATATTTGTTTCCATCTTCCATGCAAAGAATGAATTCCCTCGGCGTAAAAATTGGCTTGTTTTAAGGCAAAGAAGTCGGCTAACCATATTTTTCGTCCTCTTGAACATCTTTGAACCTGTTTCCAGCCCAATGGTTTCGCATTGAGCGAAATAAATGATAATCCGAAGGAAAAATATCCGGAGAATATGGCGGATGCAGGAGAGTATAGAGAAATAGGGTTTGATAAAATTGCATAGCCCTATGGTACGCTGTTCAAGAGCAGGCGCGCATTCATAACTGGACAACCTAATATATGTATCAAACAGAAAATTGGAAACGAAAAAGTAAAATGTGAAAGTGAACAATAAAGATTATTGTGAAAATATGGAAAATTAAAGATTAAAGAAAAGAATGTGAAAATTAAAGAAAAGAAAAAAATCGAAACATTTTAGCAAGTTTATGATTAAATTTGTTTACTAGATGATGGCAAAAAAATCATTTATTGGATGTAAATAAAAAGGCTCTTGTACAAGACAAAAAAAACGCGACACTCATCAAAGGGGAAAAAAGAGAGTGGTCAAACATTGGACAAACACGAGTGTGAATCTTGTTTTTTGCCTTGATGAGTGGGAAACGAAAAATGTATAACGTTGTACGTCGAACGTACTAACTACTAAATGAAGCAGAGAAAAGACAGATAAAACCAAGCTCTAATAGTTTCCTTCAAGCTTTCTAAGAAATCCAAAAACTGGAAAAGAATTGATTCGGGGAAATTTTCGTGTTGTTAAGGCCATTAATCAAAAGGCTGCTTGAAAAGCGGAAAAATAGAAATGCAAATGCAAATTGCGGGCCTTGTTTCGCATCAAATCTCTAGGGTCAAATTGGGCATTTGGTAAAGAGAATCTAGGGAATAAGGGAATGAAAGGGGACAAGGGACAGGTGTAGCTATGGCTATAGTGAGTGAAATGGAGGGTGCACGGGGGTGGAGGGGGGTGGAGGGATCTTTCGCAACCTCTCCTCAACCCTTTGCCCAGGCAAAACCCGCACAGTCCGTCCCTTGCGCATTCACGGTTGGTAGGCATGAAATTATACCATTTTTTGCTTTATAAAAGATTCTTCGGAGCTAGCTATTGTTTATCAACAGATTCTTATCAAAAGCCAGCTATTGTTCAAGTACACAATCACTGTCTAATAGTCTAAAGAACAGAGATTTCAAAAGTTGATCCTTTTGCATTACATAAACACCTGATTGAGATATGCAAATTAGTTCAAGGCTTGATAGAATGCAAGGCTGGACAAAAACCTAATTCTCCAGGCTAAACCAAGCCAAGACCAAGCCAAGACCAAGCCAAGACAAGACAAGACAAGCCAAATCAAGGCCATCGGCTTTGATTTCTTTTGGCTTTCCGTTCAAACCTGGTACAGTCTAATCTCTAAATGATCTCTAAAGTTATTCTATGCAAATTAAACTGTTTGTAAGCGATGCATTGACTTGGTTAGTCTGATTAAAAACCATCTTATCAAAGTGTCTATCATTCGAGCTTTTGGGTGGTACTCTTTCACAATCGGCCACTTTACAGAATGGGAAAAGGGGTCGACTTGCCACCTGTATTCGGTTCTTTTCGTCGAGTGACGTGTCCTCTCTGATTGGCCGTTCATTTACAAGAACTATGTCAACCGGTTGCCGCAAAGAAAACTGGTTTTAAAAGGGGGATTTCGAAAAACAAAAAAGTGTTCAGCTCAGCCGTAGGTTAGAGAAAAGAGGATAAAATGTTGTTGTACTTCGAAAAATTCTTGTATTGTGATGGTGATAGCAAAAAAAACACAGATAAAACAATAGGGTAAAGATGAAAAAGTTGGGGTGATATTGTAAAAAGTGCAAGATATTTTGAATCAACTTATCGAAGTTTTGATTAAAGTTGGTTTAGGTTTAGCCTGGTTTAGCCTGGAGAATTAGGTTTTTGTCCAGCCTTGCATTCTATCAAGCCTTGAACTAATTTGCATATCTCAATCAGGTGTTTATGTAATGCAAAGGATCAATTTTTTCAATCGATTGGCTAAACTAGGGTTGAGTTTTACAAAAACACAAGTAAAAATCGATCGAAAAACTCGAAAAATCAGGATCGACAAAATAATTGAACCAAATTTTCAAAGAGGTTCTCACAAAACTCACAAATCACTCAGAAAACTTGATGTTTTCATAAAAATTTATGGAAAGATCGTAGAAAACTGTAAAACTGAATTGAAGTAAACAGTTAATCGGAGTAATCTTTACAAGGAAAGTTAATTTCTAGGTAACTCTAGGTTTCTAAGTTTTTAGGTAAATATAGGTAACTTATAAAAAACAGGCATTGATTCGCCAAAAGTCCAGCATGTTTATTTTCTAGGAAGTGGTGGAAAGGGGGAACAGACAGTTGGGGAAGGGGGAAGGGGGGAAGGGTGCGGAAGAGCGACGACGGAAAAAAAACGATCGAAGGGCCGATCGACGGATGGACTTTTCTCTTTTCAAAGATTGGAGAGACGTGGACACTGAAGGAAATGGGAAAAGAGAAAAGAGAAGAAAGGCTGAAATGGTGGATGAGAGAGATCGGAAAAGAGACTTCATTTGAAAGAGGCCTGGAGGTTGTCGGAAAGAACATCCATCCTTTTGCACCTTTGAAAGTTGGATTTGGGCTGAACTTTAAAAAGTTGTAAAGATAATGAAAAGTAGCTAGTGTAAGAGAGATTTGTATTTGAAAACCAACAAATTGGTAACCTAGCTGTAGCCAAATCATCTGACTATTCGATTATCCAAGTAAAATATTAAAAAAATCAAAAAACCTATCAAAGTATTCTTCTATTAGATGATCTAAAAGCGATAATGAGACAAGCGATAGCATTCACTTTTGTTCAAAAGTGTTAAGTGAGCTAGAAATTAACCTTTCAAAGACTTGTAATTGCAAGAGAAGGTTCAAGTTTCATCTGCTGACACGTCCAAATACAAGGTGGTTGAAAAGTTCCGCCCGCATTAATAAACGTGTCTTTATAATAAAACTCCGTCAAGATAGAGCACAATGGGACACAAATGGGAGATTCATTCTCCTCCGAAACGGACGTCCGACTCAGAGTTGGACGTCCATCTCTGAGTCGGACGTCCGTTTCAGAGGAGAATTGCCAAACCGTACATATTACCAAATTATTTGTGAAGAAAAAAAGTAAATTGAGAGAATTTCCATTTTAACTTCCTTTTTCATTTGTTTTGTTCAAAACATTGGATTTTGCATTTAAACTATTTGTTCTCAAGATCGGACGTCCGAATCTGAGGAGATTCATTCTCCTCCGAAACGGACGTCCATCTCTGAGTCGGACGTCCGTTTCAGAGGAGAATGAATCTCCTCAGATTCGGACGTCCGGATCGGAGATGGACGTCTCCTCAGATTCGGACGTAACATATATATATATATACATATATGTTTATTAAAAAAAAATTTTTTTTTTTTTTTTCTTTTTTTTTTTTTTTTTTTTTTATTTTTTTTTTTTTTTTTAATTATAAAAAAAATAAAAAAAAAAAAAAAAAATTAAATATTTTTTTTTTTATATTTTTTTAAAAAAAAAAAAAAAAAAAAAAAAAAAAAAAAATTATAAATTAAATTTTTTTTTTTTTTTTTTTTTTTTCTTTAAAAAAAAAAAAAAAAAAAAAAATAAGATTCTAACGCGCCCTCAACGATTATCTTTTCACATTAATAGTATTACTTCAAAAACCTCAACATTGAAAATGCAGTTAACTGCTGCATGTCTTTTGGGTCTTTGATGGATTTTACGTAGACTATCTCTTTTTACAACTGAAAAGTAAAAAGATTAAACACTTTATCTATCTGCATAAAATATGTTCGATAAAAGTTGATTAAACGACAAACATTCAAGTTAGGTTTGCTGTTCAGGTTTCTATAATAGGCAGGTTCTGGGCTAATGTTGTGTTATGATAGTAAAATGACCATTACCTAAGCATTTAGGATGCATTGTTATTAGCATCAAAGCAAAATTTACAATAACGCCTCGAATCCAAAAACGGCTTAAACCGTTATATGTTTACGTAGTCTTGAAAAGAGCATTAAAAAACCAATACTCTTCACAAATTTTTTAAATTTGACATTAAGAATTTAACCATTTTTGAGTTTTGCAAGTTGCAACAAGCCGCCGATTTTCAGTGTAATTTGCATTACACCGTAACAGATTGTATCTGGTTGCCATCTTTTCAGGAATATTAAATGAAGTCCTTAGTTTTCTTCAAGTTTTCACTTTATCAACAATTTCAATATTTATCTGAAACTTTTTACAAATAGTTATATTTATTCAAATGTTAATTTTATTCTTTTCTGGTATTTTATCCAACAAAATCAAAACCTTTAGGATCATGACTCAATGATTAGATTGACTTAAAAAATGGCGTTGGGTGACGATGATCTCATGTCAATTTCATTTCAGGTATGCATCAGAAATTGAATGAATGCCATAATTAGAAGATTCTTTCATTTTATTTTATATTTCAGACATGTGCTCTTGTAATTGCCGGTCTTCCATTTACCGGCTTTTTATTATGCCTTTTTCTTGCTTTATTTTTGCATTTTGAAGAAACCACACAAACACATTGTGGTGTTGACAATTGGTAAGGAAATCAATAGTAAACAAAAAGTTTAAGAAAATTAAGGTTGCCGTCAGTTTCTGCAGCGGTATCTTCTGTTCCACCCGAAATTTACATTTGGCGAATATTTATTGCAGTTCATGGAGGACCTCGTCTTGTTCTTGCTTTCATCTATCGGTTTTGTTTTTTACAAGATAATCAAAAGGAACCAAATTATTTAGAAATTTGCTTTTAACATCCCCACTTCGACCGTTAACTCACGTGAAAATATTCCGCTATTTGTGTCATTTTGGATGCGGTATCCATATAGCTGAGAATCTTTTCCTGATTGGTCTTACTTGTATTTCTTCGAGAGAAAATCACGGTTCTAAAATGAATTTTTAATGGAATCAGATATTTTCAGAAGCGCACAAAATCTCTTTCTTCGGCTTTGTGCTCACGAGTTTTTTCTATATGTTTGTTGCAACGTGGCTTTTCAGTTATTCGGGGCGACGAAGAACGACCAGTCTGGTAAGGAAAAGAGCGTAACAGTCTCAAAAATGAAAGAATTTACAAATTAGGGAGAGACTTCTTATGAATACAAAGTATTGGCGAGCGTGGCGGCTCTTATCTCAATTTTTGTTGCAATGTACTTATATTGGAGACACAACAAATACTGTGAACCAGGCATTTACACTCTTTTTGCATTGGCTGAATATTGCTTTATCGTTTCGAATATTGCTTTTCATTTAACCTTATATTTTGATTTACAAGGAAAACGCTTTATTCTTACATCAGCCACTTCAGGGTATCATTATGATACACTTTTACCAGTTCTCAATAAAGACACTTAAACTATTGAACTATTGTGATTGATAAGTTTTAACCTTTTCCCCTTCACTTCATTTCATTTCACTTTGCATAATTTATTCAGTTTTTCTTCAATGAATGGGTTATAATTCTGTGATAATAAAGATTACTATTATTGATAACCTGGGGATGAATCGATTGGTGTTTTTAGTTCAGTTATTTTCTTTTGAATATCCTACATAATGGAATTTAGAGTTGGCTATCAAAACTTCGGAGTGGTCGCGCGGAAGCAGCTAGAACTCAACGCTGAAATGTCCCACAGACCTGAATCTTTTCCCAATAAAAAGCCCTTTTCTCAGGCTATCTTTTTATACTAAATACTTGCCATGATTTGCTAAAATGACTTTTTACAAGCCATTAAAACTTTGAAAACCCTTATCAAAACCAAAGTCATTTTTGCACTTCGCCCTACAACATACTTATTTTTTACTGAAAAAAATTTCAGGTCTGTTAGACATTCCAGCACTGAGTTCTGGCTGCTTCCGCGCGACTACCCGGAATTTTTGATAGCTAGGTCTACTAAAATTGCATACTCACTGATCTTTTCACAGATTCAACGATATGCCGATAGAAATCACAGAAATCAAACAAGGTGATGCTGATGATATTCTTCGTTTAATTAAGGTCACTTTTACATTACGCTAGAAAACTTACCGAGCACAACAATTTATAGGGGTTGGCTGTTTATGAAAAGATGCCCGATGCTGTTGAGCTTACTGTATCTCAACTGAAAATCGATATCGAAACAAAAGCTGTACTTGGGTACATTGCTAGGGTAAGAACAAGAAGAAAATTGAACTTGAATTGAAATGGTTGGAATGCTTCTTTTTTATTTAGGCCGAAGAAAATCATGAAATGGTTGGAATGCTTCTTTTTTATTTACCATATTCGACATGGCAAGGACAGGTTCGAAACAGTGATTCGTTCATAAATTTGATTAGAATTTTTAGTATGTTCATATGGAAGATCTATACGTGGATCCGAAATATCGACAATTGGGTATCGGAAAAAAGTTATGGGCAAAGTTGGCTGAGGTGAGAAAAAAAAAGAAAACTTCCAATCTTTTAGAATTTTTTTTTTAGTATGCAGCCAATCGAAATATAAAGCGTCTTCAATGGAATGTCCTTGATTGGAATCAACCAGCAATTTCGTTTTATGAAAAGGTAAAATAAGAATAAAATCAAGCCCACTCACTTCTACAGTTGCCATGTCGTTGTTTGACAAAAGAAGAGGGATGGCTTCTTTATCGAATGGGCCCTGATGATATCAAAATCCTCGCAAAACATGCCGATTAAAAGGCTCTTGTTTTCAAAAAGGGTCATGTACCATTGTTAATAGATTGTTCTGATTGAACTGTTTGTTATTTTGCACAAAAGAAAACAAGAACACATGAAATGTTTATGCTAAGAGTGAGTTATCTCTCATCAAATTGGTCACAAAAATACTGGAGCACACACAAGTTTTAACCGCAAAATGTTTGCATGATTTTGAGTGAAGTATCGAACTTGACTTTATTGATGTACCGAATTGTGCGGTGTACAAAGAAGTTGGCCTTGGAAACGACGACACAGTAACAAGTCTAAACGATGTTTTCAGTTTAAACTAACATTAAAATTTCTATCATAGAATGTAATTTTAATGGCCTTTTACCGTTCTCTTGTTCACCCTCCATTGGTGGAACTGGAGGAGCAGATCTCTTGCCATATCTTGACAGCACGGCTCGTCCTACAAAACATTGTCAATCTTATAATCCCTCTATTTTTTAATGAAGTCTACGGTACTTGTGGATCTTTTGATGGTCACTTTACAATTAGTTAACAATAGGAATCATCTTTTGGGCATGTAAGGGGTCAACTTGCAAATACAAATTCTGTGCAAAAGTGAAAATGACCGTCAAAAGATCCGACAAGTATCGAGTCTGAACCCCACTAGGTACTATATGATGCACAAAGGACCTTGTCTTATGTCAATTCTTTTAGACTATTGATATAGTGAGATAAGGCGCTTAAAAAGACGTTTGGGAAAACAGACGTGCAACTCGGGGTGGCGGTGTTGGAAGTAAGGGAATCGGGGGTGAATCGATGGGATTTGAAGAGAAGAAACGATGAATTGGTTGATTTGGTTGAATAGGTGATGGGGATAGATGATGGGTAAACAATCTTTTTCTATCTGCCCATCTTTTTTCATCACCCCATTCACGCACTCTTCCAACACCTCCCACTCCTCCTCTTCCTTTTCCACTCAAAACTCCTGCTCGACCTAAATTCGTGATCCTCAAAGGCCTAGCTCTCAATCAAAAACACTTCCATAGTTTTATTTTATTTACTCATCCAATTCACTTACCATATCTTGAAAGTAACACCGGTCTTTTCTCAACCATCATTCGCTCATCAACAGCCGATGTCAATGCAAAGACACTCATCACAAGTAATAGCAAAAGATTCAACCAGGAAGAATTCATTTCCCGGTAGGTCACCTGAATCAATTTTCGTAGATTTTTTGAAATTTAAAAATAAAGTTGATCAATAACTTGAAAAGAATCTAATTTCGCTTTTGAGGAAACTGCTTTTTTTTCGGTGTAGAGTTTTTGATTAGAGCTGTTCTCGACAAATTGTATCGAAACCGTGGGAATCAAGACCTTTCATTTCAAGTATTATAAATTGCACAAGAATGCTTAAATCTCTAAAATTCTTTGATCTAAAATTTAGAGTAAAAATAGTTTGTCATACAATAAAGACAATGATGAGAATGGCAAAAGAAAGGATTTCAATTTTGTAGACAATCATTCATTTAGAAGTCTTTCCTTTGCTTTTCTAGATTAATATAAGGTATAGAAAAGCAATATGGGGATGACCAATGAATGATAGTGATTGATAAATGAATTCTGAAAATCTTTTGGTCTCAGAATAATCGGGCCGAAGATTTTAAGGAGAACGAAAGGAAGGAAGGGAGGGGGGCGGTGCTAAGAAAAAGGGTGATGGATTGAAAAGAAGCAAGAGAATTGTACTTGATGAAAAAAAAGAAAAAAGAAAAGAGAAATCTTTCTGAATTGTGATCCCCTTCTCACCTTTCTTTTTTCAGGATGTACACTTTTTGAGATTCGAGAATGACTCGTCCTTTCAGTTTAAATGATTACGTCATCTCGAAAGTTATTCTCCTGATTTCGTTAAAAGATGACGACAAGGCTGAAGCTCAAGATTGGCTCTACCTCTCGTTTTAATTTAATATTCCCTTTCTCTGATCGACTTTCCAAAATCACCCACGTACACTTTTTAGGGAATTAAATGTGATGTTTAAATTCTAATCAATAACTAATCCTACAAAACGAATGTATTGTCAGATCACTTAAGTTTGTCTCTACAAGTCGTTCTCTTAGTCGTGTCTCTACAAGTCGTTCTCTTAATCGTGTCTCTACAAGTCGATTCAAGTTTGGTTTCGATTTATCCAAGGAATCACTATCCTTCAGAATTCAAAATATATGGAAGGATTTTAGAATTGAGACTAGCCTTTCAATTTCTCAATCTCTACTTTCTTTTCTTCTTTACACGACCATATCGAGCCGTGAAATCTGGAAATCGGACACCGTCAGCTCTCTTCAAAAGCTCTCCCAGTATTCATCTCTTTCAACATTAAAACTCTTTTATTATTATAAAAACGGACTTGTAAAATAGTGTCTAAAAGGAATCTTTCGTTGGTATTTTTTATGGAAGTTAGATGACGTGAAAGTGGCATTAAATTCTTATCGTATAAAATAAGAATAAAAAAAGATTAAAAAATTAGATCAAATTTTAAAGATTGATTAAAGCATTCTTAGGCAAGAAACATTTATGTGAAAACCACCGTGAGCATAAACGAGAATACACGTAGAAGAAGTGGAAAAGGCGCCACTAGGGTTGGTTTTTGGTAAAAGTCCTATCTTGAAAGTATTTGGTTGTCGGAAAAACAAAGATAGAAAAGTTATTTCTCGGAAATTTTGATGGGAATCCCGATCTCTTCAAGTGGTCGATCATCATTCACAACAAGACTCAACGGTCCTCGACTATCCGTTGTCTGTACTGACATCCCTATAATATTTTTGTCAAAATATAAACATTTGTATCTGTTTAATTTCAACTCACCATTATCCAAATCATTTGGTCGATATGTCATATACCCGAGTACGGCGCCCAGAATACAAACCAATTTACAAATTATTGCTGAAAAAGAATATTCTTCAAAAAACGAGTTCAACAAACATAAAGCCATAATTGTCCATGCCAACTTGAATGGATCATAAACAAGACAACTCGTTTTGCTTTTACATACACTTTCACCCCATTTGATGCATGAGTTATCAATCAACACACCAAAAAGAATTCCCCCAGGAATAAAGCCTGAAACATTACTTTGATGATAAGTGAGACTTTGTTTTTGAAAAGAGACTCACCAAGAAGTCGAAGAAATGTCCAATTCAAACCGATAGCTATTGTTCGTTGATCGAACGGAACTACGCGAAGCATGATCTATATAAAAAATTAGTGGAAAAGGGAAGCATTTCTCACTTGTTGAGTAGGAATTCCTGCAGCAAAACTCGCTAAAACAGTCACGAAAAGACACAACAAAAAGCCGTAAACTCTCCATCCACAATCCTAAAAGATTTTGCTTAATTTTTGCTTCAATTTTGAGCACCTGTGAGCAATATCCTGAAACCACTTCATCTTCAGCTACACGATTGGTAATCGTCGAATTTATTGCACATCCACAATTTTTCCATAAAGTATCCTGAAATTTTAAATGGTTCGATATTTTTTTATGATTCGTACTTGAGTTCTTTCTTCTTTATTAGAACAACCCGCAAAGCACGGACTATAAAAAATGAGACCAGTCGACTTTTGACAAACGGGATTCCAGTCCTAAATTTTATTAATGCAAAAGTTGCAAGCCATATTTTGGCATATTTTGTTGGCAAACCTTTCGTTGGCATTTACAATTCAAATTACAAGTCTCATTGATCCGATCGAGAGTATTATCGTAATGAATCTCTCTTAAAAGTTTACTTTCTTTTAAAATCATAAAAGCATACAAACTTTCCTGAATAATTAACGCTAATCCCAGCGAAATTTCTTTGTGGACACGAAAAAATAAAACCGAAGACAAAAATGAGGGCAATCATTTGACAGACGATCACCATCTTCAACATTCCGCTCACCTCAAATGCTCACTATTGAAAAATAAACAGATTTGAGGCATAAATAAATATGTTATTCAAGCCAAGGATTCTATTTTATATTATATTTTTATTTTTTCATTTGAATGCACCTGAAGGTTTAACTTTCTCACAATGGCCCCACCCAACAGAACACCGCAAGCACACGCCAAAATGATCGTGGCTGAAAGCGAATTTTTGAATCAATGGTAACCGATTTACTATCGTTGCATTTATCATTTAATTTTGTTAAACTTTGTTATCTCGTCTATCTACTTGCTAAACTAAGCTAAATTAAACTGATTGCAAACTCACATGAAAGGTATGCACCAATAGTTGGTGTGGTAGCTAGAAGGGTTTCAAGAATTTTAGGCATAAAAGCTGCGAATCCGTTGATAATTATCGATTCGAAAATACCGAGAACTGAAAATTTGATTGAAATGTGCTATATTTTATATTTATCTTGATTACCAATCACTACATTGAAGGTCGGGTTCCTAAGAATTCCAATCACAGTTCTCCACAATTTCCATTTCGATTCTTGATCCTTGGCCATTTCTACATTTGTTTGGTGCGTCTAAATGATCGTTGAATAAGCGTTTTTTTATTAAAAAGAAAAAGTCAAAAATTTTTGGATTTTCTTACGAACTTGATTCACATCTTTTGCACGATGTCTTCTCGCTTCTGGCAATTGTCGAGCATAAGCCAAAATTGGAATTGCAACTAAATATTGGAAGAGTATAACAAATTTTATTTTAAATGAAGAGCTTTAAAAAAGTGCCTACCGAAAAAAGCGGAAATCGCAGAAAAGACAAATCCGATCCACCAAGCACCAATCCATCTTGGATCAAGATTGTCTTTTAGTGGTACTCTAGATCACAAGATTACCAGTATGTTTGAGTTAAGTTAACCTGTTAAGCTAAGTTAAAGTTAATAGATCACAAGATTACTGGTTTTAAGTTAAAGTTAGCAGTTAGCTGCTGGTGATTATAAAAGCGATAAGATATGTCACTAAATAAAATACTTTGTCACCCGATCGAAGTCATCGTAGATTCGGAGCAAAAACCCCCCGGCAAAGAGACCAACAGCCGGTCCCATTGAAGTGATCACAGCATTGATCGCTACAAATGGAGGTTTCCAAATAAAATGTTCAAATGAAAAAACCGAGAAACATTGGTGAGGCTTTTTGTGAGACATTCTCATCAATGTAAGCAGTACCAATCGAAAATAAAGGAGTTGAACCAAGTCCATGCAGAGTTTGACCAAGAATAAACAGCTAGAAGTACTCCTTTTACTGATTATCATAACAGAATTTACCCAAAAGTACGGATTTAGATAAGATTTGAAGCTTCGATCTTTACATTCGTCATGGACAAAAGTTCTGAAAAATTATCTAAATGAAAAAAGCAGCTCCAAATTTAATTAGCTTGTGTCTTTTTTCTCAAAAACAAACCGATTAGCGTAACATTGCCCAAAATCTTCATTTGGATCAACGTTTAAATCTGTGGGTTGATAAGGGTCAACGATCCAATGTGGAAGCGCACAAATTGCTGATCCAGCCGCCATGATTAATCCACCAATACCAATCCATCGACCCTTATGTCCTATAAGAATTATTCATTTTTAAATATCGTTTTTCTTACAAAACCTTCATTTCCCCAATGACATACAGGAAAGACAATGAGAAGGACAGCAAAATCATACCATGATGAGATCACTCCAGTATGTGTACTGAATTCAGTGTTTCACCCGTTTGAAAGATTTCAAAACTTGCCTTGTCATATGAAAACGTCTCTCAAGAGTCGAAAGTCCAACCGGAAAAATCGCATTGACTACAAAACTCTAACTATTAATAATGAGAAATTGTGGAGAAATGCTTGGTAAACCTGAATGAAAGCACAAAGACCCAGAAAGACAAGTAACCAACGAGATGTATGAAAACATTGAAGCCATTTTGGGGTACAACTGGAAAAAAACTTTTAAATTAAATGGAAATTGGAGAAATGTTATAAGACTTACTTTCGATATCCACATAAGAGTTGATCTTCATCAAGATCGGCTGTATCTTGTTTATTTGACTGGTCATCTTCAATCGAGTCCGTACTATGTCGTTCCATTCAAATCAAAGTATCCTTCGCTTTGTTTCAACGTTTAAATTCACATGGTTAATACACTTTTTAAAGTCAAAAAAGAAGTTTAATCGAATATTTTCAAAGAAGTTTTTATGAGAATTAAAGCGAAGGCTAGCGGCTCGCAGCTCGCACTAAGTCTATTTGGGTCTGGGTTAGGTTTAGGCTTAGGACATAATTTTAACACTGCTTGACATAATTTTAAAGGCAGATCAATTTTGGAGTTTTTCAAAAATGAATGATGGTATGTTAAAACTGCTTTTTGTAATCAATTTCTATTTCTATTTAACAAATGAAGACGTAAAACAAATAGGCAATCAACAAAGCTTTTATCTTAGACAAACTTTACTCCAAAGACCCAATTAAAATTATGTTCAACCGTGTATATGAAAAGAAATGGTCTATTTTAGCGGTCGGATGCCAAGACTGATTTATGGATCAATTTGAAAGGAATCCCCAACTTTGGGTTCTTATTTTGCTTCCTTTTTGCTTTTTGAGCGAAAAGTCGATCTCGATATTTATGACTTTACGAAGAAATCGACAAGAATCTTTTCTCAAATTGTGACTTTAAACGGGCATAGTTATTTCAATAAGGCTATACTTTGTGATATGTAGATACTTAATCTCCATCAGGACTCTTCTACGTGTTAACAGGACTTATTACTTGAGCAAAGTTAAAGATCAAAAGTTTTACAGAAAAACTCAAGAGTCAGGAAAATAAATTGAATTAGAAAATTCAATAAATATAAAAGAAAGGGAAGAAATCGAATCGACAATCATTGTTTCTCTCGTTGCTCTCATAGAGTTGGTAGTACTCGTCAAGAAGAAAATCAGAAAAAAAAAAGCAATAGAAGAAAAGTGATAGGGAAATGTTTGAGAGAGGAGGGGAGTAGCCATGCATCACCAAAGTCGCGAGGGGACGGGATGGCGATGGGGAAGGGTGATCCTCGGGGTCGAGAGAGTGGTTACCTTCCCATCACCACGCATCTCCGTTTCCCATTCCCTCGTCGACCACAAAATAAAAATGAAAAGTGAAATTTACTAAAATATATTCTTTCTAACTTTGATTCTACATCAATTCCGTTCATTTATCTATAAACGGTCAAAGCTTGATTCAGATCTTAAAATGACAGAAACAAGACGAAAAATTGCCCAAAATGAAATGTCTCATTCGAGAAACATTGCCTCTTTTTGTTTCTAGGCATTTTTTGTGGAGGGAAAAACCTTGAAAACATTTGATCAAGAGAAAATCGAACAGGTTTTTAAAGTCATTTTTCTTTTGACTGCCCAATTCCAATGATCAGTGTTTCAGGTGTTTGTTAACTTGAATTTCTTTTATTGAATCAAATCAAGCAACAATATTTTCAAATTTTTTTCAAAATTTGTTTAATGGAAAACTACGGTAATTCTACACAAAGTATATTCCAGAAAGCCACGAAAAGCCACACTTACTATACAATGGAAAATGGTTGATTCGAGCTTGGTCGAGTCGAATTCGTGTTTTTAATCTGTATATCACATCTGCTCTGTTGCTTTGTTTTCAGTTTTTCTGCTGAAAATTGCATGTCTAAATGAAAACTTTGAACATGTATTGTGATCATTTTGTGTTCACCCTCCTTGAAATGGTGCAAGCCTTTTTGGATGCATGATATAGGGAAATGCGAAAAACAAATAGAGTCCAGAAGAAAAATAACCATTTGAGAGGATCTCAAGAGATTCAGAAGAAATGTGGGGAATGGAGTGGAGGTGTGAAAAGGAAGAAGAGAAGGGGGATGGGGAAGAGCATTTCCATGTTGATATTTCACGCATCTCTCGTCGCTCGATGCCAAATACGGCCGAACACAAACATCCACACATCTATTTATTTTCTTTTCTTCTTTTATTTCTCTTTCACACATTGAAGCTTTTACGAAGTCTCCGATCTCTTTCCCCCTCATCACTTTACTGTTTGTTATTGTTTGTGTTTCTTGTGATCACTACTTATCATGCTCTAGACTGTGGTCCTTGCATTTTCTAAACTTTTTCTTTAAGCAATAAATGGTGATTTTTGAAAAGTATTTGTCATTTTGAAGAGTTTTCGAGTGTCAAGAAGTGTGTAGAAGTGAGGATTGTTTTTCGAGCACTCAAAATTGCCCATGAACACGTCAAGTGACACTCTAATTCTTTTTTTCCACCCACACATCTTCATTGGAAATTTATTTCAAATGAACATTACCTTTCTTATCATTAGTCTGTTTCTTTCAGTTTTGAGAACTGTTAGTTATTGATTAGACTCATAGTAAGCGAAAAACAACCGATTTCAGTGACTAATAAGTATGAGTCATTTGTTTCAAAAAAATCAAAATTCTGGCCGAGTGCCGCTTATCAGGCTTTCTTGTGAAAAGTTGAGTTTTAGGGCCTTTTCTCTTGAATTCAAGGTCGACAAACTCGTCATTTTATTAGCTCATCTGTTGAATTTCAACAATTCGCATTCAAATTCTCAATAAATTAACTTTTTGTGACTCTATAAGATGGAATTGTTAGTTTTTCAAAAATCGAAGTTTAAATGCCACAAACACATTGTCAAAGTGGGCGACCCCAAAAATTAGAATTTTCTGCAAATTTTTCGGAATTTTCACGGACAGGTTTTCGGTCTAAATTTTAGCGCTAAAACATTTAAATTTAGAAAGAATAGAATTAGAAAAATTTAGATTTTAGAATAATTTAGAATAAACATAGTTAGAAAGGGGTTAGTCTTAAAAATCGAAAAAATAAACGCTTAATAAGAAATTTTCGATTCTGGAAATCTTCAATTTCATATTATTTTTGTCAAAAAACTGACGGTTTTGGGTCTAAAACGGGCTCTTTAGAAACAGGATGGCGGTCCCTACATATAGATTATAGAAGAGTGGAGATTGAGTTGAATGCCTCCAGAAAACGTGCATCAATTTCAGTTGGATGCCCGGGGAACCGGTCCTTCCCTCACACATCACAGTGAGCCCCTTTCCCCTCTTTCAATCTCATTCTCTTCTCTATTTCACTCATTTCTTTTTTCCAGGATGTGAGTCCCATTTGTTATTTGTACTATAATATAACACTATGAGCAGGCTTTCAATAATTAATCTTTATCTTTCTAATCAATATGCTACTCAACATTTTTTTGCCTTCTTGTATCCGTGGGGCAAAAGATGTGACAAATTAACACAAAACTTTCAATTCTGCTTTCATAACACAAAAACATATATTGCAGCCTGGTCTTTTTATCTGAATAAACTAAATCGATAGCTACTTTTAGTGAATGAAAGGATGGTGGCTAAGACGCTTAGCACCGACCTAATCGGGTCGACGTCATCCAACAGAACCCAGAGAGACCCGCGATCCCCTCACTTCTTCACTCTCCACCCAGAGACCCCACCTTTTCTCTTCGTTCTGTCACCATGTCTTCACTTTTTTATTCTTCTTATCCTTACTATCAATGTTCATTGTTTTCTTAAATCTTGTAACAATGCCTTCCTTGGTTGTTTTATTTTCTGGGGAAGCTCTGAAATTTTGGAAGTACTGTCAATGTGTATCATAGTGATCAGCAAGAGTTGATGATTCTATCTGTGTGTGTGTGTCTGTCTGTGTGGATTTCCTCTTCGATGGGGGCTTAGGCACAGCCATCGAGGCTCTCGGTTGTTTGTCATCTCTTCTACCCACTCCACCATCTCTTCTCCTTTCTTTTGTATCTTCTCCACACCTTTGGTCTACATCTTTTCAGTTTCTTTCTTTGTTAGAGGCAGATATTCTTTTGCGTCAAACAATTAAACAATCTTATTTGTGTGTTTTTATTCAATCGTTTTATTAAAACTGATTGTAAGCTATAACTAATCTTGAAAGCTGAAAGATTGCATTAAAAGAAGGGTCCTGGTCCGACCTCATTTTCAGCAAAACATCGCCTTTTCGGTCCTTTGTAACCTTGTAATTGGTTGTGGTTTGCTGGCCGTGTGGGAAAAAGGGAAAAGAGAAGAAATATCGCTCGAAGAGGGTCTACCCCTCACAGCATCACCATTCTCTTCTTGAAACATGCTACGCTATGTTTTGACATAAAAATTCCGGTTCTTGTAAAGTTTATGAGGTTTTTGAGGTTTCTCTTGTAATTTCCTTGAGTTTTACTTTATTATTATATGAAAATTGATATCTTCAAGAGAACAATTATGATTATAGGATACAAATGTTAGATGTAGGATCTGTTTCTTTTTCTATTGGTCACAACCATTCTTTTGAAAATATCAATTTGCATGTAATATTAAAGTAAAATGCAAGATAATAACAAGAGAGACAAGCCTCGTAAACTTTCAAAAACCTTGTAAACTTTACAAGAACCAAAATTTCTAAAGCAATTCATTATTTATCGGCTTTGACATTATCCTAAAAATCGATTATGCAATTTTCAGAAAACTACGTTGGCAGGGATGCCTTCAAAATGAAAGCGGCACTTTTGAAAGGGAGTTTAGGTAAGAAATGGAGGCTTTTAAGGATCAAAAAACTGGAGAGGATTCGGTGTGAATTTGAGCCTTTTCTGGCTGTATTGCAGAAGAGGAGGAGGAAGAAGATAGTCTGCATGTAAAAAGAATAAGGGAAAAATGAAGATGGTAGTGGTGAGAGTGGGAGAAGGCAGAGGTGGGGGAAAAGGGGTTGGTGGAGGGATGAGGGTCGGCTCCTTTCCCTCACCCACTATGGCCCATTGAACACTTGTATGTGAGTGCGAAGAGAAGAACAAACCGATCACTCTTCTCTCTTTACTTTTTCTTTCATTTTTCTCTCTTTTTCTTGTATTCCTTTTTTGTATCCCACGCATACCTTGGTTCCTCGACCAACAAACAGTAAAAAACCAAGGCGAGAAGTATCTCTGTGTGTGAAATTTCAAACTGATCCTTCACACTTGCTGAAAAGATTCTCTTTGAACTTTTTATTGAATAGCTTCATTTTTTATGGCATTAATTTTCTACCCTATTTCTCTATCGGATGGTTAACCAACCGACCGATTGTTAACCAACTCAAAATTGGTTTACAAAATGGGTTTTTGCTTTACAATTTGTTAATGAGACACTGCAAATTTTTAGCTATGTCCATAAAATTTTGCACTTGCCAATTTTAAGGATCTTCTTATTCCAGTTCTTGAGAGAATTTATTTAACAAATTTTTTGATCTTTGCTCACGATCCACTTCTCGATTTCTTCTCGATCATTTCTTTTGATAAAGATTGAAGTGTAGAACAAAAGTTTTAGGATGTTACACGGATGAACGATGGCTATGAGAAGATGTAACTCATTTCGACAGAATTTAGGACAACAAGACGAGCAACTTTACGAGGAAACGGAAGCTTTCGTGCGAAATGCTCAGGTTAGTTCATGATCATTCAAATGCGAACATACAAAAAGTCAAGTGTTACCCGTGCATCACCCTCGAGAAACCTTTTGAAATTTTTGAATAGCTTTTCTTCACTTAAAAAGATGTATTGAGGTTTGGAAAAAGGTGATTGTGAGATATTCATTGTGGGTGCATTGTTTCGTGAATTCCCCGGTGCCCATTCTGCTTTTCACTTTTCTTTTCCCTTCTTTCCTTTCGTCGATCGCATGAATTCTTAAGTCGAAAATAGGCGAAAACGTCAACATTTCAGTTGTCCTCGAAAAGTTTCGAGTTTTATTTTTTTAAAAGTTAGCATAGGGCAGATTGAAGTCAGTATAAATAACTTTTATGTCAAAAGCCATCAATGATGGCAGGAATATGATAAGCATAAGCTCATCATTGAGTGATATTTGTGGGTACGGCGATAAACTAGGCATAGAAATAAAGGGAATAGAAAAGATCATCTGCAAGGATACCTCAATCCGCCATCTTTTCTCTCTATTCTCTTCCGCAAGTCCCCTCTCCAGTTTCTTTTCTTCATTTTCTTCACACCACATTAGATGCAAACAGAAAGTTTTGTGATGATTGCAAAGAAAGACTGAGATCGTTTGATGGCCAATCAAAGAGACCCTCTCATTGCCGCCTCTCTTTTTCGATCAAGTTATCAACTTAAGCTTTTCCACAAAATTTTGACACCGTTTTATATTTCTATTTTCTTACTATTAAAGCTTGCACAAATACATTTTCATATCATTATCCAGACACTACACAATACATCATAAAGCTTTTTCACGATTTTGCTCATAACGCAAAACAGATGGAGAAGTCAGTCTGACTGACTGACTTCTCCATTTCTTGTCAAAGACAAGAAATCAGTCAAATTTTATCTCCATGTCTTTCAACAAGACTAATTGCTTACATATTCTGTTTGCGTTTTAAGCAAATTGATAGTAAATTTCTTCAAATCGATAAAATATAACGTTTAGAGCATATTGATAAAATTTCCAAGAGAAAAGAATACAAACCAATTGGCCTAGTGTTGTCCTCAACACATAATAAGCGTATTTGTTTGTGTACGTTATCTGTACCTCCCCTGTACCCCTTCCCTTTCCTGTTCACCCTTTCCATTTTCCACTTTCCATTTCTTTTCCTTATTTTTCCATTCATTTCAAAGGCCATCTCTGATGTCCGTTCTTTCTCTTTTTACAGATTTTAATCTTTTCAAATCAATTTGAAACCCTCTTCTCACAATCATATTATACTATACCCAAATAATATTTATTTTTTTCTTTAGTTATGCGAACCATATTTTTGGGATTCTAACTTTCCCTTTATTGTAAAGTCAGAATCGAAATTTGATCTAGTGGAATTTGCAATTTGACGAGGGATTCTCCTTCCTTTTACTTCCGATCCAAAGGTCGACTCCTATTTGGAACAGAAAACAAGAATTTTTTAGTACAACCAAGAAAATGTACAGCGTGAGCACCTAAAGAAAAGTTATTTTCTTTAGAATTATTACTGTTAAGACTATTAAAATGTGTTACGTGTTAAAATGTGAGAATTATTAGTATCTTGCCTAGAATATTAGTGTTAAGACTCCTGGAGTGATTGACTGGAAAACTTCGATATACAATGGTAGAAAGGATCAACAAAATTGTGCATATAGATTGATTTCCTCAAATCTCATTCTCATCCACTTTTCTCTATTTTTTTTCATTTCTTTCTCCACATTTCCTCTTCAATAAATCGTTCTCCTTTAAGCGGTGATTTCTTTTGATGAGCCGCGCACTTATTTCGCAAACAACGTTCAACTCAACACCAAAAACTTTCTTATCTGTTTTGATTCATCTAGCTTTTAGTTGACAAATTGGAAAAAAAGAAAAAGTCAACCCTTGTTGATATTATATTTTGAAAGCTGGTTCATTAACTACCGAGTGCATTTTTTTTTGTTTCATTGAAATTCGTGTAACTAAAAAAGGGATGGGTCAAAAGGAGCGCAGCTGGTTTGAAAGAAGAAATTTCAGATGAACAGTAAGAACGGCAAAGATTTTTACCAATCCGATTTGCTACAATGTCTTTTTGGGTATTGATTAAACCTCTTTTCATGATCAAATATTGATGGTTAAAAGTAAAGATGACTTATCGAGTTATTGAAATGGCATACCAAAGTGCTAGCTGAAAGAGACATTCAAACGAGTTTTTTTCGTCTCTTATCGTCAAGGAGAGGTTGCAAGGGAGGGAGGGTGGGGGTCCATTCTCTCTTCTTTCCACTCTCTTCACTTCTCCTCACTTCACCTCTCTTTCTTCTATCTTTTCACTTCTTTTCTTTTATCCAATTCTTCCTCCTTTCACCTCAATTCACCTCTTTTTCTTTCTTTCTCTTTTCTTTTTTCTTCTTTTCAATCGCTCCTTTAGCTAGCATATATTGATAGGCTGACATTGGCACGGTTTATCGCTCAGGTTTATGGTATTTACCCATCTTCTCATTTTCTTTTGAATCCTATTTTTGTATGGAATACAAATAAAAGTTTACATGGAATGAAATTTTTTGAGAAATACCATTTAGGAGCAGCTTTCTAGAAGTTTCCACGAGCTTGTCTCGGCCGAAAGCTCGATTGCTCTAAACGGGCATCGGTTTGTTTTTAATTTTTGATATAATTTTAAAATCATTGAATTTCAGACTACCGCAAGCATTTAGAAGACAAAAATCGGCGATCGAGTTAACGGGGCTCTCGGGAAAACACACTTTTCTCGTAGAATCGTCTTACGAAGCACCTTTAGCGAATCGATCATTTGGTAGAAGTTGTCATTATTTCTAATTTTAATCAATTTGTAGCAGTCGAACCAGAATTTCTTCGTCGGAAAAGATTTACGAGAAAGGCAAAAAAAGGAATTGAGAACTCTCGATCTATCAGCCAAAACAGTAAGTCTTGGAATGTTAAGCTATGCTAAAGAAATTATCACGATAGCTTTAACAAAATAAACTACATAAATCGCTTAGCATATACATAACACATAAAAATTACAAAAAAACCAAATTTTAGCCTCAATTGCGGCAGAGAGTTCAAGTTCAGAAGAAGAACCGAGACTTCAGCAAGTAAGTCAAAAATTAAAATGAAAAAAGTCAACATTGGATGTTCAAGTTTTGTGATTGGGTTGATCATCAAAATCGAGTTCCTAACTAAATAGATAAATTTTTACTCAAGCAAAGTGAAACACTTAATGTTGGGAATCACACCGCCTTTCACAAGAAACGAATCCTAATCTCAGGGCGAATTTGCAGGAAAATATTTTGTTAATAGGGTGAATAGGCTTATTGATTATTGAATTCCGATGAGCAGCCTTTTCTCGAAAGAACTCTGTTTTCACACTTATCTGTCATTGATTCCGTTATCGCTTCCCACCGCCCAATTTCTTCTTTCTTTTCCGATTCACTCATTTCTGTCTTCAAGAGAAATTCCTTTGTTTGTTATTATAGACCCCAATTATATGCAAATCACTATAAAACTATTTTAATTGATAAATTTTAGAAATCACGTTTGTTTTCAAATTCTTCGAATGTTTTGAATGTGGATTTTGGAGAGGAGAGTTTGAGCACTGGTACACGAAATCGACAACATCTGGCAAGAGGTTCCATTATTTGAGTCTAACACTTTACCGCACGCATTTCAAATGTATTTGGAACATTTTTCAAAGTTTTCCCTATCTTTTAGTTAGTCAAAATATATTTTGCAATCTGTGACTAATTCTTTATTTCAATTCTGATTTAGGGCCAGCTGCTCGTCGAGCCAATAGAAAACAAGTACAAAGAGCTGCTGATCGTGAAAAATTTGGTGAACAAAAGAAAGGTAGGAATATAAGCAAATAACGAGAGATAACATCATCTACTATATAAAAGAGCAGTGTCTGTCTGTCCGTCTGTACGGGCTTTTTCTCAGCCGTCTTTGGGCCAAAAAAAATGAAATTTGCTGAAAAGTCTTAAAGTATAATGTAGTTGTGCCATTTAAAATTAATGAGCGTTTGGCTAATAACATGATAAGAGCCAATCAAAATCAAAAGTTTAGGTGCATCTCGAAGCGGTTTATATGAAAAGCGGAGCATGAGCGTTCGAGATTTAAATGGACTCGAGGTCGATTTCAGCACACAAGAAAATGTGACAAGGTTATTTATGCAAAAAAAAGATTTTGATGAAAGAAATAATTTCTAGATGGGCTTCGCAAATTCTCGCTGAATTGGAGTCACTTCCATCAAGTCGAGTTGATCTTACTCAATGTGGGATTGAAGATGAAAGTGGCGGTTGTGGAGGAGAAGATTCGAAAAAAAGATTGCATCCCAGTCGAGTCTCTAATGTAGATTTTCATTACCGTATTTTATTAGCTCGTACATTTCAAATTAAATAATAATGTAATGAATGATTGTTCAGAACTCATACAAGTCGGGCATTTCCCTTTCCCCGGGCACAACCCCACCAGCTAAACGACACACGATTTTGATTTCACCGATAAGTAAGTTCTCCATCAAATTTTTCTTTAAGAGTTCTATGTTTTGTAGATTACGATGGAGGAGAAAATTTGCTTAACAACAATCGTGCCATGTCAATATCTGAGGTAAAACACTTTAATGAGCAGCTATGCCCATCATTTATGCCTTTTTAGATGTGCTTACCTACTGTGCCAACACCATTTCTTCAAAATTCTCTTCATAGACTTTCAATGTCACTCCAATCTCATAACGAAGCCAATGTAACATTACGAAAAATAAAAACACTACAATTTTCAGGATTCCTCGAATGAGTGCACACCAAGAGCCTCGCCTTTTCAACGATCCATGGAAAAACTCAAAGACGAAAGCAGGGTTTGAGAAAATACTAAACGATTTAGGTTTGAACCTTTTTAGCTTCGAAGTGACACTGCTGAAACGTTGAAAGCTAGTGAGGATATTTCGACCACTTTTGATTTGAGTCAACCATTCAATACAGCTGAAGCGAAAGTGATTGTGAAAGAACAGGAGCTGAAAAACAAGGGTCCCACTAATTTCATCCCTGTGATCGTTCCAAGACGAAGACTAGAGAATGGCCTGGTAAGTTAGAAAAAGAAGGAATCGAATGAGTTTACAATTTAGGGAAGTAACACACAAATATCTGAACGTTTTCGTCGTCTTTCCCCTCAACGATCTCCAAAAGGTCCAGAAGAAGTTTTTCCACGAGCAAATGGCGAATTGATGGCTGAAAAGAATCGATCAGGAAAAAATCCACGCTCACCAATACATGAAAAAATAGCAAGAAGAAAAGATCCTGAATTTATGGCAAGAGCACAAAGACATGAAGGTCAATCATTAATCTCGACGAACGATGATCAAAGCAATCTTATCCCTCAAACGGATATTCATCCACCTGTACCGGCTCCAAGGAAAAGTATTCCAACAAGGATTGCTGATTGGGAACAAAAATGCAAAGATCTTCCACAAATCAACAAAATTGGGAATATTGGTTAGCTTTGGATAACTACAACTTAATGCAAAAGTCATGTTTACAGATCGATTAGCCGAAACGGATGCTCGTTTACAAAATTCGATTGCCAAACTTTCGCAAGTTGTCTATGGAAATATACAAGAAGAAGTGGGTAAAAAAAGTGTTCTGAACCAGTGGCCCTTGCAAATTGTATAATATATAAGAATTTTTGAATGAATGCACTAAGAAAAGCCAAAAGTCTTTTAGATGAACAAAGATCGGCAAAATGGTCAAAGCTCTCTTCCAATAATTGAAACCACTCTTTGTAATGGAGATGATCAATTGGAAAAATGGAAAAAGCAGGTTGGGTTTTTAAATATCATAAATATTTACTGTGATACGACTAGGGAAAAGTACGGGATAGAAAGCGCAAAAAGCGACAATGTTGACATTTGGACTTGTCGCTTTAAAGAGGCGCATCTTTCATGACTCAACCAATATCATTTCATGTGTATTTCTTTACACGTCATATTCAAGTCTTTAAATATTTTCTGAAAAAATCGACGTTTTTCAGACTGGCTCTATTTTGAAGCGTGGATAATTTTAAGTGTTCTCGCTCACTTATTCACTCTTTCCTTTTAAGAAGCTTTTCTTATCACAGGCCTTATTTGATTTTAGGTTACTGAGTTTTATTTTTTGAAGGGGAAAACTCTTTTTAGTTTAATTCGCCAGTATCTGAAAGGGGCTAAAGTAGTGGACATAAAGAAAACAATAGATTGTGAGCATTTCCACGATTTGCACTCAAACAATCGTCGAACGGTTGGACGTGTATGCAAATTTGTTTTCCCTCTTTTGGAATGGTGGACCTTTCTCTGCGTCATTCTTTTGCCCATTCTTATCCCACTGACCCCACCGCACTCACACCTTCAACCAAAATCTTTTCACATTGCTTTTCAACCACCAATTTGTCAGTAGTCTTTGAATAAATTTGGTCGCTGAATTGTACTCTTTTCTACCAAGCAAATACTTGAATACCGTTCAAATTTGGAGCAGTAACAATCTAATTGTTGAAACGTATTGACAATCTGTGCTATTTTTATTCTTGTTTCATTTTTCCATTTCTCTCAGAAAAGATCAATCCCCCCAAATTTTAAGGGTTTCTCATAATAAGATAAAAGAAAGAGAAAGAGAAAGATTCATATTCACAACCAGACTTTTCTCTCGTTTTCGTTTCGATTCACTTTTCTTTATCTTGACATTCTTCATATTTTCAACAACTTTTCCCCACAACAAAACATAATTGATCCAAATGAAAAACAAATAGTTTTTTTTTGAAACCTTCTTTTCATTTATTTTCCTCTGTCTTTGAATTTATACTTGGAGATTGTACAAAGTACGAAAACAGGAAATAAGAGTGGATATTACATATATTGTTGAAACGATAACCTCTCTTCCTCTCCCTTCTTTTTTGTTCTCCTCTTAACAACAACACTCCTTTTTGAAAGTTTATCTTTGCAATATGTCTCAACTTTTTTTCACTGCGACTTTTCTTTTTTTTGTGTTCATTTTCCTTGTGAATCATCAAAGGGAGTGGTTAAAACCGTTTTTTTGGTTCACTTTTACCCCGGATCAGAACTTTTGAAAGAAAAATCGTTGGTTGATTATTCTTACATGATGATTTTCATGTTTTAGGAAATGATAGACTAATGAGAGAAACCCTTTCAAAAATAATTTCTCTTTTTCATTCATTCTCCCCTGTTTTCTTTTTGTAAAGCACAAGATCCTTAAAGGTCTTTAAAGGTTCAATATTAAATACTGATCGTAATTAGTGCTCCCTCTAATAGAACGTATTATTAAAAAGTTGATAAGAGCCAAAAGTTTTGAAAAAATGACCTCTAAATAAGAAGAGTTTTGTTTGGAGGAAAAGAAAAGCATTTTGCATAGACTAAAAGAAGAATTTGGGACTTTGTTGGTAGTAGACGGAGACCAGGAGTTGATTAGTGGCCAAAGCGAAAGCAGAGGTTGTCATCGGCGAATCAGCCCGAATGAGAACCCCACCTCCCTTTTCTTTGTCTTCTATACGGACACCCCTTTGTGGTTCTCACTCAAAGAGGAACGGGTGCCCCCCGCGCGTCCTCTCTATGTTCTCTGTTACAACACATTGCCATTATGTCCTCCTCTTCATTTTTTTCGCATAGTTTGGTTGAACTTCCTACTTCTCTGTTTTTCTTTTATTATTCTACCGTATTGCCGACATTCTCATATGTGCTAGAAATAGTTTACTTGTCATTAGAATTTAAGTTCTTAAGTTCTAAGTAACAATCTAAAGAAATAAATAAGTTAAAAGATGAGTGAGAATCAGAAAACCGCAAGTAGGTAGAGACTGTTCGGAGAAGAAAAGACACGATAAAAAAGAGAAAAGGAATGGGAGAAGGAGACGAGAGCTCCCCTTCCCCCTCCCCTCACATCCCTTCTCCCCTTCTCCTCTTTCCCCCCTCACCCCGATCACATCGATTAATCGGCGTGCAGATATGGTTTTCCCTATTTCATTCTTTTATTTCACATCTATCTATTCATTTAGCTCGTTTTATCTCAATCATTCACATAAACACACTTCGCTTGTTTTCAAAAGAAAACATTTTTTGTCTCAATCTATGTCTCGTGTCCAACTTAGAAACTTCAAATTTAACCTGTTCAACTCGAATGTTCTAATTTTTTTTAATAAACATTAGGTTTCCCGCAATTCTACTTCTTGTTTTTATTCCACATATTCCCTGCACCCGCTATAATAGAAAATGAAATCCCTCGTTCAATGCTGAATTCACTGCACTTTAAATTACGACAATTTAACATTTGAATGTTTTTTTATGGATTTCTCATTAAAAGTATCGTAATCCCAGGCATCCCGCAAATGAAGCAATTATATTTCTCGGAATAAAAGTCATCTAATTGCATTCACCTCAAGTTCTCCTGGGGTGAAAAAGACATGCTGCAGAAAAATGCTTGTGTGAGTCAACCAAGAAAACGTTTTGAATTCAGATTTGAATTAGATGAAATCAGATTTGATTAAAATGATAAATAAATAAAAATTTTAGGCTGAGTGTCGAAATCGTCAAGCAATGGGAAAAGGAGGGAAAAGTGAACGATCGGTGAATCGAGTCATTTCATCGCTCATTGAGTTCGTTTAAGAACAAAGATTTGTGTTTACTTTTATTTCAGAGCACTATATTAATTGGGTAAAAATTTTTTAACTTTTTAATATCGAAAATTATTTACAGAGCGGCCGAGGAATCGAGTCGAAATTCGAGCGATCGACCCCAATCTCTTGAAGTTATCAGTGCATTGTCGCCAGCACAGGTAATTCCTCCTTTGTAATCTTTATGATACACTTAAAAATGCTTATTTTGATTGGGTGAAGATTTGTTTAAAATAAAAAAAGTGATAAGATTTGAAAAGGAGGAAAGATATGTTGCGGAGAAATTGGACACCCGATGAAACGACGAGAAGGAAAGACCCGCATAGAACCCCTGAAAAAAAAGAAGAAAACCGGGAAATCTATCCAAGTCTATCTTCAACCTTTCCGACAAACAAAACTTCCCCTTTCGTACTTCTCCATAACAAATATGTATTATCCAGTCACATGAGTGTTCTACCTAGTTTCCCCAATTCTCTATCAAAGCAAAACATTTCAACTTCTACTCATTTCACCCTTATCTTTTGGACTTTGAAAATCATCCTTTTGAGCTAATTTTGTATTCAATATTCTCATTTTTTTTGCTAGAAGGGGATAATCGCCTTATCAACGAAACAACCGAGTTAGATTTGTTTTCATAAAGCGAAAATCATCATTGCTCGAAGCTGCTTATCCTTATAAGGAGTTGTGATGCGCTCGTCCAAAAATATATTATTCTTGAATAAATTAAAAGAGAATATTGCAAACATAAAGGATCTGGCACAGAGTTTAACTTTAAAGTTCTGTAGATATGATATACAATAGATTGTTTAAGAGGGAATGGTCAAGCGTTTTGACCGCAAAAGTTTGAGCTTTTCCGTAAAAACAAGCAATTGCACATAAAGTTAAAAGGAAATAATTTCAGGATGTATCAACACAAACCTCACCATTTTCATTATCTCGCTCATCATCATTTGATTGGATAAACAGTCCTACGGAAAACACGGTTTCCCTTCTATCCACTCCACAACAAATAAACAAGTTCGTTTATTGGCTTCCAATTTGTTTTCATTGAATAGCTCTCTTTCAATCATAGACTACGTAAGTAAGAAAGGAAAATATGCAGGTTTTTGAAAAAAGATGATTAGAAGGGGGGCCCAGAACGGTGGCTTTTGTCATCTAAGACAAACAGAATGAATTTGGTGAAAAGGGAAAAATCGGAAAACGACAAAAAGGGAAGAGGATAAATAAGATTCATTTTGAAAGTGAAGAAGAGAACGCCCCTTCTTTTTGGAATCTTTTCTCTTGGACATGTCTCCACTTAACCCTATGCTTCTTTAAGATTTTAAATTCTTTCTAAATTGACATTAATTTTCTCCAATTCATGTTATATGGCATTCATTATAAAAGCCTTTAAACAATGCTTCAACTCACGGTAGGTTACATTTTTAACTAGATAAACTGCTGAGTTGTTTAAAAATTCCCAATTCAGATTATGCCAACAAAATATTTGATTTTCAAATTTAGATCGGAAAACCCAGCTGATCCGTCAACTACTTTATGCCGATCAGATTCTTCCGAAGATACCGATTGTGACGCTGAAGTACAAGAAATGACTAGAGCTGCTCATGGGTAAAGATTTGAAAGAAAAGCTTTGACAATTACACATTTTTATGTAAAAAGAGAATCTTAGAATTCACGAGGCACTTGATGAATCTCTGGCTCTTCTTTTACAATGTACAAAGGAAAATGACACTCAAGGGATTCACCGTCCTCCACCTCCACTCCCTTATACGGTAATAGCTCTATAAGCTTGATGCCTTAAAAACTAACCTATATGCTACGTTCAATTTTGAAATTTTTTACATTAAAATCACTGAATTACTTAAAAAAAATGATGGTTTTTTCACAACTTCCTTTAAAAATGAAAAATTTTTTCGATGAACTATTGTTTGAAATTTGATTAAGAAATAAAAAGGGCACAGTTTCGATCTTTTTAAGATAAACCTTCAGTTAAGGTACTAAAGTGCTGAACAAAACTAGAATTGTGCTTGATTTGACTAGATTTGGTCAAAAAATTTAATAAAAATCTTCGTGAAATGACTTTTCTAGGTAAAAAGAGGTTTCGAAGATAAAAGGCTTCAAAATCAGACGTCCGATTTGAATGGTTTCAAATTCGGACATAACATATATAAGAGCGTAAAATAGTGCAATGCGGAAAATTCACAGTTCCATTTGGTCGCATTTGTCGAGTGAATCTTATTTTCAAAGATACTTGAGTCCAATCGATTGTCACATTAGAATATTTTAATGACCAATTAAAAAGACAAGGAAGAGCTAGAGTTGTGGATGATTGTGAACTAAGTTTCTCTTTGCTCTAAATCTTTCCCTTCACAAAGCTATAGGGTCGTTATCCTGGAAGTCCCACATGACGAACTCCCTTTTCTTCAAAAACTTTTATTGCTAAAGAACACTCTTTGAATTCGATTTAAAAAGATAAATTCAATCTTTTAACCTTCAAACCTACACATTTTCTCTTTTTTTCTTAATCAAGAAATTTTCAGAAAAGTGCTGAAGAGTCTCCGATGTCTTCTCGTCGACTCAAAGTCACTACAACATCGATCATCACAAGAAATGGTTTGATTTTTAATTCTTTTTGCAAACAAAGTTTTTTGTTGAAAATTTTAAAAACAATCGGTGCTTCATATCCCATTCCCACTATACTTTTCTCTTCTCTTTTTTCATCTTAGAGTTCTCCATTTTTCTGTAAATGGCACTAATCTGCGGCTATTTTCGTATCATAGTTTTTTCGAACTACACGAATTGATATCTTATGTCTTATTAATAACTACCACCCAAATCATATGTGAATGAGATGATGAGTCAGTAAATTGCATAAAAACGAATAAGAAACGGTAATCCGATGCGATGTTTGGTAGCATTTGCAGAGAAGAAAGCTCTCAAAGTTTTTTTACAAACTTTATGTGATTCTAGGTTTTCCGTTTCATTTTAGAGTAATATTTTTGTTTTGGGACCGAAGCAAAGAGCAAAATGGGACATAAAATGTTAGTGGGCTGAAAAGGATAAAAGGGGTGAAAGAAATCTCGTTGTTCCCTTTCCTACTCCCTTCCATTCTCTCGCAATGCACTTGCAATAAATGCTTCGTTGTGATGCATCCAAGAAATATAACAAATCATGGTTATTTTAGATTATTTATTATAGCAATTACTCTTACAAATGCATCTGTACATTTGATTTTTTAGAAAACCAAAACCCAACTTGGAAAGGTTCAAATAGATGTGGCAGTGGGCCTATTGGAATGGCGGGAATGAGTGACTCGATATACGATAATGTTCCTGGGAGAAAAACTCGCAAATTCCCTGGTATATCTAACTAAATATACTATGAATAACCAAAAAAATTCAGAGCCAAACATTGTTCGGTTATCTGCAATCGAAAATGAGAGTTCATTAACTGCCCTGCAACAAGTTTCCGAAGCGATTGGTAAGTGAAACAAACGATTATATGGCGAAACGCTTCTCTAGGCAATTTGACAAGAAATGAACAACAAAAAGAGCTCTCAAGAAATTCATTGATCGGCCTCAGTGAAAGAGCTGGAAGTTGCGAGCAGCTCATCACCGGTCAACAGGCATTCAATCCAAAAATGAACACGCTTAAATATTTTCCTTTCAGGAAGAACTTTCCGAGACTTACAAACTCCGAATGGAAAAACTAGGCAAGTGATATGAATGTCAAACTTGTCTTGAAAGCAAATTGATCGAAGGTCATAGAAGAGAAAATGACAGAAGTGGAGAGTGTCAAGCACAACTCATGATCGTTGTCACAGTGAAGGGGACGCGTCCGGACGGGTTCCTTGCTCATTTCTTTCCTTCAAGCAAAAGTCTTTTATTGCAAGGGGGGGTGATAGCATGAAAAAAGAAAGAGGAAGCGATGATTCCAATCAGACAATGTGATGAGCGCTGACTCCCTCGCTCCCTCGCCCTGCCCTCTTCTCCCCATTCCACCATTTTCATCGTGGAAACGCCCTTCTCTTCTTTTCTTTTCTTCTTTTACCATCAGCCTCCATTTTTACCCGTCCCTTTTCCCCTTCCCCATCTCCACCTTGCTTCCACCTTTTTCCTCGTTATGTAACGAGATCAACACCTTAATGACTATCACTTTCTTGCATTGACGATGAAAAATCGAATTTCATAACACACTCTCATTAACCCAAAGTGACACCAACCTATTTGAAGCATCTAGTTACTACTCCTCTACACACTTTCATTTACAATGCGACGCTTAGGACATACCTTTGCAGGTGCAATTTCATAAAGACATCAAGTTATCATCTTTTTCATCGCAAAAAGCACTTCCTTGCTTTGTTGATTTCTGGGCAAAAGAGGAACAAAACAAAGACTGTTGTGATTGAATCCTCGCGCAAGAAAAAGAAAAGCGGTCGGCTTGTCGGTTGTTGTCCAAGCGGATCAACTCTTCATTAGGAGCCACGCCGATTCGCGCACTGGCATTCTTCTTTTTTTCCTCACATTCTTTCATCTCCAATATCATTTCATTTTTCTCTTTTATCAATTTATGGTTGCTTTTTGAGAAAGACTGTTTGTTCAACATTTGCCGAATTTCTAAGAATCACTTTCAAAAACAAAATTGTTTTAATTAAAAAAGGCAGTGTTCCTCCAAAATCATCTTATACATAGAATTGTTTCCGAATTCACCTCCTCCTTCCATGCCTATTTCCATTCCCTTCCCTTTTCAATTCCTTTTCCTATTCTTTCCAATTCAATCTTTTCCATCCGCTCTTTTTGTTCTTTTCATATGGAAATTCAAATGTCAATGCTTTTTGTTTTGATTTTCCTATTGATCCGCTGTCCAAAACGATTTTAGAAAAAAAAATGCTCTTTATTACAACCAGCAGTTAACTGCCCACCGATTTGGGCCGATGCAGAGTTTACATCAGTCAAACTTAAGCATTAATTGTTGATAAATTTACTACAGTTTACTAATTCACAACTATTGGGTTGGGGAGAATGAGTCGGCGCCGAAAATGAAAAAAATGTCTAAAACTCTCGACTCGTCAAATAATATGTTGATATGAGTAGATGGTTAACTAATTCTCTACAAAATGACATTTAAAAGATAATTCAAACAGCGCCTCCGCTCAAGAAAAAGCCATTTTTTCACAAAAACTACAAACTGTCATCTAGAAAAAACCATTGGTGGGATCTTCCTGCAAATTTGGCAACTTAAGTAATTGAATGTGCTCTTTTTATATAAACACCAAAGAAGGTTTATGTGAAAGAAACTGTTCAAATGATGAGTCGGACTCTTTGCCATTTTAACCAGCTGCGTTTGGAAGTTCATAAACTCCACGAAAGAAAAGCTTTGTGGAATCTCTCAAAAGTCATTTTGTAGAGAAATAGTGGATCCTTTTGATGAAACCAAACGTATGTTTAAAGAAGGCTTTATGTGTGCAAAAAGTCCCTTTAAAGTTTGGCGCCGACTCATTCTCCCCAACCCAATAAATATAAATTTCAATAACTAAACTGAGTTTGAGAGGCAAATTTTTCCGTTTACCCGAAATTCCTTTGACCGTCACTTCCGACCCTTTGAACTTTTCCGTCTTCACCGCTTTCTCAAATTACAAAACTTTTTCAAAACGTTTCTAGTTCTAAAACTTAAGCATATTTCCCCCCGACATATTCTGAGAGAATGAACCCGAAATTCATTTTTGAAGTACCTCTAGCCGACCTTTGGCGACCTAGGCTGTCAAATTCGGTTTTTCCAACCTTCCTCAAAAACGGATTGAAATTTTTCAAATCTGACCGCTGTAGTCGATTACATATTGTCCCAAAAAATCAGACCGAAAATTACTAGGACTGAAACAGACTGAAATTTCCACTTACGAAATAACTCGAGTTATGAGGTGAATGGACAGACACACACACAAACTTTGCATCTTATAATAAGCAAGACCAAGGTTTAAGCAATTTAATCTGTTGGAGTTTTTAAAAGCAAGCATTCTGTTTCCAACTAAGGTCATTTAAAGAAAAATACTGAAGGAAGGGCTGGGAGGGGCAAAAAGAAAACGGCAATGGGGAAAAAAATGGAAAAAAAAGCAGGTGTCTTTTTGCTTCTTTTTCCACAGCAGGCCCTATCAATTCGCCAACATTCAAACGATTCCTTTTCTGTGTACATTTTTTCATCAAATTACCCAGCTGGGTGAGCCTCTTTAATAGTGTAAAACCAACTGTACCATATAAAATTGTGCTTTCAGGTATTATCTTTTATTGTAGCTCCGAGATCTTATAGAAGTGAGGGCGCTGGATCTTTGGTTTTATTTAAAGTTCTAAAAGAAATCTTTTGATAATCCTCCTCTCAACATTTGCACTCGTCTTTTTGAAAAAAGAACAACCACTATAGGAGAACGGATAAAAGAGTTTCGTCTTTCTTCTAATCCCTGTGTTTAGTACTCTCCTTTTTAAGTCGAACAACCTCACCAAAAGATTCGGCGGCTTTCAAAGAATTTGCTTGACTTTCCCGACAATAATATGCTATTGCTTAAATGGAAGCTTGCTCAATCATCAATCCAATCTAGTATTCTTTAGCAGCTCTCTCCCTCTTTCATTCTCATTACCCTTCTCCCATTTTTCTCACTCAAATTACCACCACTTTCTTTGCTTACGTCTTGGCATAAAAGGTATTCTCATCCCATACTTTTCATTTCCTCACCTTTTTTCTTCTGCTTTTCCCTAATTTATCCTCAACTTTTCTCACCAAAAATACAAACTTTCTCCACCAAAAATTTGAAAAATTATTGTCAGTGTTCATAACGTTAATTTAAAAAGGAGTGAGAACGGGCTGTCGGCCTTGAGGTTTGTCTACTAAAAGTAGACTTTTTGTGAAGAATCTTTCCCTTGCGACTCTTCATCAATCAATTTATTCCAGAAAAGATTGAAAAAACTACAAAATGTACTACGATACCTCGTTAATCATTAATTTTTAGAGGGCGAGGCTCGTGATTGTTGTGAATGGCTTCGACGAGCCGGATTCCCTCAATACGCGAAACAATTTGAAGGTGAATTTGCTGGATATTAGCAAATACGGCTAGACTTATTTGTTTTAATGTCTCGAAATGTCTACACTAAATAAAAAGGGTGCAAAAATTGAATTCATCGCGAAAATATTTTCTTTTTTCTCTTCCGCTTTATAGACACAACATCGGTTGATCGACCGATTTTAGATCGATCCGAGTCAAAAAATACAATTTCGGTATGAAATACACTAAGCAATACAAATATAACTATGCAAGTGCAATAATAAAAATTACTTTTGTTGATTATTTTTAGACGACAAATTTCCTCTTGATCTAAAAGTTGTTCACGCCGATCATTGCTTTCTCGATCTCGACTCTCTTCATGCACTCAATAGGTTTCGCATATTTTCTTTCGAACGATCTAAGAATTATTTCTCACAATAACAGTATACAACCAATTTTAATTCGGAAATTTAGACGACTCTCGACCTTGAATCGAGCGGCGATTATGCGAATGGATCGGGTTGTGCTGAGACCGCGGGTTGAAATACAATAGAAAATCTTTATAAAATAGTCTTTAGAATGAAATCATGCAGAAATATGATGGCTCTCCGTTATATGATGATGATGTAAGTACTGCTAAAAACTCCAAGAAAACGTTTTTAGATTGCACTGTCGGATCGATGGAGGTATCAACGACAATCACAAACATGGAATCGAATAGGAAATGAGCCAATCTATGGAGCTGGAAGAGAAGTCATTTCGACTAGGTAAACAAAAAAGTTTGGAAAATATAGAAGAAAGTCTGATTTACAGACCTGATCGTGGAACAACCGGTACTCGAGGATTATCCGTCGAAAATAACGAATCAAGGCCTCCACTGTCATCTAGGGAAACTAGAGGACTTCAAGTAAGTTGAAACGTAGTCAGAATCATTAAACTTATTTGTTAATAACTTCTAAAAACCGCTTTCATATCGTGCACTTACAGTATATCATTCAGCAAGCCTAGCCAAATTTCTCATTTACCGTCATTCATTTAGCGTTCTCAAAGCGAGCGAATCAAAGAAAGGGCAAGAGCTTTTATCAAAAAGATGGATATTCGAAGTAGTAGCCGGTAAAAACATAAAACTCCCATTCACTCGTGAAACCCAAAACTTTTAGTCGGCGAAAAGGCCGTGATGGTACAGACGCACTTGTGATTGGTGATCCCGTACTCGTTTCATATGATTCAGCTTCACCAGAAAGTGCTCGGATGATGAAAACAGCTGTGCCAGGTACTATGTTTGCTAGAAAGAACAGTTGTGAATGAATGAGTGTTTTGCAAAAAAGTTGAATTGCATGAGTGTTTTCCAGCTGGCTCAAGTGCTACCTCTCTGCCATTGAATGAGGGGAATCGTCTCTTGGATGCACCTTCACGTGGAAGAGCTTCTCGCCGACAAGGAATGGTGATGTTGAGTCCGGAAACTCCTGAACCGTCGATCGAATCCCCATTTCATCCTTCATTCATGCACACATCGTCTAAAGAGACCGATTCTCTCGATCAATTACCCACAAGTTCGTCAAGAAGAGACCATTCAGCTCCAATTCCTCGTCTCTCTGACGTGCAATCTACTTATTTCGGTGATCATCATTTTCCATCACGAGTCAATCCCCATGATGCTTATCTTTACCCAAATCAAAGGTGCTTACTCTTACATGTCTTTTTTTTCGTAACTAACAGTGTGTTTAGTCGGGCTCGATCGGTTGCGAGAAGAGAAGAAGTGCCAAATGGGTTCTCTCAACGAGTAGAACCATCTCTTTCCCCATATTCTCAGCAATATCTTTCATCTTCACGAGGTGCTCGTCAATTGAGAAGTCAACCCACTCTTCATGCGGACGGTTACTTCATGCATGGTGGTTGTGTTGTGACTTCTATTCTTTTCAATAACATCTTTCCTGAAAATCGATTTCACAATTGATCTAAACGGTATTGTCTAGATATTTCTCCAAACGAATCTTTGAATCGTCGTGTGACTTCGGGTTTACCGCGCACAACTCCAATCAACAGTTCACCGTGTTCATCGATGGGACGCTCAACAAAAACCGTTCCCAAAGTCTCATCTCATGCACACAATAATGCTCATCTACATGTTGCCATGAGTGGAGAGTCAAAGGTATAATTATTCTTAATAGTTACAGCTAAAGAAATTTTTGTGCAGATGTCACAATCCTCTTTGGATGGATGTACAGATAGTGAAGAGCATTCAATTCAATCGGCAACTGTTCATCCAAGAAGAGATTCGGGAGTTGGAAGCAGTTTGAGTCGATCACCCAGGTATTCTAACAGATATTTTAATTTAAATACAAATAACTTTAAGTGGTCCATCAGCACAAAGAGTTAGAGCCTCATTGATGCCGATTCCAGTAGTGACACACTCAACAATACTTCATCAAAACGGACATCCAGGTGGAGTTGTGAATAATGGTGGACCAAGCGCTTCCGGAAGGTGAGCAAAAAACAAGTTTAATAGACTAATAGTACGTAAGATTTCCAAGCATTGAAACGGGAACCTACTTCTAAAAGTTCACTTTTATAGCTGGACATCGGCATCTTCGGGTGTATCTCGAAATGGATCTCGTCCACCAGCCTCATCTCCACTTTCGGCATCCATTTCATCATCATTATCAAATAAAGAAGAAGATACGTTTTTTGTTGATGAAGATCTTCAAAGATGCATTGATGCTCTCAGTCTTGTCGATTTGGTATGATGATAAGCTTTGCTTTACCATTATCATTACATTTACCCAAAGCATTACCTGAATTCAATTCTAATCTAATCTCTCGAGGAATTAAGAATCATATAATCTTAGATTTTGATTTCAGAGTCGAATTCGAAAGCTTGCCTACTTGCGAGTAACAGCATTGCTCGAGAAACGAATGGCTGTCAGCAATGTGAAGATGACAAGTCCGCCACCATCAAGTGGAACGGCAGTCAAGAATTGGGCTGTGCAAAAACTGATGAAGAAGATCAAACAAATTGATGGTGTTGTATTAAAGAATCGAGGTCATCTGAAGCAAAAATTTTTCAATGAATCTTCAATCTTTAGAACCTGACGATGCGGCATTTGCCGTCTCACTCGAGCAAATTTACCGCAAGACCGGCTCTTGCTTTCCTCGTTCAATACTTGAGGTTTAGCCAAGGTTTTCCTTTCAATGAAAGTGACAAATATTTCAGATTCTTCGATATTTGCGTCTAATGTCCCCAGAAACAGTTGGCATTTTTCGAAAGAATGGAGTTCGATCGAGAATCCAAGAGTTGCGTGACATTGCCGATGTACTTACGGATAAAGACGTTTTTGTTGGCGATAATCGACTTCGTACCTCTCAGGTTTTGGATGCATCCCTTACAAGTTATTATTTCTATTATAGGTTCATGATGCTGCCGATTTACTAAAGCAATTCCTACGAGAGTTACCCGAACCTTTAATGACTGTGAAACTTTCGGAAACTTTTGCTCAAATATTTCTTTATTTACCTGAGCATGAAAGGTAATAAAAATATAAGTGACAAAAATAAGAATAATTTAGACTTTTGGCAATGCAATATGCGATAGTATTGTTACCGGATGAAAATCGAGAGGCTTTACAGAGTCTCCTTTTCTTCCTCAATGATATCGCAAGACATTCTGATCAAAATAATGTGAGTCTATTTTATAGAAAACTATTATATGAGCCCAAATTTTAGATGAATGCTCAAAATCTTTCCGTTTGTTTCACACCATCACTCTTTCATTTGAGTGCAAGCCGCTTAAATCAAATTTCGCCTACAAGGTATGGAAATAATAGTTGGATTTGTAATAGGTAAATGGCTTTAGAAGGCATAAAACAATCGGAGCTGCTGGTATGCCAACAGAAAAGGAAATGAAAGAACAACGAGCTGCTCAAGATTGTCTCACAACAATGATTGTTGATTGCCGGTAAGTACACTCAAGTATTCAATTTATACATACTCAAATACATTTCTTAGAAAACTTTTCTTGGTTCCTGACGGCTGTCCGGTTGAATCGAACACATATGAAGAAGAATTACCAACATTGGGACATCTTGGTGGATGTGGCTATAGAAGTTATTTAGTGAGAAAATTCAAGGACATGTTGAAGGTATGGTGTCAAAAAGCAGAAAACAAATCAAATTTCAATCTAGGATCACCAAGATCGATGGAAAGGATTCAGTTTTGAATGTTCTGTTGAAGGAATTGAAGTTTCATCGAAAAAATCGCCTGATGGACATCCAATCCGATTAATGAGAGCAGTCACCGAAGTAGAGGCACCGCCAAAAGAAGTACTACATCGATTGCTTCGAGAAAGGTATTTGGGAAACAAATAATCTGATAGAAAGAGTCATATTTAGACCAGTTTGGGATCTCTCAATGGTAAATTGGAGACTTGTTGACAATCTTCAACCAGATACCGATATCTTTCAATATGTGGTCAATGACACCGTCGGTCATCCAACGAGAGATTGCTACGTTGTCAGGTGATAAAAATAATGAGAAAAGCTTTGTAACAAAATCATTTAACAGGATGCAAAAACCCGATATGGGAGAGATTCGAGGAGCGTGTGCTTTGATTGAACGATCAATAATCTGCTCGGAAACACAAATGTTAGGTGGAGTGAGAGCAGTGGTTCTTGATTCACGAGTTCTCATCGAGCCACATCATGGTCGAAGTCGAGTCACTTTTATGCAAAGAGTTGACTACAGGTAAAAAAGCTAACTTTTGAATCTTTTAATGAAAAGATCCAGATAATATTTATATAATTTAAAGGGGTCGTGGCATGCTGTGGTACAATCGAGTGTATCCAGTTCTTGTCGGACGCCAAGTTGCCCGTCTTCGTGATTCATTTCTCAAATTTCCCAATGATGGACCTGAGACCAAAGTCTAAAAAGACTCTTTCACTTATGATTTTTTTTGTTTATTTTTTGTGTTTTTGATTTTTGTTGTCACTTTTTGCATTGTCTATTATCTGATACCGATGTACGAAACTACGGGCTCTCTCTTTCATGTAATTGCTCATCATCGTTTATTTTTAAAAACTTACATAGATTTCCTGGAGTTCTAAAAAGAAGCAAGATGAGTTCAACATAAAATAATAGAAAATTTACAGAGTTACAAATTGACCATCACTCGCTAAAAAGTTTCAAAGTTGACTCTCCACGAAAAGCTGTGCTTCGCTTGTTTTACGCAAAAATACATATCTTTTCTGTTTTCCCTCTTGAATGATCTTGATTTTTTGCTCCATTGTTAGCCGTCAGTGTATTGAAAAAACGAATGAATATTTTAATAAAGGAATTTTAAAAACACAGGGAGAAATCTAAGTCCCAAAACAAAAAATCACACTGGACAGTTAAACATTTTTGAGTTTTGTATCGGCTAAAAGTTGAAATCAACAGCAACTGTGGTACTTAAAGTGAACGCAACCTATTCCATAAGAATTCGGATTGCCCATCACTTTTTTTACAATTTTTAAGACTTAACCATTTTACAATTTGCAAAGAACAAAACTTTCAAAACCATAAGTTTTTGTTTTCAACTTTTGATTGTTTCTGGCTTGGTAAAGTTCAATCCATCTATTTAACGCAATCCCTCCTTGTTCATCTTACTAGAGCTTTCCATTTGGTGTGTTCTCTTGTCTTTTTCTCTCATCCTACGGTAGAGACAAGAGAGTATGCGCTCTTTTCTCTATTAGTGATGGGTGGTCTTTGGGGAATGTGATGGGTGGTCTTCGAATAGGAAAAGGAAACCTCGCTTTCCCACTCGATTTCCCCCACACACCCTTCCCATTTCACCAATGTTTTTCGCTCAAAGTGGTCCGTTTAACTGAATATTCAAATAGTATTCAATCCATATCTTGATTTTACAACTCTTTTCGTAAAAATTGAAATTGGAGTGCTACGTGTTGATTTATAAAAATGGATGTTCAAGCAAAATGATTTGGAACAACTGAATATTTTGAGTAGAATTGTCCAAAATGACGAAGATTTGATGTTGTTTATTAAGAAATACAGTACCGAGCAAAAGTCTTGCAACATCACTTTTTCAAAAAAATCGATGACATTTTTTATAGAAAATGCCATCCGTTCGTAGGGCTTTTTTGTTTTTAATTAGAGTAATACATGCACACTTTATTTACAAAAACAAATTTGAAGTTCAGCGTAAAAGAAAAAAGTAAATGACAAAACTACTAAAAAATACCCTAAAAACTGGGTGCAAAAGTCTTGCAACATTATACAGAAACATCGAAAATTAATATTCAATCGGTCCACCTTTTGCCAAAATCATTTCATTAAGTCGTTTAGGCACTGAGTCGACTAATTCGTGAAGAATTGCTGGGCGAATGGTGCTCCAAACTTTTCGTATGTAGAGCCAGAAGTCAACTTTTGTGTGAAAGTCTTTTCCTCGTAACTTTGCCTTCACGTAAGCCCATAAATTCTCTAAATGAATGCTCGCCAGTATATGGAAATACTAGAAGGATGTCTACTTCCATTTGCTCAGGATCACATGGCTCCTGGATGGTTTCTCTACCAGGACAATTCGCCGGTCCACAAGAGCAAGCTCATGATGGGTCGCACGGTGAATCTCTCAAATGGAGGAAAAGCTCATCTCCCTGGATGTTTTGTCCTTAATAATGTTTTGTTGGTCAAGGTGCCCCCTATGTCGCCTGATTTAAACGTTATTGAGAATTTATGGGCTTACGTGAAGGCAAAGTTACGAGGAAAAGACTTTCACACAAAAGTTGACTTCTGGTTCTACATACGAAAAGTTTGGAGCACCATTCGCCCAGCAATTCTTCACGAATTAGTCGACTCAGTACCTAAACGACTTAATGAAATGATTTTGGCAAAAGGTGGACCGATTGAATATTAATTTTCGATGTTTCTGTATAATGTTGCAAGACTTTTGCACCCAGTTTTTAGGGTATTTTTTAGTAGTTTTGTCATTTACTTTTTTCTTTTACGCTGAACTTCAAATTTGTTTTTGTAAATAAAGTGTGCATGTATTACTCTAATTAAAAACAAAAAAGCCCTACGAACGGGTGGCATTTTCTATAAAAAATGTCATCGATTTTTTTGAAAAAGTGATGTTGCAAGACTTTTGCTCGGTACTGTAGCATCTTATAAAGCATAAAGTTGAAATGAAAATTTTGACGATTTACAATTTTTTGGTGTTTGAGTGTGTTTCAAGTTTGACCAAAGCCAATGTCCTTTTTTCTTTCAGTTTTGATATTTTTTTGTTCAAATTTTATTTATGCGAAAGAATAAATTCAATAAAGAGCTTTATTCTGACCAAAATGGTGTAGCAAAAATATAAATAGTCATTTTTTAGTTTTTGGTTTCCATATGTACAAGTCAAAGGAACCTAGAGCAAATTAGATCTAATCAAAAAGAGGGAAATGATGCAAAGCAACCAGGAAACAACTAGAAAATTTGGAAATGAAAATGGAATCGGCAGGCAGTGATCGAATAGAAAAATGGGCAGGATCATGTAGAGAATTGAGCAGAGAAACGGGTGACGAGGAAAAAAAGTGAATGAATGAAGGAAAAGGAAGAAGAAAAGAATGACACCGGCTCATGCATGGGTAGTGCAGACTATGAAAAGGGAAGACATTTTATTCCAACTGAAAAAAGATGAAGGAAAATGGGGATTTGTGAGATTCGGTCCAACAAAGGTATTTTTCCTGAAGCTTGACAAAAGGGTTTTTTGTTTTATGCGATGAAAATGTGTAGATTTAGAAGTAGTTGACTTCATTGGAAGTGGTTGTGGTGACCATGTCGTTACGACGGCGCTCGACTCCCGTTCGTGGATCGGATCCCGGTTGGAACTGGAAAATGAAAATTGTAGTTTTAGGGAAAATGGTGGTTTCAAAATGTTTCAAAATTTCTTAAAACTATCATGATCCAGAATCCAGTTTGCATTCAATTTATCAACAATTAACTTAAAAGAAGCTATCATTTGACTAACATCGTGTTGCGTGGAGAATTTTGTGTTTCTGTCCATTGTTCCATCTCCTGTACCTCTTCCCCTCATTTCACCCACTGTCGCATAGTCCTCCTGAAATTTTTACATATTTAAGTTTTATTTAGAGAATAATTGGTTAGAAGATATGAAATTCTTAAAATTAGAGTTGTTTTTGTTTTTAAACGATCAATACAAAATTCGCAATGTTAGGTTATTTTTCGACTTTAGATCACACTCGCAATTGATTTGTGAAGCGAAAGTGCAGCATTCACAACACGCAATGATTTATTCACTCGTGGAAAATCGAACAAAAGCCATATAGATAATAAATGTGAGCAAGTAGGCAAGATGGGTGAGATTGAAATAGAAAACTGAACAAATATCACTGCAAAAAAAAGGGGAATTGTGATTGGTTTATTGCTACAAAGTTTACCTGGATACATCCTCAAAATGCTAATTCAAAATTGAGATACTTTTTGCAGCTACTTAAATTATAAACTGTGCGTTAGACTTGGCAATGGGAGAGTGAAGGGTGAAATCTAATACATAAAATGACGTGCTTTCTTTCAATCCTTCACCATCACAAATATTTTCTTCCATTTCATCACACAAATCCACGATTAACCTCTCTGGAATTCATCGTTGTTGAGTATTCATTTCGGTGTCTTTCCATTCCCGAATCGAACTACAACTGGATTTTTGTCGAGACTAACCAGAATCCGTGCGAACACTATCCATTCTCTTTTTTTATTTTCAATTTCAACCACTGCAACTATCTCTTTTTGAATAGAATCACCTGATGTTGTTGACTTGCTCGATTCACTCTATCCACTGTCGCGTTTCCGGCATCAGAATCATAAGAAAGATTGTCTTCTTCGTACCTCTAAATCAACAAAAAAAGCACTCAAAATATAAACGGCAAACTTGAGAACAAAAAGTGCTTTCAAGGATTTTTCTGATTTGATTTTGAATTCTGATTCGAATTTGAGACTCACCGATGCACTGGAGTGCATTCCAGATCGGGAGGCTCCTCCAGCGGCAGCATGAGTGAAATGATCAGCGGATGTCATCGCAAATTGCTCGGCTTCCGTCTCGACTGAGTCAATTGGTCCATTGTGGAAGATCTGCGTTATTTTTGGACTTATTTTCAAGTTCCGATTGCATTCACGAATACCTCGGCTTGCGTGGTGTGAACATTTCCCTCTGAATCAGTGACGGTGGTCGTTCTGATTTCTCTTGTTGTCACATCTGTTGTCACACGGCGTTCAATTTCCTAAAATGTTTCAAATTACTCGATTCTTTTTCAATTTTCTTTTCTACTGGTACCTCAAGTGATCCACCACTACTAATTGATGCGCCGTCATCCAAATAGGCTTGAAGTGCTCCTGCATTGTCTCCAAAGTCCTCCTGTTATTATTGTAATTGTTTGTAAGAATAAAATGACAAACTGCGTATGCTGGTTTTAGTTTGGCTCGTGGAATGGTATAATATTCAGAAACGAGTTCTTGACCGCTTGTGCCAACTGATGCCCCTCGTCCACCGAAGCATCTTCAAAATCTCTGTTTTTGAGTTTCTTTTCCAGTTAAACCTGCAACGAGCACATGCCCAAATACAGCAAAGAAGAGTGAGAAGTAAGAAAAGGAGAGCAAGGATCAAAGCAAGGATGATTCCAGCTTTAGATGGCTCGGTTTCACAATGCTCTCCCGTATATCCATCATAGCAAACGCATAGACCCGAAGTTGTCCCATTGGCCAACTGAAATTTTTGTTTCTTTTTCTAGATTCTCTTTTTTACCTTCGTGGTCACGAAATCTCCATGTCCATGGCATTCAGTTCCAATTCGAGATACACGAGCACATGCTCGTCCCGGATTATCAACATTCAAATCCTCGTACCTTCAAGCGGAACATTGATTTCTGTATAAACAAACAAAGTTTACCCTTCATTGCATTTGCATGTGAAGCCATCCTTCAGATCAATACAAGTGGCATCAAGATGACAGTCATGTAGTCCAAGGATACACTCGTTTACATTACCCAATCTAATCTCTCAATTAATATCATCGTTACAAGAAATTATATACGGGAGACAATAGTTGTGCTCAAGTGCCGCCTCTTCCAATTTCTCCTTTCCAGCTTTGCGCACATCCACAAATCCGGCTTTGCATACGCATTGAGCCTAGAAATTTTGTTTGTAAAATCTGTCTAACTTTTTTGTCGCTTACGCTTTCTTCATAATTGTGACAAGTGGAGTTGGCGGGACAGAAGTTCACATCAGCACAATAATTGGGTTTACAAATTGTGCCAGGAACTAGATCTGCTGGTGTTGCATCAATGTATCCAACATCGCAAATGCATCTGAATTTTGTTCTCATTTCCTAAATCATAAGAATGAAAACTTGTATCGTGGATGGGTGAGGACACATCGAGCGTGTTCCGAGCATGTGTTCAAGGTTTTGTTCGTGCACCAATCGGATCCATTTTGATCAACGCAATCGTGTCCCGGGAAATTTGGCATCAAATCGTCAAATCCAGCCAAGCAGATGCACCTAAATACCACACAATTTTTTCCTTGTGCTTATCCTATTTTGTTGTGATTTTGTTATGACTCACGTGTATCCACCACGTCCATTTCCTCTGCAAATTGAATGTGGTCCACAATTCGAATGGAAGCATTCCCAATCGAGCTGATCAGGTGAAATGTACAACTTCTTTGAGCCAATCTTCAAAAATTTCTTTGATCTCAAGCCAGTGTTGAACTCACCTCCATATCGTTTCGGAATTTGATATATTCGACCAAATCAGTGTAAACTCGTTGTGGTGTTTCGACTGTGTTGCGAGCGAAATGCACAGTGAAGTTGAAAAGACCACCAGATTCCCAAGACTATTTTTGAGTAATTTGATGAACATTCTTAAAATCAATACTGAATTTCTTGACGCGGGTTCTTCAATATCGTTGACCTCGACAGTAACAAAGCTTTTACCAACGGGAATCTTGTGATACACTTCAGCAATTCCCGTAATGAAGCTAGAAAATACCATTAGCTATTCATAAAGTTGATCGGAAAATACCGATCAACGATCTCTTTGCGATAGTCATTTGATGGGTTTGCCAATTCGGTTGTCCAAGCGATTGGGGAAGAATGATCGCGAATGACATATAGAGGTAAATTCCATGATTCGACCTAGTATGTGAATGAAAGACGTATAATATAGGAAAAACTTACAAGTTGGCATTTGTCTTTAGGGCCAGCTCGTTTCATTCCTTTGGGACAAGTGCATGTACCCTCAAGACAGAATTCTCCCAAATCAGCATTACAGAATCCATTTCCACACGGTTCTCCTGTGACACTTGGATGAGGTGGTTTACAGGGATTAAGATCATCAAGATTGTCAACTCCAAGACGCGAAAGTTGTAGACCTTGACTTTCGAGTTGAGCTGTGAATGCTTCATAGACCTAAAATACTCAGATTTCGTCTCCTTTTTGCATTTTGTTTTCCCTACCTTGCATTTATCAACACCAGGTGTGAGCTTCAAAGATCCGTTTACAATGAAACCACTCCAATCACTAAAATTAATATTATGATCAAAAAGTTTTGCTAAGAAATCTCACGGATTTTCAATCTTTGGAGGAGCGATGTATTTGACGTCACTGCCGACAAACTTTTCACCGTAAACCGTTTTCTTGACCGTTGAACCAACTCCTTTATTGAAATCGGCGCTGATCTGGAATGCGCCTGATTAGCCAACGTTTTTATTGTTAGCAAACTTCAATGTAATCGGTTGAAGTGGGACTGGCAAGGTCTGGAGTGAAAACAAGAGTATCCCCATTCTTCGAGACCACGTGAATCACAATTGGAATCTATCAGTTAGAGTCTTTTGCTTAATTTTTCAATTTCAAACCTCAACAATGGCTTGACATTTTTCCTTTGGTGATTCTCTCGATTCTCCCTTTTTACAAACACATTCCGTGCCTCCAAGACACACCTATAAACCAATTAATATTAACCCGAATATCTTGCTTCATAAACCTCTCCAAGATCGGGATTGCACCAGGTACTGCCACATCTAGTTCCTTTATGTACCGCCGGCTCAACGGAAGTCGTCTCTTCGAGGCTGAAGGCTAAAACGCGCTCACTTATTGAGCATCTTCTAAAAAAAAGACGAACCAACGCAAACGGTTCCTGGCTGTAATGGATCAGGGCTGTCATCATAGAATCCAGGTTTGCATTGACAGTAAAAGCCGTCATCTGTGTCTACACAGTCGGCGTTCTAAATCCAGCTCGATTTTCAAAAATTCTTTAATTCAGCTTTTCAAATGTTTCTTTTCTATCTTGTACCTCTTTATGACAATAATTCATCTTTGGATCTCTGCACTCATTGTAACGACAGATACGACCGGGATTTGCTGGATTCACATCCTGAAGGCACAAAGGCTTACTTTTCAAACCAAACACTTACCAAGTAGGGTGGATCGCAAATACATTCGTATCCGACTTCAAGATCTTGACATGTTGCGTGCTTTCCACAATCGTGCATATTGGCAAAGTCACATTCGTTGATTGCTGAAATCTTTTTTCATCTTTTGATACGCTTGTCGATTCTTTTGGGTATATTTTAAACACTGACGATATGTGCAATTTGTGCCAGGGTGAGCCGGATCGACATCTTTGTATCCAGATTTGCACACGCATTCATATCCTTCTTCCAAATCTCGACAATTCGCAAAACGAGAGCAGTTGTTCAATTGTGGATGACCACACTCATCCATGAGCTAAATTTATCTGGTAAACATTGCCATTTTGCATCAAAAACAACCGCTTTGCAGTGCCGACCGGGTCTTGTCGGATCGGGTGATATATCTTTTGAGTTCACTGGGCACACACACTCATAACCATCCTAAATATTCATTTCTTGTTAAGATTTGTCTTCTTTTTCCAAACCGGTAAATCTTTGCACGTTGCAATTGGATCACAGTCATTCTTATCTCGTCTCTCACATTCATTGTCCAATTTTTTGCATTCACGACCTGAATTTTGAATAGCCTACTTTGAAAGTTTATCACTCACCAGGGTTGAATTTGTTCATATCAAGCCATCCGTCTCTGCATTTGCACACATATTTCTCGGAAGTTGCCACCTGAAAACCAACTTGCGAGATTATTGTCGGAAAAAAAACTGACCTCTTTGCAAGTTGCGGCTGGGTGGCAAGTGTTCTTTGTGGGATCAAGGCACACTTGTTCAATACAAACACGGCCTGAAAAGTAAGGTATGGCTTTAAAAGATGCGAAAGTTTCTTGGATGATCTTAATGTGTAAATTTTTACCGAGACGTGCCGGATCGGGACTCATATCAATATAACCAACATCGCATACACATTCATAATCATGAGCTCCTCTTTCAACACATGTCGCATGCGATGAGCAATCATGTTTGCCCGTCTCACAAATATCGTTGACTGAAATTATCAAGATTTCCATTGAAAACCACTTTTCGTTATCACTTTTCTTGCAGTGCCTTCCTGGATTTCGAAGTTCGTCCGTGTCTACAAATCCGGCATTGCACGAGCATGTGTACGAGGCGTAAGTATCTAAAATGCTTTGGTTCTCAAATAATGGACTAGTTCTGAGAGTCTTCTACCTCGACAAGTGGCATTTTTATGGCAATCGTTGAGTGATGGACTTTCACACTCATTGATGTAGGGTTGGCAGACAGTGCCCTTGAAATTTGGATCAGGAGATACATCTTGAAAACCATCCTGAACTAGTAAAATTGAAAAAAGGTGAGTTAATGATGGATTTTAGACCTTGCAACGACAAAAGAAACCAATTGGATGGTCAATACAAAGAGCATTCACAGAGCAATTGTGAGTTCCCAAAGCACATTCATCGACGTCTGAATAATTTGGGTTTAGGTTTTGGATTTGATATCACATGATGTGTGGCTAGTAACAATGAAGGCTTAATTTAAAACGCACATTGTCGACATTTGCGTCCCGGCTTGTGTACTTTGTCTGTTGACACATCTTCATATCCATCACGGCAAGTACAGATGTATGATTCCTAGAATTCCATTACCTCAAGCACAAAGTCACTTTTTGCATTACCGGCGTATCTTTACAAATTGCATTTTGATCGCACTCGTTCTCTCCCAAGCATTCGTTTACCTCTGAAAGTTTGTCTTTAAGATGAAAGAAAATCGGTTGTTAACTGCAAATTCCAGTGATTTCATCTCTTTCATATCCGGTCGGACATTGACAACTGAAACCTCCTTTTCCATCGGGGAGACATTGCTCTCTGGAAGGTAAGTTTATTGCTGAAAATGAATTATTTGCTGTACTCACCTTTTTCGAGTGTCGCATGGGAAATTTGGATCACACCCCCCTTGTTTTTGGCAAGTGTCTGATTTTGGATCCTTGACAAATGGCGGCCTAAACGAGAATAAATCATTCATTTTCTTCTCTCAACGCTTTTTATTTACTAATGACTTACAAGCATTCACAAATGTAATCCCCTCCGGGTGCTCTTTTGCAAACTCCATTTGGACAGCCAGTCTTTGGATCGCATTGATCGTTGTTTCCTTCGATTTTCGGCAACAATTCTGCAACAAACTTGCTTTGAGAACAGAAAAATTGATAGCTTTTATCATTTTTGAGAAATAAACTGACTACACGCTCCAGTGTGTGGATCTCTCCATCCTTCAGCACATGAACATCTCCAATTCCCAAATGGAGTTTTCTCGCAAACCTTGACAAAGCTATTTTCTCTTTAGCTAGAACTGCATACCTCGGGATCTGGGCAAGAAGTGGAAATTTCCGGGTTGCATGGGTCTCCTCCACAAACCTAAATTGTAAGCAATGTAGAATGTATTTTATTTAGTTAAATTATCCATACTTTAGTGACTGGATGCAGCTCGAAACCTTTTGGACAACCACAAATGAAACGCCCATTTTCGACAAGGCAGACTTGGTTCTTTGAGCGATCACAACCCGTGTGTGTCGTTGGATCACAAGGACCTACAATTTTTGTACTTTAAAACTTTTTTCCCTTTCACTAACCATAAGTTGGCTGTTCAGGCTCATCCTTTGGGCAGGTAACCTTTTGAATAAGAGAACGAAGACGGGTATTTAAATCCTCAAAACCATTGACATGGAAAAAGCCATCTGTTGATCCGGCAATTGTTTCCAATTCGGAGTCTGAGAATTTTCATTGGAAACTTCTTTATAACGATGGAGTTCCTTACGACCCACCAAGAACGTGATTGGTAACTCCAATGGCAAAAAGTTGAATTCCCATTCGACGAGCGTTGCTCGACGGAATTGTGACATTGTCCTAGAAAAATAAATTTGTAGGTTTGTTCTATGCTTGTTTTGTATACTTGTGATCGTCCATCAGTGATCACAATGACAACTCGTGCCACGGTTGAAGAGAGTGGTCGAGCTCCTCTTCTTTCATTGAATGCCTCTGTTGCCACATGTTCAATAGCTGCTCCTGTTCGGGTTAGGCCCGTCAGATAGTCAATTCCTTGAATTGCTTCGTGCACCTAAATTGCTTACTAATTGCTTAACGATGATAATTTACTGATCGAGCATTCGTATAATCGCCAAGACCAAATTCATGGCGAATCTGATCCGAGTACTGTACAACGGCCACTCTAGTCTGTTTAGGTCCAATATCGAAAAGTTCAGCAAATTCGGAAATGAATCTGAGCACCTAAAATAGTATTTGTTGTCAAAACTGAAAGGCGCTCAAACATCAGTCTGGAAAATGTACGATCCAATAGAGCCGGAGCCATCAATGAGGAAAACGAGATCAGTTGGTTGGGTCGGACTAAAAAATTTGTATCATTTTCAAATTGTAAAATAAACCATTGAGTGTGAAGAGTGCAAACTCGGCCTGGAGGAAGATTGGCATTTGAGGAGACATCCACGTAGCCCTTAATCAATAAGAAAACATTAGATAGGATGGACCTTTTAAACTCACATCGAAACATTTGCATGTGTATCCATCTGGCAGTTCGACGCAATCCGCATTCTCATCACAAGAGTTTTGTGAACGATCTTTGCAATAGTTTCCACCTAGAATATATCCTTTCAAATTTCCCCAGCAAAATAACAAACTCTTTGCGCATTTGCGTCCAGGCTGTTTACCGTATCTTGAAGAAACATCGGTGAGAGTCGATGGGCATCTGAAAATTCTATTCAAAGGTGTTCCATTCTCAATTACAAACCGGCAAATGTACGACGTTTGCGTGTCAATGCACTCGGCTTGTGGATCACAATCATGAGTTCCTTCCGAGCATTCATTCACCACTAAAGTTTATTCAATAATTTAATATCTGTTCATTTATGTGCGTTCCTTGCTAAATGACTGTGAGGGAGTGGCATTGAAAAGAAAGAAATGACAAGCAAGCAAATGTGTTGCTTTTGGGGTAAAGGGAAAAAAAACCAGTCTTCCTCTTTTGTGCTCTTCTCTTCAACCGCATCACTCTCCATTTCTTGGCCGAATGCCCGGCTATTTTTCTTTGAAATTTCCATTTCAAACGGATTAGTGATTGAATCGGTCAACATTTTCCAAGAAATGAGCGAATTTCAGAATGTTTTCAAAATACTCACATTGCTGGCATTTTCTTCCGGGCCGACGGACGGGGTCGGGAGACACGTCAAGATATCCAGATGGACATTTACATTCCACTCCCGAATAAGCGTTCGAGCATTGCGCATTCACATCGCATTCCTTTGATCGCTCACATTGTGAATAAACTGAATTTTTTGTGTTTGAATCATTTTGAGATCTTGCTACATACCTCGACAACGACCATTTTCATCTTTCACGGCTCCTGCTTGGCACTTACAAACGCGTCGCCCAGTTCGATCCAACTTAAAATACTTTTGGAAAAAAATACCCTTGAAATCCTACTTGACATTCCTCGTTGGGTCCACATGTTGAGCTATCGTAGCACTCGCTTGTCTAATAATTACAGAGTAAAATCGTTTTTGTTTAAACTTACAGGTGCTGATGAATATCCGTAATACTCGGGCTCTTTTGGTTTATTGCAAACTCTGCCGGGATTAAACTCGATATCAGGAGAGGCATCCACAAAACCAGATCGACACTGACAATCAAAACTAGAAAAGAGATTCTCGTTGAAAATTGCATAACCATTTGCTATACCCTTGTGGTTTATCTATACAATCAGCATTGGGAGAACAATCGGCAGTACCCATTCGGCACTCATCAATCACTTCAACACACTAGAAATATTTTTATTGAGATCTTTGATCAATTTACTTACCTTTCGACCGGGATTCTTCGAGTAAGTGGATGAAATATCTGTATATCCAGGTTGACATACGCACTAGAAAAACGCAATTCAAAATTTCGAATTAAACCTTTCGAGCTTACTTGAAAGCCTTCTGGCGTATCAACGCAACTCGCTGAAGAATCACAATCGACTCCGTATCTAAAAATCGTTCTCAACTGATACCTCCTAATCTCTTGATTACGTCAATTTTTGTCCACATTCATTTTGTGTTCGTTGACATTGTCTTCCAGGTTTGTTGACTCGATCCGGTGATACATCTGCGAATCCGGCATTGCATTGACAAGTGTATCCATCTGACTGAAATCAATCTTTCTATCAAGAAAAACTTCTTGGGTTTTTCTTCTTATCGCAACAAAAAGCTCTATTTGCTGAAGGGGTTTTTTTGGATGATTTCGATACTCTGTTTAGGTGGCTTTGGGTTTTTGATTGTCGACAGACGAAACCGTCTCTTTCTTTTTCGACTTTTCCATTCCCGTCAATTAGCTTTCTCTTCACGTTTTCCCTCCCTTTTGTTTTCACTTTTTCTTTCGTTGACAAAGTTAAAAATATTCTAGAAATCATCTATTTTGGCAACTTGGCTCTGCTAGAAAATCGTGATTCAAAATGTCCCCATGGAAATGAATGTCCAGCTCAATTTTGGTTTCTCAAATGTTAGGAAACAATTTCTACTAGTTAAGAAAAAAATGGTTAACTGTGAGAAGAAAAATGAGAAGAGAAAAAGATCTTGAAATGGATGGGACGTGGGTGTGGCTAGTGCGCTCTTTTCCCACTGTACGAAAAGATACCCAAGGTCAAGCCCCTTCCCTTCTCATCCTGGAATCAATGTGATTCATTGTTTTGCTTTCTTTCAAAAATATTTGAATCAATCTTTTGCTTTTTTTCCTCTTCTTTTTTCAATCAATAAAAAGTGAAGGGATGAAATTGGGTATCTTCGTTTTAAATGACCTTGTCTATACAACGAGCATCTTTGTGGCATTGATTGAGCTTCGGCTGAGAGCATTCGTTCACCATCTTGCAACGGCCATCTCCTAAACCTTTTGATAGAAGAAAAATAAAAACACTATAAAAACCAAGTCTTGAAATGCCAGGTGGACATTCACATCGATATTGACCATTTGAGAAGACACAAACTTCTCCTTTCACTTGACTGCAAGAGAGAGGATCGTCTACTCGACATTCCAATCGAGCTGAAAAATAAATTGATTATGTACGCATTTCTTTTTGCTTTTACGTTTTTTAGCTTGGTCTGGACTGACAAAAGACGAGCCTTTTAGTTATGAAAAAAGAAGAAAGAGCGCACATTGTCATCGCCAAGGGTCATTGATGGCTTCGAGAAGCCAAACCCCATTCAGTTCCCCCATTTTCTTTCATGACAAGTTTTTTTTTGCCACTCTTTTTCTGTCTATAGAAGAATGTCATGGCATTCATATGATGGCTGAGTACATTGTCATACTATTATATTCCCCGTTTTTGCCAAAACTGAGGTTGACCTTATTAAGCGAGTCAAAGAATTTGCGTGAAAACGAACTCCTATTGAACATTGAAGTTTATGCTATTGATTTATAAAGGCAAAGACATCAGTTGAAGAGATCCTAAAAATGTAAAACTTTGACCTAAAGATGAAGGCAAAAGATCAAAAAGACATTCTCGAAAGATCTTGGTGAGGTTGAGTGTTTCAATCCGATTTCCCCAGCCTTTTCTTTTCTCATTCGCAGCCATTGTTGTATTATCTATTTCCATTTTAGGGAATACCTATCCCTTTAGTTTTTACTTATCAGAAAATTTTTCAAAAATTTCTTTTCACATCAAATAACAAGAAAGTTTTGTTTTCTTTTTTCACCACACGTTCAACAAAGCGTATTTATTGTGAAAAATTGAAGGGCAAAAGCGTCGAAACCTGTTGATAGTTGCCAAAATCCAGATCATTTCCCTATTTCACATTTTCCCTTTTGCCTCTTTTTTTCTTTGATTAGCATCTTACAAATGACTGATCGATGTGCTTCAGATTCCAATTTTAAAGACGAATTTCAAAACATCAAGCGCTCGTTTTTGCTTTGTGCGGAAAAGTTGATCGTGAAATCAAAGAGAAATAAGAAGAAAAGGCACACCCAAAATAGTAAAGAAAAAAGAATTGGATAGTTAGAAGAGATGATCTATCAATAAAGGGAGTATTGGGAAGTAAACAAAAGAGGAGTATAGAAATGGTGAATAAAGAAGGGAATGGTTAAAAGGATATAGGATCATTTTGAGTGCTTGACGAGTTTTTGAGTAATTCGATGAAAGAACTCACAATATGTTTGAGGAGATTTTTGTTGAGGTGTCGGATATCGAGAGGGAGTCGCATATCGTTGATTTGCTGTGGCGAGTGCGATAAGGGCCGCCACCAAAACCCTTCTCATTATGATCATTCCCCCAATCAAAACTGAAATCAAAATTGAACGAGTTTTTGAAAATTTCAGATTATCCACAGATTGAAATATGACATTTGAAAAAAACTTCAGTAACGTAAAAAGTCAGTTTACAAGATACTGTCTAACTACAGTATGCCTGAATAAAGATGATCAATGAGCAAGACTTGAAATTGAGCTTGAAAATCTTGAAGAACCATTGAATAAATAATCGTCGAATCAATAAGTAATGAAGAAGTGAAACTGTTATTTCACAATGAAGTGAAACGAGGCGAAAATTTGCGACAGGATCATGATAGAGAAGGGCGACGACCCCCAGGGCTGAACCCAATCACCCCAGAAAAAAAAACTGAAAAAAATAACATGCAACTTGGGGAAATGGGCAAAGGCGGCTGAGTTCACGAACCGAAACCAGGCAGCCGCCAAAAATCATCGCCCCCAGATATTTTCAAGTCTCCCTCCTCCCTTAGGGAGAGCGCAAAATTCCAGTCTCTCGCGCGTATGGCAACCCAGTCGAAAAATAGAATCCACAGAGAGCACGAGCAACTTGATGAGCAATCACTAAGAGAAAACCGCAGCGGTGAAAAAGGAAAGAAAAAAGGAAAGGTGGGAAGATGGGTGTGTGGAGGTGGCCGACCCACCAGCAGCAACACCACCATCACCTTCTCCTTTTCTTTATTCACCTCCCTTTTTGCGACTTGCTTTTCGGAAAGCGAGAGTGACGATAAAACGATGGCACTCTCTCCGGCCATCCCTTCCTCTCCCCTCCACCTCTTTTCCGTTCCTTTTCATCTCACTGTGCTCCGGTCTTGACTCAAGCATTAAGCATTACCTCATAATAAATATTGGTGATAGATTGATAATGGGTTGTCTAACAGAGAAACTGTGATTTGCTGATAAGTGAAAGAAAATTGGTTGACGCTAGACATTACTTCTAGAAATGAAATATCTAATCATAAGAAAGTTATTGAAAAAGAAGGGATCAAAACAGGTATCATCACTTGAACGAGCTGATAGAAAATTTCAGCAAAACGGAAGAATGTTAAACGATAAATTGAGCTGCCATTGAGCGGTGGATCGAGAAAAGTGATACAGGAGAAAAAACGACGAGTGGTAGCTGCGACGGTGAGATTTTACTGGTATCGAGTGGAAATAAAAACAGCAAAAATAAAGGGCGAAATTTGTACAAAATGGTTTGGGCGGAGCACCCGGGTGACCACACCCAGCCGTGTCTCGGGGCAAGGTCATCAAGAAAAGAATACATAAAGAAAAGAGACACCCAAACACAATCATAGAAGCCAATGACTCAGGTGCTCTTGCTCAATTCGAGAAATAACGAACACAAAAATGTAAATCAAGCGCATGCTTCCTCATGTATGTGGGAGGGGTAAAAAGAAAGGGTGGAAAGAAAATAAAAGGGAGGGGTTCGGATGGGATGCGACTGGGTGCCTGCTACAATTCGGAGAACCACACCCCATTTTTCGGCCTTTTCGCGGATAACTCATGTAGAACTGCAGTACTGAACCCGAAAAATTGTTGATAAAGTAGCACTTGTCCCGAGTTCGGAGTTTTATCAGGCTGTCGAATTTACTGAAACAGAAACCTCATTTACAATACAAGGTAAATACCAATTGTAACCATCAATGTTAATGGAAAATGAAAGCAAAGTGACCAGGAGCTTATGAAATTTCGAAAAAGGGAAAGAGATGGGAAGTGAGAGTAGGAGCTAACACAAGAGGGGGCGTCACAGTCTGATTCTCCCCTCCTCACATGCAAATCGCGCTCTGCCTGCCGGGGAGTCTCAGCCTCCTGGAGGGCAAGACTGCTAGGCATACACTCTCTTGTGCCTTTCTTTTCCATCCGCAAAGTGCCCTGATCGACGCGCTCGCATTAGTCCCTCTCCTTCTCTCACTCTTTCTTTCGTCTCATGCTCTCCTACCTGGGGGCTGTATGTAGAAACCTCGCTTCGGCAAACTGGTTACTGTACGACTTTTCCCCTTTAACACAGACCGCCCTCAAGCACTGACACGCGCCAGCCTTCCCTTCTCCTTCCTTCTTTTCTGCAAAGCCTCCAAAATTGATGATCATTCGCCAACATTTTGATCTTTTCGGAGATTGCTCCTAAAAATCATAAAATGCTCAACTTTTTGATAACCAATAGAGGTTATGAAACGTAATCAAGTAATAATTTTTGTTGTAAATGAATAGAAGAGTGAACATAACAATCTTTTAGAGCTGCCGCTGAAAGGAAATGATAAATGTGACAATGAGGAAAAGGGAGTGATTGTGTGATTGTGAGGAGTGTTCGACTTTTCTCTGACACTCGAGACGACGACCACCCTCAATGTGTTCTTTCTACTGGAACCATCGGAGACGAGTTGCTTTTATTGTTTCCTTTTCTTTTTTTTGTTTTCTCTCATTATCACCAAAGTATTATATTTTAATGTCATGCGTATTTTAGAAAAAGGGGCGAGCATTCTTGAACCATTCTTATCATGTGGAATGTAATCCAGAGTAAGTTTGTGCTCGCAGCTTGACAAATTAATGTAGTTAATGTAGCTGACAATTATCGTAATGTTTCTAATCAAATAGTGAGCAATTCTATTTTTCAAACCCTTTCTCCATAGAGTGTCGTTCTATTAGAAGGATTACGGTAATTACAATAGCAACTGTGTAACGGTGAGTGAGCAGCATGAGATCACACTACTAATAATAAGCGTAAAATTACCTCTTTGGCTGAAGTTCCCATCTTTGATAAATTTTTGTTTGTTATGATATTTATACAGTCATGCACAAAAGTCTTGTAACATCCAGTTTAGCAAATTTCAAAGTGTAATAACTTTTTTTGCAAAGAGGCGAATTCCCAAACAGTTTTTGGTTTTTAGTTGTCAAAAATTTCTATTTTTATATGCAAGAAAAACTTTATTGAAACGATTAACAAAAATTAAGGAAAACAAATAAAAACAAAAAACGGGCGCATTTTTGATGCTCAAAAGTCTTGTAACATTTGAAAAAAAACATAGAAATTATCAAATTTTTAATACTTCGTTGGTCCACCTTTAGCTTTGTTGACTTCCTGGATCCGCCTTGGCATTGAATCAACTAAATCGCGTAGAATTTGGGCTCCCAGGGATGACCCGGTACGGCGAATGAAGAACCAAATCTCTATCTTCGAGTTGAATCGCTTTCCCTCCAGCTTTGGCTTCAAAAAAGCCCAAAGATGCTCAATGACGCTCAAATCCGGGCTGTATGGAGGAGCTGAGATAATTTGAACACGATTTGCTTTGAACCATCCTGGAAGACGAGCTTTTCCACCATTTGCGAGAGTGATGACTCGGTCCATTAGCAATTGACCCTTGTCGCAAGGCGCATTATCCTGATAAAGCAGCCATCCAGGGCCCATTTTTGCAATTGAAAATGGCAGAAGATGATTCTGGAGAAGTGATTTGCAGCCTTCAGCGTTGAGCGTTGAGTTTAGTAGCACTAGCGGACCTGGTGAATTTCTCGACATTGCACCTGAAAGACAGAGTTGAGAGTGTGCACCATGAAAGTAGCCCTTACCCCAAAGCATGATTGATCCTTGGCCAAATTTCACGGTTGGTCACACATATCTGATGTTTTACCGATTTCCTATTGGTCTTCTGATCAAGTGGTTGCCATCCGGGCGAAAAAGATTGACCTTTGACTCATCAGTAAAAATCACATTTGCCCAATCATTTTGACATACTTCTTTGCAAACTCCAAACGAATCGTCCGATGCTTGGCATTCATCAAGGGCTTCTTGGCTGCTCTTCTTGTCACCAACCCACCACGAATCAAGCGTCGGCCCACTGTCATTTGTGATACATCCTTGCCGAATTGACTCTTCATCATGACGACTCCATCGCTCGCATTGAGATCCTTGTTATTTCTGTGAGCTTTGACGAGCGCTTTATCCTCTCTGGGTGTTGTAATTGGTGGACGGACTGATTTTGAAGCTCGGTGAACAGATCCAGTCGTTTTGAACGTCCCGACGTTTTACCGTTTTTTCACTGCATTTGAAGAGAGCTGCCACATCTTTCCTCTGAATTCCTTTCTCTCGCGCTTCCACAATTTCTTCTTTGTCCCGAGTTGACAAATATTGTCCAGGCATCTAAAAAAAATAATTTTTTGTTATATAAAAAGAAAATAAAAACAAAAACCAAAAAAAAAGCAAAATACTTCAAATGTTACAAGACTTTTGAGCATCAAAAATGCGCCCGTTTTTTGTTTTTATTTGTTTTCCTTAATTTTTGTTAATCGTTTCAATAAAGTTTTTCTTGCATATAAAAATAGAAATTTTTGACAACTGAAAACCAAAAACTGTTTGGGAATTCGCCTCTTTGCAAAAAAAAAGTTATTACACTTTGAAATTTGCTAAACTGGGTGTTACAAGACTTTTGTGCATGACTGTATTATTTGTTGTTGAACACTTGAACAAATTGAACAAAATTTCTGAATATTTAGGAATTACGAAGAGAAGGCGGACTAAGGAACACTATAAAACAGCTGTTCAAAAAAAGAAAAATTTAAAGAACCTTTTGGTTTTTGTTTTTATTTTCGTTTTATATAACACAAAATTATATTTTTTAGATGCCTGGACAATATTGAACTCCTGCCCTCCCACATGTTATCTGCTACACTACGCAACCATGCCTTTGTCACCCGCGCATAAGCCTTATAAGAGAGGCCAAAAAACTTGTTTGCCAAATTCCTTGCGATTCAGACCTATCTAGCAAAAAAAGACAGCAGATTCGGAATCAGCGTAAAATTCGGCATCGGATGGTTCAGGTCTCATTTCGATTAGCCACCTTGATTTCGTGACCTTCCCTTGTCATTAACTTTGTTGCAAATCGACATAAAACAGTTTTGGAGCTTACAATTTATTTTCACAAAAATGGACCCGAATGTAAAAACAACTGCTCCAAAAAAAACGAGTGATGTTGGACTCGTCAAGATAAGATGTTAAAATGATGAGGATAAAGAAAAGGGGTAAATGAATATCTCAAAGACGGTACCTCACACAACAGGGGGAGGGCAGACCCTCTGAGAACCCTTCTTATCCTGAACAAGAGGAAAACCCGTTGGAATTGTTTTTGCTTTTCTAAATAATTGCTTTGTTCCAACAAGTAGAAAAACCTCTTTTACACAACAAATTTTGAAAACGAATGAATGTATGGTGGAATTTTTAAACATCAAAAAATAGTAATGATCCGCAAAGAACGTACGATAAAAACACGTAAGGAGCCCGTATTAGGAAGTACAAAATGAAGCTTCATTGGAATCGTTGATCCCTATCCGCTATGCTAATTGTATTTACAAGTACCGATCACTAAAGGCAATCTTGAGGATGCGAACTCCTCTGAAGAAAAAAAAGGGGAAAAGAATTGAATAAAAAGAAATAGATTGAACAGAGATTTTTTGGTAAGTTGAGAATGTTTTTCACAAAAAAGAAAAGAAAATGGTAATAAGAAGTTTTGATGAAAGGATGGGTAGCTGAGAGTGAGATAAAATGAGTCGAGTAAATAGGAGGAAAAGAGATCAACGAGGCTGAGCAGATTCAGCTTCGACTGGATCGTCCATTTGATGCTCAGCCACATAAAGACGAGGATCCACAGCTTTAGGAATTGGCTCGATTCGAGTGCGCAGCTCGGCCTCAATTCTTCGGAGAGTGTGCCGGTCCTCGTAGGTGATCAAATTGATTGCAACTCCCAAATGACCAAATCGACCAGATCTGAATATGGGATGAATTGAAAATTCTTTAAAGCTAGAATGTCTATTGGAGCTTTACAACAAGCCAAGCCTGTTATTTGTATTTTTGTTAAAAAAGTTATTGTTATTTTTATTGTTACCTGTTATTTTTTAGTTATCTGTAGTTTAGTTTTGTTTGTTTTCATTTTTTATTTTATTCTTTAGAAAACGAGCTATCTAATTGTAGGTAGTTGACCTTTTTAGATTTTCATGATTTTACTCTAAACTGACCGTCCGATACGATGAAGATATGTCTCAGCATTTCGCGGGAAATCAAAGTTGATCACCACGTTGACGGCCTGAATGTCGATACCACGAGTGAGAAGGTCCGAGCACACGAGATTGCGACAATTTCCTTGACGAAAATCGTGGAATACACGATTACGATGGTTTTGGGCCATTCGTGAGTGAATGTAGTAGCATGAGTATCCAATCTCGGTAATCTTTTTGGCAAGCAGTTCAACACGTTGAGTCGAGTTGCAGAAAATGATTGATTGGTTGATTTGAAGCTAAATTAGGTACCCATTTAGGAATATTGTTTTTATCTAACAAACCTTTCTGAAAAGCGTGTTCAGACAATGAACTTTTTGCTTTTCTTGCACATAGGCATAATATTGAGTAACACCAAGAAGAGTGAGTTCCTCCATCAGATTGATCTCATAAGGTTTTCGCATGTGCTTGCTCATGAACTCGGTGACTGTGATTGGGAATGTTGCCGAATAGAGCATGATTTGAGGTTGCTTGGGCAGATAGGCAATCAAACGGTCAAGAACACCCTGAAATTGGAGGTTCATTCAAAATTCCTTTTGGTTATATAAGCATATAAGCAGACCAGCAACATATAAGCAGACTCTATACCACTGTCTGTTGAATTGTTTCACTAACCTGGAAATCTTGTGAAAGAAGCTTATCAGCTTCATCGAGCACCAGAGTCTTGCAGCTTGTCACATCAGCAACACCTTTCTCCATGAGATCGAGAATACGTCCAGGAGTAGCAATTACAAGATGAACAACTCCATTAAGACGCATAATATCATCACGAAGATCTGTACCTCCAGTTGTGACCATCACCTAAATTTTAGGAGTACTTTTAATTCTTGTATTTCTTTCTTTACCTTGAGTTTGATATGCTTGCTGAGCTCGACACAAATTTGCGATGTCTGAAGGGCTAATTCACGAGTGGGCACAATAATCAAAGTTTGGATTTTTTTCAAATTTGGGTCAATCTTCTCGATGACTGGAATGCAGTAAGCGCCTGTCTTTCCTGTTCCATTTTTTGCTCGCGCAAGAATGTCTTGACCTAAATTTAGTTTTTGCTTGCATGCTACTGGAAATTCTTTACTTACTTAAATGAGCGATTACAAGTCAACAAACCTGAGAGTGCAATTGCAATAGAAGCTTCTTGAATCGGTGAAGGCTTTTCCCATCCCTTCTCAAAGATACCCATAAGCAAATCTCGACTTAGGCAGAAATCCTCAAACTCGACTCCTTTTGTGTTTGTCACATCCTGAATTTTTTGTATTTTAAGAAGATTTTTGGGTTATAGTATTTTTGTCACATACAGCTGTTTTCACTCGATTGTCTTTTGGAGGAAGCTTCAGATTCGATTTCCACGATGCGTCATCATTGACGGGATTTTCGGTCGTTGTTGCGCTCATTGCGCCTTGTTGACTTGTTGTTTGCTGAAAATTGAAATTAGCTTATTACTGAAAGTGCGCAATTTGTTAAAAAAAACTGATATGAGAAAGAAACTGAAAATTTGGAGTATTCAAATCCCGTATACCAAATTAACATAACAACCATATGCTAATTTTCTATTACATCTGCATTATATGCCGATTGTAGCATTTTTAAGCAAGTATTTTTTTAAATTTCTTACTGCAAAACTACACATCCGCGCGCTCTAAATTGCACAAACATCGCGAGATATAGCTAACTCTGTCAAAGTTCTATAAAAGTATTAAACAATTTTTGAGCCTAAAAACTTTAGAAGAATTCAATAGAAATGATAAAGTAGAGAAGAAAATCGGATTTGCGCACTGCAAACTGGCTTCATAAGAGAGAAATGATGTGCACGTTTTCATACGATCGACGCGCCAATTCAAAAAGTTGCAAAACGTTATGCGTGCTAAAGATTTCGAGTTGTAACCTATTCATATCTTGATTCGTACTTTCTTTTTCGAAATAAGACAGAATTAAAATGTTTTTATTTAGAATATGAATGAAGTAATTCTTGAACGATCGCCCGATGGTGCAATCCGACTTCAGAATGAAGTAATGTTAGCTTTTCTTTGTTTTATTATTTCTTTTTAAAGGTACCAATCGAATCTTTGACAGAAGAAGAGAAATGGAGGCTGGAACATGTGAAAATGCACGAAAAGCATAAGGTTGGTTTATTTTGCTTTTCTTTCAAATGCTTTTTTAGGGTCACGATCAGATGCACATGGAAATGTTTTTGATACTCATCGTCACACTTGTTGTCGCTCAAGTTGCATTAGTTCAATGGAAAAGACGGCACTTTAAAAGCTATCAGGTATTATAAAATTTTCTAGACTTAATACATTATATACTAGTTTAAGTAGCGGTGAGCAAAAATAACTCATGTTTAGTTTTGCACATTACTTGGAATGTGGCTAGTTCCCGTATTTGTATGCACTCAACGAGGATGGTATCGATTTCTTGTCACTTGGTTTGTCTACACGCTATTCTCAACTTGGATATGGTTGAAATCAAACGAGGCGCAAATTTCTGGAAAGACTCCAAGGTATATTATTGTAATTTAGGTAAATCACAAGGTGTTTAATATAGATTGGTCTACAAATGGTTTTTGTTGTTGCACAAGTTGAGTTATGTTTTGGGAATCGCCGGCTACTTGGTGATGATGTTCACATTGATGGGACTGAATATTATTTTTGGATGGAAAGCTAATACATGTGAGGGTTTGCTTTCACAGTTCTACTGAGTAAGAATAGCTTCTTTGGCACGTAGTTTTCAAGAAAAACATTACAAACTTACTTTGTTTATATTTATATATTATTGTAAAAAAGATTGCAGATTATGATTTAGGTATGGATGCTGGAATTTTGCTACTATTCTACGGACTCTATTACGGCGTGTTGGGGCGCGATTTTGCACACATTTGTACGGATCGGATGGCATGCAAAATTGGGGTATACTTTTTAGTTTATCCCGTTTAAGTTAAACAGTACAGTTTCGACCCAACATTTCTATTGTATTTAGTATTACACGGAAAATGGTCTTCCCAAAAAAACATTGAACAACAATGTGTGTGCGGTTTGTGACAATTACCTCGAGAAAACGTCTAACGAAGATGACGAGGAAGAACAGGTAGCAGATTCACGAATTTTGCATCGGAGGCTAGGCGATTGTTGGAAAGTTACAGACGTGCCCCTATTCGTTGAGGAGTTGTGAATGTTTTCTTGTCTTTAGAGTGAATTGTTTGGCCTGTTTTATTTTGTATTTTTAGGAGAAAACGTATCGTCTATCATGTGGACACGAGTTTCACGAATTTTGCATCAGAGGCTGGGTGATTGTTGGAAAGTTACAGACGTGCCCCTATTGCAAAGAGAAAGTCGACCTTAAAAGAATGTTCAAAAATCCGTATGTTTTGTTTTTCAAACAACTTTTAAGCAAATTTTTAGTTGGGAAAAACCACATCTGTTTTATGGACAGCTTCTTGACTGGATTCGCTATTTGGTGGCATGGCAGCCATTAATTGTGACGTTTGTACAAGGGATCAATCATATTCTTGGGTTGGAATAGTCTTGCCGCACTTTTATTTATTGACGAATAAAATTTTTTATGCATGCAAAATTTATACTATTTATAAATAATAAATTGTTTTTCAAACGTTATTTTCTCTTAAAAGTGGAAATCTTAAATGTACCTTTTATATGGAATTGAAGACATGTTTTTGCATTTTACTGTTATACAGAGGGGTTGGGGACATTTTATACGTTGATATTTACCTTTTTTCATATTTAGATATCAACTTCAATGGCTGCTCCTGGAGAAAAGAAGTCTTTTGTAATTTGCAATTCTTTGAATGACTTGATTTAGATTGTATGGCCTGATAACGAAAAAGAATGCAGCATCGAGCGTCACGAAAGTGGCTTCTGTGTTCGCTAATTCAGACGATGAAGAAATGAAGGTAAATTGTCGCTGTGTATCTAATTCAATTACAAAAATCTATACTTTTACTTTTAGGTTGATGTTTCGAACAAGAATCAGTCAGCATCAAGCATCCGAGTGCAGAAAGGTACTAATCAGTTATTTATAATGTGATTTAAAAATTGATGAAATATTATTAAAATTTTTCATTCATCAATTAACTCAGAGGCTGAAAGAGCGCAACAGCTAGCGATGGCGCAAGATCCACTAATTTTTGACTACGATGCTAACTACGATATCATTCAACGTAAGAAAGATGAAAAGGTTTTTCAATTATGTTTACATTTTACTAAAACTGTTTTAGACAGCTGAAGACAAAGCCAAAGATCACCTACGTGAATCTAAATATGCTCCTACACTCATGAAGGTTAAACATTTTCTTGGTTGTTTATTAGTTTTACATTTTAGGCTCATAAAATCCGTGTTCTGGAAGAAAAAAGTCGAGAAGAAAGGCAACAGCAGCGCGAGCGTGTCAAAGTAGTTTTTCGAAAATCTTCTAACTGAAACCTCTATTTCAATATGAAATTATCGTAGCACGTTTAGGAGGATGGAGAATTTGCCGACAAAGAAGTCTTTGTGACTGGAGCGTATAGAAACCTGATGGAAGAAGTTCACAAACACAGGGAAGAAGAAGCTCTGAAAAACAGAATTGATGGTTATAATATTTTAATATAAAAAAATATTTGTTTTTAGATGCTACCTCAATCGAAAAACAAATGATTTGGCAAACTGGATTTTCGCGAAACCTGTTGGAAACGATTGCACGGAGGGATGATAACGAACCTTCACAGCAAGATAAAGCAAGTATTAGAATACTTTTTTATCAATTCTGCTTTTTAGGAAAAACAAAATGAAAAGGTGGAATTCAAAGCAAAGAAACCCAAGAATATTCGTCGACGAGGCGAAACATCAGACGATGAAGAAAACGATCAGAAGACACAGAAACAGTCGATTTATGATTCGGAGGAAGAAGAGAAATCCGTGGTGCATAAAAACTTTGAAGGAGAATTAAAAGCAGGACTCAACAAACCCGTAAATTATTAGGTAGTTGGTAGTATCTTTAAATGTGATTGTAGGCTGCACGTCCACAAGAAAGAGTCATGACTAAAGCTGAACGATTGAGGCGCCAATTCACACCAAGTGATGATGAAGAAGATAGTCGGCATGCAACCACTTCACGCGGAAGGTTGGTCATTCGTTTAAAGTTTAGACCCAAATATTTCAACGTTTAGCAGTGCTCCTTTAAAATTATTAATTGCAAAACTTTAGATTTGAAAAATAAGTACTATAAATACTCAAAGTTTTCGACTTCAGAGAAGCCAAAAATCGTGGACAACAAAGCCGAAGTCTAAGTCCGGAACACGCTGATCAAGAAACTACAAAAAAAGACAAAGTTACAAAGAAAAAACATTTACCCGCGGATAGCAAGGTAGCCTTTCATTTCTTTTTGCTTTTACTATTGCTAATTTAGGAAGCGAAGGCGCTAAGGCTCAAAAATATGAAAGCAATATTACAACAAAGAAATGGACCGACGGAAATTGAAGCAGCTCGACAACGTTTCATTGAAAGGCGTTCTTCTGGAATTGTGACAGCGCCTTTTTGACTCGATTCAATGTTGGAGAATAGTCAAATCAAATCACGCGTTTTATTGCCGATTATGTTTATTTGTTGTATTCAATAAATTATTTTCCCGTTAATAATTTATTCAAGCAAAGCAACCACCATTTACAATCAAAACCCTAATATGACAAATGGAAAAGAAAGCCCTCTGACAAAGAAAAAACGAAATCTAAAAGAATTATTAGTTTTATTATCACAGACAAAGATAATGAGCCAAAAATTTAATAAAAACCTAGAGCGTTGGTGCGTTATTTTGGTCGTTTTTTGCTGCCCATCGCATCAAGGAACAAACAAGCGAATACTATGAAGGTGGCGACCATCTAAAAAGAACACTAACACTTTTCAACACAAAGTAACATTTTACTTGTAAGCAATCCCTTTCATACCTGACGTTCTGATATCGGATGGCTAAAGAATATAACAGAGATGATGATCGTGAACAATTTCCGTGTCGTAGTGATGATTGAGCAAGTTAGTGGCGAGAATTCGTGCACGGTTTTGAATATGAAGTACTTAATTATCATAATCAGCGGCATAAGCCGTTTAATATTACCTGTCCAGCACAGCTTGAAATGGCGAAAATGCTCAATGACCACAAAATCTCCGGATACCGTTGGACAAAAGCAATGAACTCAAAAAGTTCTCCCGTAGCCACGAGTCTAAAATAAAAATTTAAATATAACCTTTGACCCGTAAAATTTTCCTTAAATTTACTATAAAAATACATTACCCAATTATCAAAAAGATTGATGCAAAGAAGTTCATATAAAACATCATGCTCAACGCAGTTCTCTTGTAATGAGTTTTAATCTGATCTTGAATCGAAGTTGTCGTTCCATCAAATGCCAACGAAAGAATCTAAAACAGTGATAAATGAAAGGATAGAAACGTTCCCTTACCAACAAAATTTCTCCCCATCCAATTCCGCCTTCAGCTTGTGCCGTTTTCTTGTCCTTGTACATGAATAGAGCCACACCGAAGACGATGAATAAAACTAAGATGTATTTCTTGAGTTCGTAGCGTTTCCCAGCAAAAAGAACACCAAAAACCATCACGGGAATAGGCTTACAGGATTTAGCCAGCACCTGTAATTAAATAAATTTATTATATACGATGTGCAATAAACCTGTGTCGGATAGGGAAGATATTGTAGAGCTTGGTTGCTGGAAAGCATTGCCAATAAATAACTCGCTGCACAACTAACTAAAAAAAGAAAAAAAATGGCTATACCACCAACACCTACCGTAGTAACGTTTTGGAACATTATCATGTCCTCCATCACCCATAAAGAAGTAGGCAAAGATCGAGCTGGCGGCACAAACGAAGAACACAAGCGCTTGTGTGTAGGTGAACTTATCGTTTCCATCATACTTCCCTTGCACTCTAAAAAAATATTAGATTAGTGGTAGCTAGATAGGTAAATCAATTCATTCTTAACCATTTAGCTGTCTTATAATTTATCGTTTGAGTGCTTTTGAAAAACCTGTTTTACAAGCAACATATGTTTTTCGAATTGTAGATGTTTTTGAATAGATAAATTGAGAATACATTTTTATTCATGATTGGCGCGAAAATAGAAATATCTATTCTAGCTACTTTCAATGCTTAATTCTTTGTTGTTCCAAAATTCAGTTGTTTAATTTAATCTTAAAAGTTTCAAAACTCCTTTCAAACTCAAATTTGAGAAAGGTAACTTGAAAGAAACTTGCATTTTTTCCTGATAGACTCCGAAAGCAAAAAAGAAGCCCAAAATCCCAGCAGCGCAAATGATGAGGTGTAAGGCATTGTTGACGAAACTTCGCTGATCATGAGGATCGATTTTCGCTTTGTGTTTTGCTGTCACATCTTCAGCCTCCGGCCTAGTCATGCCTAAATTTAAAAAAAGTTACTAGTTAATATAGTATATTAAGCAAAAGAATTTTTGGAAAGAAAGAAAGAAAATCGTCCCTCTAAGATATGTTATGTCGAGTATAGTTTGGAGAATTGCCAACATACGACAAACTACGGAACTGATATAAAATGGCCTCATGGATTGGCAATTATAGATGTGCACTCTGGATAGAACAGATATCAGTTTACCAACAAGGCGTCAAAAAATTGAATCTGCTGCTTTATTTTAAGTCTTTCGCGATCTTCTCTTTTTTCATTTCATAGACTTTAGCGATTTATGGGCGCGAGCTGCTTATAAAAAAGATGACAACGGAAACTGGGAAAACAAAAACGATGATGGTACAGGTACGTCGAAATCAAATGATGAAAACGGTTTTTAATTCTAGTCTAATCTAGTCAGTTGGATGCTAAATTTTAGTAATTACAATCAGAAAAGAGAAAATGAAGAGTGCTGGGGGTGTCCCCCCGTTTCAACACTTTTTTTTGTTGAAGTAGATAAATCAAAGTATAGAGTGCAATGTCAAACTTAACACATTCGTGACGATACGGCCCACCGGTGGACCGTACGTAGATTTAGCACTTTTTTGAGGCCGATTGGGCCGAAAATTTGGACCAGGGGCTTTTCGGGGTCAATGAATTCGAATCCGTACTTGGTTTTTAAAGAAAGCTGCTCTATTTTTCGATATTTCATTCGGTTTAATTACCCAGGTGCGACCCCACATTCAGGGCCGTGTGCCAGAAGACGTGCGATTACAAAAACGTGAAAATTTTCATGTTTATGTAATCGTGCGGTTTCTGAAAAACCACCTATAGGCATAAAGGAAAAAATCCAAATTTGGTTTTCCTCTTTTTTACCAATTTGGTTAATTATCCAAGTTTTTAGATAGTTTTGTGGTGACCGTATTGGCTCGGTTTCAAGTTGCTCAAAAACTAATAATGGACTCAGATTCTCTATCCCAGAATGCCCCCGTTTACAAATTTTCAGGCCTACAACTAACATAGATAGCTGTCGTCCGAAACGGCAGCCAAGCCAAAAATGACTTTGTCATGGATGTGTTAATACTAGGCATAAAAATCATAGCTATTACGATATCAGGTGATGGATGCCAATCGACGTTTGATTTTCTCCGCATTGGATGAGATAGAAGGACAGAAGACACTTGTCTGGAGAAATCGTGAAATGATGCGACATGTGAATTTGGTAAGCATTAATGTGAAAAAAGAGATACGGAAAAAGTCAAATAGTAATCATCATAAATTCAGTTTGCTGGAGCGGCTCTTTTGAAAGAGCACGAAGTGACGGAAATGTTCGCCTTTTATCAACCAGGTGAAGCAGCGACAAGACATGTCATTTATCTTCTGCCACCCACTGTCGCTGCTGTTGAAGAACTTATCGAATACATGATGAAAATCAAAAATGAAGTAATAATGGACTCAATTTTGCGATCATTCCTTTTTTAGAACAGCCTTAATTATGTCTATTTCATTCCCGATGATTGGTTTGTTGCTCGAGAACGTTTGAAAGAATGTGCATCGGTTAGAGTGAAACAGTTGAGAATAAAAAGAAAAACTAATTCCAGATTTATTCGAAAATCGAATGGGTTCGAGCTCTTCCCTTATCTTGGTTGTCCTCACCAATCGATGTCATCACTTTGAATTTACCCGATTTACACAGTCGACTTTTGTTGAACGGAGATTGGACTTATTTGCACAAGTTTGTAACCGTAAAATTCTGTGATCTGCATGACGAATTTCAGATGTGCTCGATCATTGGAGCAATTGAGCAGTTGGTGCGGACATCCAGTTCCAATTTATGCAAAGGGCAAATGGGCTGAACAGATCTTGAACATGTTTGGCAAAATAAGAAGTCAGGTAACAATGGTCTGAAAAATTTTTGGCTCTCTGAAAAAATTCTTTATTAAAATTGTTTGAAAGGATTAAACATTGCACAAACTAAAATTGAGATCATTTTTTAAGCAAGAGAATGTGGCACCGCCAAGTGTATCAACTCTATCAGTTGGAAAAATCATAATGGTTGATCGTTGGATGGATCCAGTCACTCCACTTCTTACTCAACTCACCTATTCAGGGCTTCTTGCTGAGGTTTATGATTATCAACTCAATGGAAAAATTATTGTAAGTTAAAAAAGATATTCAATAATAAGTCTTATTTTATCGATTGTAGGTACCAGAAGCTGATTTTGAGGGCAAAGAAACCAATGGAGATAGTGGCAGCAAAGAAGTGAGAAAATCTTCAAAGATTTCCAAATCAAAATTTTAGATTCCACTACCCGATGAGGTTTTTGATCGAGTGAAACACGCTCATTTCAACGCGTTTTCCAATGAGATATCTCCAGTTCTGAAAGAAATTCGAGAAGATGAAAGTGTATGGAACTTAAAAAAAATATTGAGTAAAAAATCGTTTAGCATGATCGGGATAAAATGTCAGTGGCAGAAATCAAACAACTCGTGAAAAAGCTGCCCGCCATAACATATAGGTAAAGGAAAATACAAAAAGTTATTCAAAAATATTTCTTGCAGGAAGAAATTAGCAAGTCAACATATGAGATTGGCTGAAATGCTTGAAGGCCCTTTCTATGACAGATTTGTGGACACATTCTTAGTTGAGAAAGGTACATTTAAAGTTCATTCAATAAAATAAAAAAATTCAACTAATTTAGATATAATGTTGAGTGATGGTGAAAAAGGTGACAAAGTAAACAGCCATATCGAGGATGCAATCATTGAAGATCGACCATTAAATGAAGTGCTCAGGTGATTCATTTCTTCTAAAGTTCAAAGAACCTCAACCAAAATATTTTCATCGTTCAAGAATTCCAGATTGATAGCCTTGCAATCATTATGTTCTGGTGGTCTAAAATCAGGCGTTTTGCAAGTGTACGATCGCCTTATTTTACATGTAAGCTTACTCGCAACTTTCATAAACACTCACTCATCATTTAGACATATGGCGTTGTGGGAATGGATAAGATGCTGAAAATGAGAAAGGTCCACAAATAAAACAAAAAAGCAAATGGTGAAATGTATTTTTAGATTGGAATGGTAAAAGAAAGAGGAGCGACAAGAATGCAATGCCATGATTACGGCGTTCCTCAGTGGACAAGTCTCAAAAAGTCACAGAGACTTCTCGTTGATGAAGATGATGAACTTGTAAGTGTTAGCAGAACGAATATGCTCTTCTTTAATGTTCTTCAAAAAACGCTTTTAGTCAATGACCGATCTCTCAGCACCATATTCGGGCTATGTCCCATTGCTCGTTCGCTCAATTGAAGAGGGTGCAGCGGTGAATTTTGCTGGCTGGCAATCGATTATCGACGAAGAAAAACGAGTGTCTTCACATGGAGCAATTGTGAGTTTGCGAATTGATTCTCAACTTTTTAAAAATAATTTAAAATAGTTTTAACAAAAAAACTCGAATTTTCAGGTAATTGTTATTGGTGGAATAACAGCCGGAGAAGCGGCTTGTCTCAAACGAATGCCTTTTGTGAGTCTCATTGCATCAAGTGATATCACTAATGGAAATCGTTTTCTTGATTTTATTACAAATATTGTCGATTAGGGAGAAATGCTTGCAATGGTGCTTTAATGTTTATTGTGTCTTACAATTCGTTTCTTGCCAGTTGGCATAAAATTATAAAATAACCATCACCGTGATTGATCGAACTGTGATTGATTTTCTCCAAATTGGTTCACTTTCTATTGGCATTTCAAGTTGTACTACTTAATAAACGTTTTCCATTTAAGAAGATAACCTTCAAATTACTGTAGTCGAATTTTTCAACGCTGCTCCACTTATCACAAGGCGTGAGGTAGAATGAACTGGTACATATGCAAATTTTGCGTTACCGTTACATATTGTACTTTTGAGCTCCGTGTATTATAACGCTTATCAATAGCTCTTATGAAGCTAACTTCTGGAGATCAAAGAGTGTTGAAAGCGAAAAAAAAAAGGTTTTAGCTGTCCAACATCGTTATTCTGAACAAACCATGTTTATTTTTTTGTTGAAATCGAAAACATGGCTATCACTAGAGTTATAAATGGGTAGAATCAGATGAAACACTGAACTTAACTATGCCTTGAATCTTAACTATGCAAATTAAAGATAGTAGTTTAAAAAGTGTTGTCTCCAAAATTAGGTAACTTATTATTTGATAGTCATATTCGATTCTTTCTTTCACAATTTAGCAAGTGTGGTTTGTGTGAAAGCTATGTGAACATTATAATGATTATTGTTCGTTGGATTATCCCCATTGAGTTTTTTTTTTCGTTTTATTTCCTTTTATGTGAACTTCATTCTCCAGCTTAGATTTATGCAATTGAAAATCCCACCAAAATCGGTCAACAGTGGAAAAACCCGTAGCACCATCTTTGAAATAAAAAAAATAATGGAAGTAAAAGAAATTCTAAATACAACTAACCCAAGTGAAATCATTTCTCAATCACCGAGCTCTTTTTTAGAGAATCACTCAAAAGTGGGTCATTTCTGGGCTATTTTCGTAAGAGCTCCTGATTGATGAAAAATATATGTAGAGATCTAAAAAAGTGTTTTTGCAACTGCAACAAAAAAACAGCATATTGACAACCAGTAAATAAGGAACCGGAGAAAAAAAAACCATGTGAAAATGTTTAAGGGAAGATAAATGGGTTGACTGGGGGATTGGGTCTATTTGGGTTGTGTGAGTTGTCTTTCAAGTTCTTCAAGAGTCATCGCTCGACCTCCCGAAGCTGGCACCTGAAATTTTTACTATAAAAAACTTGTTTGCGCTCACTATCCAGAAAAAAGTTACCGATTTCAATCAGAATTCTTAAAAATTCGAACTGTAACTTTTGTGACTGTTCTTGAAATTGGTTTAGGTATATTTCTAACGAAAACTTATTATGGTAATCTAGTCAGTTTTATTAATGCGACCTTGTTGACTTGATTCGTCGGATGAATGCCTGCATTGGCCAGCAGTCTCTCCAGATGACTGGGCGCATTTTGTGGAGGAGCAAAGTTCTCATTTGATCGTGATTGGTGTTGATTCTGAACTCACAAGTAATGAATGATAAAAATTATTGACAAGCCTTGAATAATTTCAATCGAAAAACTTACGACCATCGACGAAATTTCCGGGTTGCGTTGCTGCTGCTGTTGTTGCTGCAATTGTTGTTGAGCCAAAAGCTGTCTTGCTTGCATCATCAACATTGCCTGTGTTTGCTGCTGTTGTTGTTGCTGAGCTTGAGCTAAATGCATATTTTGTCATTGGTCAGGACTGTTTGTGTACACAGAGTGAATGTGAAATATGATTATATTTGAACAACGCACTCACCAATCATCATATGATGTTGCATAACAGCATATTGTCCAAGTTGTTGTTGATAAGTGGGTAGTTGTTGCATGGTATTCGGTTGAAAGTGTGATTGTGCTGGAGTGGCTGTTTGGTATGTTGACATTGCATAACCACCACCCATTGACCCAAGAACTGTTTGATAGCTACCTTGCATGTCCATTTTCAAACCCGGCAACACTTGTGGCTTCTCTGAAATCTGTTATTTTAGTGTGAGATTCTTGGCGTTTAGTTAATTGTTCTAAATGTATTGCCTGGATTCTCAAAATTTCGTTCATTTCCTTCGGGGTGGCTGACAATCATTTGATTTTTCTCTTCTTGTTCATTACTTTTCATATGTCGTGCCACAGAAGCCGGAATCAGTGTTGTTGCCTAAAATACTCGTTCAATTCAAAGTTTTGTATCAAAAGTTATGTGAGATTTTGTGTGCTTTATTGAAAATTGTATTCAAACCTGTGATTCGTGGTTTTGCTCCGTTTGTCTCTCAATCATTTTCGATTCAGGATAAGTGTTTGAAGATTCTGGTGGGCGTTGATGGTACGAGTGCGAATTTTGCGCCTCCTCATAGCGGTAGAAAATATTCGGCATCATCACTCGAAGAATTGAGGCTTGTCGAATTTGATCAACTAAAAAATAACACAGTAAAAGTTGACTAGATTTAGCTTTAATTTACCCACCAATTTCCGGGGGTGGTACACAACCTCGACTATTTGCTGCTTCAACCAATGCTGTCTGATAGATATGTTGCATGAGATAGCGTTTCTCAACAGGGATATGCTCCCATTCAAGACCGGGTAATTGATTCACTTTCACTGGACCTAAATTAGCATTTTTTTGCAGGTATGTTTTCTTTTTATAGATATATTTAGAGTGTATTCCTCGTGATTAATGCGCTTCAAAAACCGTAATTATTTAAATTTTTTTATACGCAAATTTCTTTCGCAAGATAGCATACCAACACACAGTACTCAACCTAATAATTGACCTTTAATCGATTAAAAATTTGTTTATACAAATTTATGCAATTAATTATTTAATCAGGAGGAGCACACTCTAGATATAGTTATGCTAAGACAAACCGGTGAGGATCTCGGGAGGGATCACATTTGGTGGAGTCATTCTTGATCCACGATCTTGATGAGGAGATCCACTAGGTTGATTATCTTCACCCCAAACATTCTGACTATCTAACGAGAGATGTCTCACTTTCTCAGCCCACGAATCCTGAAAGTTTATCCTTAATCATTTCCATTTTATTCCTCTTTTACCTCTCCACCACTTGGTCTTGTAATCGACTTTTCAGCATTACCCGAATGGAGTTTTCTTTCAAGATCGGAAACCTTGATTCCCTGTCCTTCATTTAATTGTGGTCTTGCAAAAACCTTAACATTTTTCTATTTTGATCTTAACATTTATTACAAACCTCATTTGATCCCGATGGTTTGTTACCGAAGAGTTCTTTGAGAATTGATTTTTCTTGTCCATCTTGTTGTTGTTTTGTTCCTTGAGAGTCGTTTCCCGAATAATCGCCCAGCATCTTTTGTGCTTCTTTCTGACCGATATCTTGATTTGATTCATTTGGTGTAGAAACGTTTGGTTTTTTGAAGAAACGGCTCAATCGACTTCCAGAAGTTGCATTCGATTCACTCTATATATAATTATTAGTGGAAATATTGTAATGAATTACTGACCTGTGCTGAGATATCGGTTTTCTGTGGAGCTATTTCATCACATAGCCCTAAAATGGCAGCAAATTCCGCGTCTGTTTCAGGTAATGCCAATTGTTCTCCACTTTTCTGTCCATCAAGCTCCGTTTTCACAGAAAGTGGAGCTGGCATCTCTTGTTTGGGAATTTTTCCTGAAATTGTTTAATTTTGAAATTTTCTCTTTTTTGAAACTAAATCTCTAATGAATATTGAAAGACAAACTTTTTGTGGCACTATCTTCAAATCCTTTCAATTCGATAACATCATCCATTGTTGAAGGTCCATCTTCAACCCATTCAGGCAATCTTTCATCTCCACCCACATTATTTCCTCGACTGCAAAACATTTCATTTAAAATTATAGATTAATTATTACAAGTCTTTGTGTCTTCCAAACGCTGGTCGAAAATCTTTCTGTGTCGAATTTGAGTTTTTCCAAGAAGAGCTTGTTTGATTTGCATTCGTCTTCAGTTTATCCGAGGCTTTTTGCTAAATAATTGCGTCTAGCAATGTAAACTATCGAATAAGTATTAGAATGGTTTGTGAATATCTTACAAATGGCAATTTGAAGTCTTGTTTTCCTTTTTCGTCCGAATCCCTCCAACTTCTTCCACGTGTCAATTTCCAATCATCCCCTTCACCTTTATCTAAACTCTTTTTCCATTTTCTTTATTTTTTAAAAGATTCACTCTTCTTCTTGTCATCAGCTCCTTTTCGATCCTCATTCCAACGAGTTTTCCCATCATTTGGTGTCCAAGAGTTCCCAGTTTTTGTTCGATTTCCATCAGAATTTACTCGATCCGATTTTTCATCAGGCGGACAACATCCACCAGAGAAACCTCTTCGCTGTGGTGAAAGAATGGCACCATCTAAAGCAAACAGTCATTCATTTTTGTTGTCTTTTAAAGTCTTAAACTTTTGCTAAAAGTTTGAATTGTTACTTGTTACTTCTAATCTTCAAAACGTACCCTCATAACTCGTTTCCGCTTTCAAAGTGTCCCCAATTTTCTTTGCGCTTTTATTTTCGTTGTCCTGCTGATCCCATAAATGTTGCATCCATTTTGCTGGTGAGAATTTCCCGTCATCTCTGAAAAGTAGTCAATATAGTCGCAAAGTAAAATCTTTAAATAACGCTCAAATAAGCCTCTCTTTTTTTCGCCTTACCCATTAAATTCCTCCGCAAAATGTAAAGGACGAGTGACCGAAAGTTCGACTTTTGATAAACGAATCATTTCATCGCGATCATAGACAAAACAATTTTCGGGATTCCTTTCGATGTAATTTCTTTCCAATAGCGAAGTCACCAATGGGTGCATATTATCCGGAATAAATTGAGATGATCCCTCTCCATTATCGCTGTTTTCGCCGCTTGATTGCATGCTAAAAATTTCGATTTTAAACAGTTAAAACGATGAAGAAATTTGTTTACTAATGATGTTTTTTAAAAAGAAAAAGAAAGCAATAATCAGATGATCGAGATGAAGGAAAACAAATGATATGGTGACAATTATTCCACCCACCAGATATGTGAATATTCACTTGATAACCCGTTGGCTTTTTAAGAGATAATTTCGGGGCATTGTATAGTTTGGCAAAGAAATGACAATTAATTTCCAAAAATGAAAGCACCAAGAAAGTCTCATCGATTTTTTTGAAGAAAAAACCTTGCTGATGAAGGCTTTAGCATGTAGATCGTTTTGTTTCATAAAATCAAGAGAACTTTTCCCTGTCATTGTAAACTATTGAGGTATTGCCGTTTTAAGAGAAGAAAAACTTTAAAATCGAATGTCGATAGAAAAAGGGAAAAAACTGAAAAGTTTTTTTGAAGAGAGCACCGATTCAATTATGTAGCTAGAGATGATGGCGCTTTGCCAAAAACGAGAGCAGTACCCCGAAAGTTCTTTGTGAGATTTTTAAAAAGAGAAAGATGATAATTCCATTTCAATGGTTAATGAAAGGAACGAATTGTAATTGAATTGATAGCAAACAAAAAAGTAATTGCACATGGGTTCATAAAAAGTCTTCATGAGAGTAATTGTAGCCCTTCTGTCAAAGGTTCTATGTAACTTTGTGGAATTGTAAATTGAAAGACAAAATTTATTATTGAAACGGGAAATAAACACAATTTTATAGTTTATTTAGATTTGGTGAGGGTTTCAAATCCTGGAGTTGATGCTGAAACTCCTGCCAAAACACCTAAAATGAAGATCAACTTTTTTAATAAAGAAAAAAACCTTTAGAGTTTCAAAATTTCGTACTCCTGGGTACTGTGAAGCTATGATAGTAGATGGGGTATGTCATATTTAATGCCATACATAACCATTCCAAATGTTTACGAATAGTTTAAGGATAAGCTATTGTTAGACATAAAAGAAACAATAACTCCCCCAGTTTCTCTTTCTTTTTGATTCTTCTACATATAACAGTTTCTAACTGACTTGAATCTTTTTATCAATCTCATTTTTCATCTTCAACATCGTTGTGAGTTCATCGAGATATTCAAGGAATTTCGACGAATTTTGAAAGCATGGATGTTTGTCGTCAAACGGAAGCTTCATGATCTGAACAAATTATGCGTAAATAAAATTATGATCAAAATCAAAATGTTACTTGGTCAAATTGTTGGATCGCATCAAAGGCTTCAAAATATTCTCCTTTTATCATCGTTATTTCATCTTTCAGCATGGACACCTTTGCATTGATCTCCTGGCAAACTTGATATTGCTTCTAAATTTTCACATTTTCAGCAAATATTTTAATCATCATTACATCATAATTGGCTATTTTCTCTGTTCGATGTCCTTTATCGACATGTCCATCCATTGCGCAATTCGCACAATATGCTCGCAGAAGCAACTAAATTATTGAAAATGTTTGGTTGATTAAAGGAAAAAAACTTTAATTGCAGGGTGTCTCAAAAAAAACCGGAATTTAAATCGAAGTTTCGAAAAAGTTAAAGAGTTCTGGATTTTGGACACCCTGTAATTTCATTTTTTTAAAATACCTCTTCGAAGTTGCTTTCATTAATTTCAACTCCCAAATTGATGAGACAAGTCGTGCAAATTCTCATTCGATCTCTTGTTTCTTCACTCACACAACTGCTACAAACATCCTTCTCAGAGTTGAATGTTTCTGAAAGTTCAAGACCTTTTCAAAGAAAAAGACTACTACTTACTTGCGAATGAATTTGGTGTTGTGATTTGCACTCGTTTATTTGACAATTCTTCTTCAAAACTGATTGGACTAAAAAATGGGATGAATGTGGTGTGAATGGGGTGGAATACCTTGAAAAGGAGGTCGATGATCCGCCATCAAATAAATCAAGTACGGAAATTGAACCCTAAATAATCATTTTCATTTGCTTTCTAGCTAAAATTTAAAGTTTATTGTGAAAGAATCGTACTTCATGAAAAGTGTTGAAATGTCGATATCTATCTAAATTCAGTTTTCTGCAAAAGTCTAAAACATTTGGAAATAACCTATTGAATCGTTGATCTGACACGATGATGAGGCTCTTTCATCTAATTGGTTATATCTAAAAAATCAGATTGATAGTGATTCAAATTTTTCGAGATACTGTCGAAATAATGGCTCGATTTCTACAAGATACAAGGGAAGTGGATGTAATTTATATGAAAGCGATGCATCGGTTTGAACTGCCTTCTCCAGCTAAAATTTACTGATAAAAGATGTGCGGCTAATACAAGAAACTTCCAGTCGTCCTTTTAATCGATTTATTTCTAATCGAATCCTTTCCAGAACCTGAATTCATTCAATTACAGTACTCCGCTTAATTTTTAACTTTACTTGTTTATCTTTTCGCTCAAATCCGCATTTTCTCGTAATGATTGCAGCGATTTCACCACAAATCTGTCATTTAATGAATAATTGCTGCCAATTTTTGGTGTTAAACCTGTAGACGACTTGGTGCAGCATTTGTTTGTGGTGATCTTAAAGGGAAATAACCATCGAAACGAGCGGCCAATTCAGTAAAAAGAACGAGTAACTGGGTAATTCTCTTTCAATTATAAAGGATTTCTTTTAACGCTACCTCTTCTGGAGAAAAATTGGTGGCTTTTGGGAGTTGGCGCATTCGTTTTCGTTTATCCACAGAAGATTTTGGGCTCATATTTGAAAAATTTTGCTTCTGAAAATTGAAGAATGATGAGGAATAATGTGCAAAAAGCAAAAGTAATGGAAGAAATAAAAAGAACGCTGAGGAAAAATCGATTAGGGGAATGGGAAGCGGGAAAGGGAAAAGGAGAGAAAAAGAAGGACGGGAATTGGGAAAAGAAGATGAGGGAAAGGGAAAAGGAAGCGTAAAAGGGAAAGAGAAGGGAAGGAGAGGCAGGGAATGCAAAGCATTCGATTTGGTTCGACTTCCACCGGTGACAATATTTTTCAAAAATTTTTTGCTAAGATTCTGAAAATGCGTGTCTAGGGGTTATTTTTGACGCTGATCACGAAACACATGTTTTTAGCCTAGGTTTCTGCACGGAAAACTAACGAAACGTGAAAACAGCCATTTTTTGGCTCTGCCGCCCTTTACTAAAATAGCTGTAAAAACTTTTAGAAAAGAGATATCTCAAAACGGTTTTTACCAATCGATCCGTCTTGAATTCAGCTTTAGGATCAGCTATAAAACGTCAAAATTCGACAAATTTAAGGTACTCTCCCAAAAAATCCGAAAGGACTTTTCCACCAACCCAATAAACTACTAATGAGATCTTGATGAATCGGTTTACTCTCATGGTTAGTTTTCTGACTCTTTTTCTCATTCCATAATCTCATACCTTTTGTAGATCAATTAAATCAAAAGTTTTATTAGAAACTTATAAACAAAAAGAAAACTAGAATTCTGAACGATTTAAAAACGACTCAAAACAATTGACTAGGTGATAGTCATTGGGTATTGGAATTGTTTGAGAGGGGAAAAGAGGTGACAGAAGAAGAACTCATCAGAAGTCGATCACACAATTCAAAAAAGAATTCAACAATGCTAAATTTTATTAGAAAAGGTTTAGAAAAATTCTGAAGAAAAGGCTAAAAATAAGAATTTTCATGAGGATTGTGACTGTGGAAGGGATTGCATCTGATGAAATTGTGAGGTGAGTTGACGCTGTTTCTCGGCGAGTTCACGTTGACGTTCATCCAATGTTTTTGGTGTTCTCTCATTCGCTTGGGCTGAAATTATTTTGCGTCTGATTTCGACTTATTGAAGAAGCTTTTTTGTTATTTTTCAGAATGAATTCAGATTGCTTACAATCAAGAGAAGGTGAAGATCGTTTCGCATCTTCGATTAGACTTCGAATTTGCTCAGGTAACTCGGGTGGTTGCTTGAATTTCGAGCGCACATCGCTCACTGAGGTACGTGATGGAGGGCGAGGGGGTTGACCGGTTGGCACAGCCTGGAATGAACTCTTTTCACCCGTTCTTATACAGAACATACTTGGATGGAAGGATGCATCAAAGAAGAAACAGCTGGCGGATGAGGAACAGACGGAATACTGAAAAGAAAATAAGAAGAATAAAAAGAAAATGAACCTCTGCACTTCATCGAGAACCGAATCTAAAGTGCTTGTTTGCGGTGTCTCTTGTCGCGAATAGTTGTTCGGTGATGGGGGAACCTGAGAAAGTCACTTGTGGATAGGGATAAAATGAGAAACGAACAGGTGGTGGGGGAATTTGTTCGGTTGATGGAGGAGGTGGAGGAGGTGGTAGATGAGATGACAGAGGAATTGGTGGAGGCAATGTTAACGAGACATTCGTGTTCTGAAAAGTGAGCTCATTTTTTGGAATTAATGATGGATAAACTTTTGAGTTTCTTTGTGCATGATGTCCTCGGCCAAGTGATGGATCTTGTACCATGGCCAATTTTTTCATTGTCACCATGATATTTGCGAGAGCTTTGCATCTAAGACAGGCTTGTCAATTTTTTTTGCTTTCTTTATCTTACGATAATAGAAGTAAAGTGTTGAAAATCAGGACTTATAGCAAACCTTCGAAGACTTTGATCAACGGCTTGTGTCTCTTCTCGAATATATTTTTCATCTCTTACAACTCTTTCCATATCTTGTTTTATTCGGGTCTCAATTTTCGATTGCAAAGACGGGAAATCCGCTGAAATCGATGAATCAATCAAATGCTATCGAAAACTAATCCTCACTTTTAATTGATGCAGCCGTTCTTCCAATTTGTGTGAGTTGTTCTGTTAATTGTTCCACTTCACTCATCTTCAATTTTCGATTTGCACTCAACACCGAGGTTCTCAATGATTCCACGTTTTTTTCAAAGGTCCTAAATTGCAATAATTCCAAAAAATTTTCTTTGCAACAAACGCCAAAGTATCAATCAAAGCTCTTGTCCTTGTTTCATGTTCATCTCTCATTCGACCTTCTTCAAAATCATCCTAAAATCATTAAAATGAAAATATTCTTTAACTATGTAAACCTTGGCCTGAATTTGGGGTGTTTGTGATCGACGTATTACTGGATGAGTTGAGCCAGCAATTTGTTGGGAGATCATTCGGGTGATTTCTAGACTCGCCTCTTGTAACATATTTTGTGCTTCTTGTGCGTTCGCCTCAAATTTCCGGTTAACTTTGGACCGAAAGCAAAAATGAATACTTGTGCTGTAGAACGAAGTTGGCGACAATCAGTGCCAGTTGCGTGTATCCGTTCTCGAAGAGTGACAAGATCTCGTCGATTTGAAGGACTCGTTGAAAGCTCGGATGCCGGAGCGGGACTCTGAAGCCCGCTTTTTTTGTTAATCACTCCTCTTTGTAAGAGGCAAACAGTGCGACTCTGTTTGTGTGTCCGAGCCGTTCCTGTCCGAGCCGTTTCTCGCCAACGGTAGTTCGGATCGGGTTCGAAGTTTGACATCAAACAGTCAAACTTTTTATTATCTTTAAGATAGCCCATTTGTATTTTTGATCTCTTCAGCTATTTTTCTTAAAAATGCAAATTGTGACTTTTTTGGGGTACTTTTTCTTTAAGACCCTGTATTTCAGTCCAGAGGTGAGATAAAGGGTAACTTTTTGGCTCAAAAGATTAAAAAGCACAGAGTCTCGAGATTAAAAATATAATATAAGTTTTTGAATTTCAAAAACAAATACCAATCCGAGTCCAGGTTCGGATTGATACGAAGCAGGCGTGCCCTATGTTGGCTTTGTTTTATGGTTAAGAGATTCGAGACTGGTAGACAGGATTGATACAAAACCGCTGGTTACCATAATTTGATCTGTTTGAATAATTAATTTTGTTTTACTTCATTTGGAAGTCTGTCAGGATCGGGATGCAAGGCAAGGATTTGTCTCCTCAAGTCGGCCATATCCCTTTGGGCCGATTCTGGCATCCCTCTTAAATGAAATAGTATAAAATAATTTGCATCAATAAATACTTGCTAACAAGGGCCGTATGAACGAGTGAAGAAAGACCAGCTAATTGCCTTTCCATTGTTTCCATTCGATCACTGAAATAATTATTCATAAGTGGTCAAGAAACGTTAATACACAACCGTGCTTCTTTGTCAATGATTGGCGTGGCTGAACCGCTTCGAGTGACACTATTTGCCCGACTATCAGAAGCATCCGATGAATAGGAATCATAGTATGGATCCCTTGCACGAGCCATTGCTGAAGCTGGGCGGGCAAGAGAGACAAAACGATGACTGCAGATAAATGAATTGATTGGAGGAAATGTTTGCACTCACCGATTAGCATCATCAACTTCGGCTTCTGAATGATAATCAGGATGATCAAGATGGCGTACAGGAGATGCGACCCCATTTGCGCGCTGTTCTCTCAATCGCAATACAGTCTTGTGACGGACTTCCCTGAAAGCAATAATGAACGATCCATAATATTTCCTGTAATAGCTTTCTTTCAATCGTCTCTTTAAGTACTTTTTGTGATTTTCAAAAATAAGCTAATTTTTTTTCTTACAGCTTTAGAAATGTTTTGACGGAAAGAGTGTAAACAAATTTGAATTCCCTATTGAAAGAGACCATTTCATTGGCTTTCGGTACAAAGAACATTGCACAGCTGATCGCCCATTTCGCCCATTTCTTTTCTGATTTTTCGCTCAACTCACCTCAAATCATCCAATTCATAGAATAAGCCCTTCACTGGATCTTGAATATAGATCTTCACGAATGGTTGCTCAATATAACCCCTGAAATAGTAGACTTTCCCCGAGCAATTTGAACCAAAAACCTCGTGATATGTGGAAACACTCGAACAAAAGCCATTTTAATTTGTTCCATCGCATCGATTCTTGGTGGCAAAACAACTCTTTTCACCTGAAACAAGCAATAATTTTTTTAGGCTGTTCTTCAAACAATTGTTCATTTTCTAGGATTTCCTTTAGAAATTCTAGAAAAGACACATTTTCCTTACCTCATCGTTTGCCTGAAGAAAAATGACATTCATATCATGTTCCCAATCACGCTTTGAAGATTGTGGTTCAGCAGAGAGACGGCCAGATTGGGGAGTTGGAGTGGCTCTGAATCGAGTTTCCTTTAATATTTAGTGGTATACTTGCTATTATCATAGCAACATTGCCCATTTCATGCTTAAAGAACAAAGCTTAAAAAAGCATTCGTGCGCACACCTGGGAATTTGTAGACTTCGATTCATATCTGGATGTTCGGGTAAAGGACTCGGCTGAGATTGAATTAAACCGATAGGCTAAAAAAATAAAATGTTTTCAAGTTAAAGAAATATTTTCAAAGACTTGATTATGATTGTTGATTTGCTGTCTTCTTTTTTCATTCAATTCAATATGATCTGCTTGTTCGCGAAGATTTTGGAGGACCGTTGAGGCTCTGAAAGTTTCCGTCAAACTTTTTTTTGGTTATTTGATTGATGCCCTTAAAGAACTAATTCTTCAGAGTTTGTTAGGACTTTGGAATTTACGCAATCGATTTAGTTTTCTATAAAGTTTGCTTTCCGAATGAAGAATGAAGTCGAAAATGTCTCAAGTTGTACAGGTGTGAATCATTTTGTGTTTGTGTCTTAACTTCAAAGAAGTCTATTGTCCACAAATATTTTACACTTTTTTTCATTTCTATGAGAAACGGGTGAGAATTAAGAATTAAGAATTTCTTGAATCTCTTGTTCTTTGTAATTTTTTTTTGTATAAAAACCTGGTTGTATCGCGAGAATACCGTGGTTGTTCATCAACTTCAGCGTGTGCAATCGGAGCTATTGTCACTCTGAATTTTCTTATTTTTACCAACAGCGACAACTCACTTCACATCATCCGCATACTTCCATTCATTTGCCCTTTGATCTTTTTTGGAAACACCTAAATTGACTTGTTAATGTCAATCAAATGATAAGCACAGGATAAAAGAAAGCTTGCTTTAAAGCACCTCGATCAAATTCGAACTCTTGAATGGTGCCTAGTTGGTGCACAGAATTGATGGGATATCCAGTGGGTGGTGAATAGCCTGGATAAGGTTTTGGGGGACTTGATCCATGAAGTGGAGAACCAATAACAGGAGGTCCATTCACACTTTGGATTGGACTTCTCTGATAATCGACGGGAGGACCATTTGTCCAAACTTCTTGCACAGAAGCTTTTTCGTCAAAACGAACTCGTGGACTTTTCTGATCATTTGGCTGATTTTGTATCGTTGGTGGAATTGAGTTCTCCTGAATCGTCACCGCCATCGATTCTTTTGGCTCTGGCGTTTTTCGGCCAAGACCCAGACGGAGTTTCCAGTTGAATAAGCGTGACATTTTGAAAAATTAAAAAAAGACAAGCACTAGCTAGTGAATTAGCTAATATATGGGAGTGATTGGTGAGGTAGAAAGAGGAGATCAGTGTGAGCACGAGATCGAGTGTGAGAGATCGGAGAATTGGAAGAAAGAAAGAGGAAAGAAGGAGATTCGTTCAGACCCGACAAGATCCCTCTCACTCTCAGGTCAGCCCGCAACTTCAATAGGCACATTACTACGGCTCACGGTAAAGAAGAAAAAGAAAGCACGAAAAGCTGTTGAGAAGAAAAAGGAAAGGAAAGAGAAAAGGGGAGTTGGGCGGAGTCCAAAAGACAATTCTTGTACGTACTCACACACCCGATTGCACTGCTATGTTCTCCCCTCGATTAGTGTCGATCTTGAGATATTTTTGGGCTCTCTAGTTTAAGGAACAACGAGAAGATAGATATGCTCGATTATAGGCAACCATTTCAATGAGAGAACAAGCTACAAGAGAACAGGAACAAGCAAGACTAACCCCAATAACACCATACTACAGGGTGATCCAAAAGTTCCCGTACAACTTTTTATTAAAACTTGATTTTAAAATGACTGAGGAAAGTTACTCAGCTGCACTTTTTAAAATGAAAACCTTAATAAAATTATACTTAAAACCACTAATAAGGAGCCCAAAGCTCATCATAGCTTTTGATATGGTTGTCCCTTTGAGCGGCGCACAAGTGGTCGACTTTCCTCAGGCAAAATCAAAGTTTTAGTAAAAAGTTGTACGGGAACTTTCGGATTACCCTGTACATATTAGGGTCAAACAAGATAGAATCTCTCTATGCTGATATTCATTTCTTTTACCTTCATGCATAAGATGTTGTATCCAATTGTCAAGTCTTCGTAATCCGCCTCCGCTATTTCGTCTCTCACAAACATCCCTTCCATTTGGCGGTCCATTATCGCGTTCAACAGTTTCTAAAGAATTAAAAATGATGTGTTTTGTACAATATAGGTATAACACTTATACATAATATAAATTATCTTGATAAGTTTTTCTAGCCAAAGAATTACTCTATCCTTTGTCCATTTGAATGGTTAGGGATTAGATATCCCAAAAAATAAAGATAAGTGTTTTTAAAAAAACTTCAATAAAATTTTACCATGCCAAGAAACTCTTCTTAATCCACCCGGTGCCATCTTAATCTTTCAATAGAATTCAATCTAATTAGTAGGAAAGTTTTCGATCAACAATCAATAGCCATTTATTGATAGAGATTAAGAGGAGATTAAATAGTGAGTAGTATAATAATCGAAATTGGCGGCGGTGCCAAATAATTTTGAGTTTTGAGTGGCAATTTCTCTCTATTTCGGTATCAATTTGTGAAATGAGAGAAATGGAGAGTTATTCTTTGCATGTATCACCCCTTTCCTTCCCATTCCCGCCATCCCTTTAAAAAGCTTCCGTTTTCTTTCAAATCCCGCACAAAAATGCGCACAGATAGACATGTTCATCAATACAAATTACAGAGTGCAACAAAAAAATAAAGCACTGACCGTTTTTCGAAAAATATTCATTTCTTTCTCGTCGTGTAAGTCGAAACGAAGCATACGCCCGAGAGTCCATGTTTTTATCAAAACTATCCCCAGAAGCTGAGGAAGAAGAAAAGGGTGGAAAGGAAAAAAGTCTTTTGGAAGGGATTTGCCTTCTGCAGCAGCTTCGAATTCAAGGCAACCACGTGCAAACAGAGTGAGACAGTGTCCCCACCCATCCCCTCCCTCCCCTCTCATCCCCTTTCCACTCTTCTTTATTCCTACGCTCATTCACCCCTTTTCCCATCTGGCTGACTCACCCTTTGAATTACTCTTCTATCAGTGTTAGACAGTTTTTAAAAGAGAAATTTTTCTTTTCCCTTACGAAAAGCACAGATTTTAGAAAATATACCATAGGCCGAGTTCCGACGCCTTGTAATCACAATATCGGGAACGGTGCTGTGTCTCGGACTTCTAAAAAAGTTCAAAAAATACATCAGCACAATGTGCGACTGCTTTTTCTTTACCTGAGTGCTGAAGAGGGTCGCTTATGTAAAGGAGGTGGAGGTGGAGGTGAATGAGCACCCCGTCCCCCTCCAACAACATTCGATGATGAATGACGATTCCCCAGCTCGGCGAGAAATGGCAATACTTGTCTTCTAGAATCGAGTTTATAATAAGAAAGTTTAGGAAGCATGACAGTAGTCACTGTAACATGAGCTGTGGACCAGAACCGAAAAAACAGAACGTTTTACAAGACTGATTATTGTTAGAAGCTCGACGATAATCCGGCTCTAGTAAGTGAAGATATTTTGCGGTAATCAGTGAGATTACTAGAAACTTAAAACTGATTGGAAGTAAATGTATCAAAATATAAAAGGAGATCAGAATGAATGAAAAGAAGAATGACTGAAGCGGAAAAACCTTGAGGGCAGAGGTGGCGGAGAATCGGAGAGATCGCGACGACCACGGTGACGCGCGCTCGACAAGCAGCCGATGAGCATGTGGAGGAGACAAGAGATTAGCCCGGGTTGGCTTGTCCACCAGAAGAAAGAAAGGAAGGACGGAAGAAGATGGGGTGGAGGGGAAGGGGACTGTGCCCCTCTCTTCATCCAAGGGTCCGGTCGAGCAGTGGTGGAGAGCTCGTCACGGATGAGAGTCCCCATCCACCAATCCATCCATCCATTCTCTACCCCTTCCCCCGCCACCGAAAGCTCTTCTCGATCCTCCTTCTATCCCATCCACCACATCCATCCCATCATCACCATCTTTCCCTTCCCTTTTCTTTACCTTCTAGATTCAACACTCCCCCGCCACTCTATTTCACTTTATCATTCTTGAATCTGTGCTTGAAGTGCGCTTTTTTTTGCTTTTATGTATTATGAATTTATTTGCTATTAAAGCTTTATTACTTGCACGCAAATAATGTAGGCTTAGAAAAATCAAGAAGAGGGAAAAGGCGGAAGGAAAAGGAGGGAAGGGAGGGGTTGTCAGAAAAAAAATAGAGAAGAAGAAATAGAGAGAGAGAAAAGGGAAGGGGATACGAGGCACAAAAATACGTAATGTTTATTTCTTTTTCACCAAAAATCAACAACTTTTTTGGAGATTTTCTGAAAACGTTGCTATTTCATTCAATTGTGTTAATTTCAGGTGTTGAGTTCTAGATAAGAGCTAGCAATGAGAAAAAGAGGAAATCAGCATGACAGCCATTGAAAAGGAAAACTGTAAATCGAAAACCGTGTTTAGTTCAAAATAAATCTAGCAAAGTAAAGTTCTAAACTTGAGAAACTTGTGCGAAGAAAACGTTGCAAAGAAACTTTCGTTTATCATAGAATTTTTAATTTCAAGTTTAGAAAGAAAACCAATAAAATGGAATTTGGTACTGAAAGCAATTCTAAGGCCCGAAGAACTATTCTCTTTTTTTCATCTTTAATGAGAAAAAAAATTGGGAATTCGCGTGGCAAGGATGAAGAATCAAAGAAAATATAAAAATAACAACAAAAATATAGAAAAAGCGAAAAAATAGAAAGAAACGCATAATGATTGCACATTTGATCGATCATTTGTTGCACAAAGAGGAGAGAAAAGATCAGAACTTTTATATACAAACAAAAAGAATAAGCATAAATGCTAAATTAAAAAGAAAATAATGTTGAGAAACCCCTCAAAATGGTTGTACTCAAGAAAATGAAGAAAATCTCGCTTAAAATTGCGAATAAGGTTGAGTTCTGAAAATTTACTTTGAAAAGTATCACTATAAGGATTTTTGCAGGAATAAACAATTGATCAAAGAGATAGATCTAAGAAATGGGAAATAAATCTAAAGAGACGGCGTGCGAGAAATAAAATGCTTGTTGTAACGAAGAAGGACATCTCTCTCAAAACGTTCATTCTCCAATGGAAGGCCAGCTGCATCAAAACTTACCCCAGCCACCGGGATATCCATTCCGTTTCCACTGAAATATTAGGCTGTTCAGAAAGTCTTTTCGTTCCTTTTCGTAAATATAAACTATAGGTTAATTGGTGTATATCTGTTATTTTTCAAGGGAAATACGAAAAGGAACAAAACGACTTTCCGGACAGTCTAATATTTTCTATCTTTATTTTTGAAGAGATTATTTACCTGAAAATTCTCTCGGGGGTGAGTGTGAAGGCAAGAGTTGAGAGTTGTGTAGTGGCGACATCGGCAAGAGGAGCTGCATGCGGTGCATTTGATGCCCAAAAAGCGAGTGGGGGAAGGTGTCGACCGGAAAATGGCCGCCCACCGAGACTTCCACTCTCATTTTGCACCTGTTTTTTTCGTTGTTTTAATATTTTTCATTTTTGCGACAAACTGGTGAAAGAATCTCATCGAAATATGCATTGACAAGCGCTTCGGCAAAACGATTCTTTATTGGTGGCTTCATGTCTTGTGTTCGCTTTTGTTGAGCAACCTATAAAGCATTTCTTCTACTTTTACTTTTTACTTTTTACTAACTTGTAGAAGATCCGGATAAAGAGAAGCCGAACTGTTCATTCCATTCATTATTTGATCGCCAATCTCTGCTAAAAGTGATTGTGTTTTTGCTTTGTTTTTCATCTGAATAGTTTACCATCAACACTTTGTTTTCTTTCAAGGACAGATGCGAGTAGAGCATCCACACCCAATGGTGCTTTTTGTCTTCTCCCATTCGCTTCTTCATGTTGTCTCATCTTTTCTTGTACCTGAAATGGTAAAGTTTTTTAAAACAATGAAAACTTGTACATTTGATTGGTAGGTGAACAAAACTAACCGCCTTTTCGATAGCCTCTTTTGCATAAGCAATTTGAATATCATCCAGCAGAAGAGCTAATTGGGGATTGAGAGCTGTAGCTTGAAGAAAAGATCCATCGAAATTCGGATGTTGTGGATCAAGTACAACTGATGCTCCATCTTTCAATGCTTTTGACAACTCGACGGCCAGATCACCGAGAATTCCCATATCCTATAAATTAGGGAATTTTGGCTACATTTTGGGTAAACAGGTCAAACTTTATCAAGAGTGAGTGCAAGTTGCATCACCGAGGGAACAACTCCATCAATGGTGGCAATTTGTCCATTTGGTGCTCCATCAAGTCGAGCACTCAGTTGATTGTACAATGAAACCAATGTTTCCAATTCTTGCCTTAAATTTCGAGATGCTAAAACCTCCAGATTTTCAACTTGCCATTGTTGCTCAGTGAGTTGATCTGTGCAATCTTCTTCCTGTCTCATTATTGTGATCATTTCTTTCTTCAATCGAATCACAATATCAGCAAGGACAGGGAAAGGATCGGAAAGTGTTAATGAAAGTGGTTCTTCTAAAAACAATTCCAAGTTTAGCAGCGCTTTGACAGTTTTCACCAGTCATTTTTTGAAGTGTTTGGAAGAGATGTGGTCGACTGATGAATGAGTAAAGCATTCCATAAAATGAGCATCGCAATGCCTCGATTCTTGGTGATGCTTCAATGATGGCTAAAGGATTTCTCCACTCTTTTTCACTTCTTCAATTCTTAATACAAACCAGCCAAATGATGCATCAATTTGGGTAGTAGTGGCTGAGTTTCTTTGCCTTGCAAAGGAAACTCGATACCATCGGGAATCGAGATCAAAATCCGACCAACTCTTTCCATTGGCACTTCATATTCATCAATCACCTTAATCTTCGACTTTAATCTTTTTTCTTTGTAACTTTACCTGTTTGATTGTGTCTCGGATCGACACCGAATACTTATCGCCCATAAATATAGAACGAACAGCCAAAAGTGCCCAATCGAGTTTATTCGTGGGAACGGCCAGATAAGCAGCCGCAACGCAAACTCGCATACATTCATCCTGAAATTCGTTTTTCTGTTTTTTTGTTAAATTTTATTCTTTTCTTTACCTCTCCATTTCGTGATGGTGTCTTGATGATATCAACGAGAATCGTGATTCGACGAGCCAATCCCAAATGTGTCTTTAGTGTAGTTGATACTTTCGACCATTCGCTTGAGATCATCTAAATTTAGAATTTACTTTAAAAATTTTATCTTAACAAATCCGAAGCATTGTGTTCATTGATTCAAAATTTTTCAGTACAATAGTAACTGAAAGGCTGGTAATAACTAGGGAAAGTCGCCAACTTAAGGTGGGATTTCAAAGCGGGACCTAGCCTATCTTGCTCAGTTTTTCACGGAGATTTCAAATCTGCTTTTAGTTTTACCCGAACGGCTCTGTTTTGCGAGATATAGTACTAGTTTTTAGTTTTTAGAAACATACTAGTTTTTAGCATATCCTTTTTGCTGGTTCAAATGCAAAAAATTTTTGTCAACGGATGGATCGAACCCAGACCAAAATCTTTGTGACCGAGAGCACTACCTCTCGCCCACCGGGGCTCATGGGACAAAGGGAAGAAACCCAAAGAGTTATGTCAAAAAATCTCACGATCCAGAGCCATTCGGGTAAAAGTAAAAGCATATTTGAAATCTCCGTGAAAAACTGTGCAAGATAGGCTAGGTCTCGTTTTGAAATCCGACCTTATGTTGGCGACCTTCCCTAATAAGCCATGAAAAAAGAACGAATCGCGGATTATCCGTCTTTTCTTTCATTGAAAGAGAACAAACAAAAAAATGATCAGATATCAAACCTTTTCGATTATAAGCGGATCGTCGGGAATGTTGAATTTTGGTTGAGAAAGCTCCATGAAATCTCTGAAAACAATACTGTTGAAAGACTTCTTTGACTGAAGTTTCACCTGAAAAAGGTGTTATTCACAATTTTCGACTCAATATGACTGGCAGAAAGCATCAAAGCAAGACGTGTCTGTAAACCAACATTTTTCTCAGAATATTCCTTTTTGTTACCTCCAATTCTTTTTGTTTCCGCTCCTCTTTTCTCCATTTCTTGTTTGTGAGCAGATTACCATTATTCGAAACCACCATATTATTGAGTACTAAATTGTTTTTTTGTATAAAGATCAAAAGCAATCTCAACCATTTTGCTGTTGTTGCAAGAACTGTTGTGCAAAATTGAGATTGTTTGTAGAAGTTGGAATTGCAGCTGGATTCAATAAAAATGGGAAGCCTGAGGAAGGATTTATAAAAGTATAGAATTAACGGACAACCTGGTGGTGGTAGTGCTGGATGAAGAAGGCCAAGTCCTCCCATTCCTCCCATCCCTCCCATTAGACTTTGTGGTCCAATATTGGCTACTTGTGCTTGAGCTTGAGCGGCGGCTGCTGCTTGTCGATTCAATGCATCAACAATGTTGCTAAATGTACTTTGTTCAATTTCTTATCTCAAAATCTTACCTTATATTTTTGTTGGCTTGAGTGTTCTTTTCTTTTGGCTTCCTTTCTTCCATTTTCAAAGCGCCATTGCCTAAAATACTTTATAAAAATTGGGTGTTTTGTTAGATATGAACCTGCACTACCACCAGATGAAGTAGCACTTGAGGCTGATGAAGATGGTGATGGAGGTAGTTGGCCGTTTGTTCGATCTCTTGGGTAATCCATCTAAATTTGATTTGATTGAATAATTTGAACAATTGTTACTTGAGGCCGAATAGATGGCTGTGGTCGAGTTGAAGTGTAATCCACTTTGAGTTTCTGAAATTCCGAATACTCAAGCGGGTGTTTTTTGAGATGACAAGCAAGAGTTGATGTGTGTGGACCTTTCAATTGATAGGTACAATCACCGACGATACATCTAAATAAGTAATACTCTCATTCTCATCAAATATGCTAATGAAAACTAACCTCGAGAGATTCTCAGCTTTGTTGTAGACAAAGTATTTCCATACGGGCGTTTGCTTATTTGTGCCTCCACTTCGAATCGCTGCCGCCGGATTTCGGTGCCAGCTCCAATCATCTGAAACTCATTTTGGACTCATTTTTATAAGCTTACAAATATTGTACTCACTTTGGGCGAACAATTGCGCAACAGGAGATTGTGCGACCACTTTGGACCCTGGAAGCCCTGAGCCCACCGATGGAGGAGGGGAACTTCTAGAAACATTTCTTTTTATTTTATGGAATGATAAGATACCTTCTGGGAGAAGAGAGGCCATCAAGAGGAGCTGGAGAAACACCGGAAAGAGAACCACACCGAGATGCTGATGCACATCTCATATTCCCATCTTCCATCTAGAATCATTTTCAAATTACAAAAGGCGCTCATAAAGAAATTACTTTAAAATTGCTGGCCAACAAGTTTTTCGAGATGAATTCCATCAAATTCCCCGTATTTATCGACGTTTCCTCCTCTGGCCAAGAGGCACCCTGAAAAGAACTTTTTAAAAAGCCGTTAGCTTAAATTGTGTAGGTGGAAAATGGTTCAGATATGAGAGGGCAAAGCACAGCACAAAAATGTTAGGCAACACACATGTGATTGGAGATGAGTTGAGTCGATGACTGGTAGATGATCTTCATCGATATTTTGTTCATCACCACTTTCTTCCTCATCTTCATCCAGAGCCGGATTTGAGCTCCGTGCCGATGATGGGGCTCCCGGGCTTTCTTCACCAACGACTGCCGATTCTTCGGTCTCATTGCTTTCTTCAACAACCACCACCTGAGCACCCAGTTTTTATAAAAATGTTACACAAGTTAATAGTTGTTATTGATTATTTTTGCTAATCGATTTTAGCATTTCTGGCGTCATTTTTACGCATCAAGCAAACCACAAATGGCCAAAAAGCAAATATTAATATGTAAAATATTTTAGAAATTTGAGTACTCAATAATATAGTTAGTTTGAAACATTCAAGAAATTTTTTGTTTTTCTCAAAAAATGGCTCACTTTTTATGGGTAATTGGTTGCTGGATTGGGTAGTGAGAAAGAAAGCAAAAAAATTAGAGAAAGTGAATAAAAAAAAGAGAAGGAGGGATACTGTAAGACAAATCATTCTTATTGCAAAGCCAAATTTAGATCTTAACATCTATTGTAAAGAGGATTGCTAATGAGACTTTCTTTTATAACTGTTAATCAAAGAAATTTGAAATGTAGTCAAGTTGAAACTTACAAGACAATCAAAAGATCAAACAAATTCGCAAAGGTAGCAAACTCATCCACAAAATAAAAAAAACAACAAAACCTGTGTGGGGAGACTCATCTTGAAGCGCTTAGCATCAGGAGGTCCCGTTGGGGCAGCCGCCAATGACATCCCCACGATCTTCACTCAAAACAGTTACTTCAGTTGATTCGCTGAAATATAGGAATAATTTGATGAAGAAAAGAATGTCTATTAAGTGAAAGAAGAAAAGAAGAAAAAGGACCAAAGAGATTCAAGAATTGAGAGCAACACTAACTGAGCACGAACCCGCCAACCAGTCAAGGTGTATCGAGGAGAGAAGGAGGATGAAAAGTGAACGATGAAAGAAAAAAAGAGAAAAAGAGATTCAAGAGAAGACTCTCCTGTGGATGAAACGGTTATTTACTCACGCGGCCGGCTGTATCCTCGTGCGTTGAGCTTCACCCGAATCCCCGGGATGGGCACCCCTTCCCCTCCCCTTCACCCGATCATTCAATGGGCATCACAGGCTTTTTGGGGGGGAAGAAGGGAAGGGTTGTGCTCTGGATGTCGTGTGCCTCGCCTTTCTCGCACGAACCCAAACACTGCCACGTAAGGTATCGAAATGGGCAAATAATCGCGCTGCAGCCATAGCCCCAAAGGAAGACCGGCCGATCGGATACAACCATCACCCCTCCCCCCTTTCCCATCCACGAGTGGACCCATATTCGGTCCGCAAAAGGGTTCGGTATTTCTATCTATCGATATTTCGAAGCTAAACTATAGTGAAACCTCGTTAGTAAACTTTTGCTAAAGGGTTCACAAAGCCGTTTTACAATGGAGTTTGTTTTTTTCTTTGCTAGTTTGCTAATAGGGTTTTGTTGTATTTTACTGGTTTAGGTCAATTGAAAAGAGTGAAGAAGATTCAGAAACATTGAGTGAATCTATACAAAGAAACAAAAGCTACATATTAAGACCTATTGCTTATTGCTTTATTGCTTCATAGCGTAACAAATGAAAAACAAAATTATTTTTGGAGTTGTTGTCAATAAATGCGAGAAGGACCCACCCATCAAAATTTGGGCCGTCGAGAGTAATCGGTGAGATTGGGAAGATTGGGAAGATTGGGGATCATCTTCGGATAAGGCCCACCTCATGTCTTCGGATTTCACTCATTTTGGCCCCCAAAAATTCTTTCATTATAAACTTTTCGGCAATGAATTCAATAACCTGAGAACCCCTTTAGTAAACCGAAAATGTAATGTTCATGTTTTATCGCCATTCTTTTGAAGGATTTCAAGATCTAATGAAAAGAAAGGAACGACTTTCTGCTTCGAAGCCGATTAAAGTTTGAAAGTTAAAATTGCGCAAGTTATGCACAGGGTTAAGTTGAAAACAAGAAAGAAAATCAAAATAAGGAAACACCAAAATTCTATGAAAACGGTACAAAGAGGCAAAACTTGAGTAAAAAAAAAGTGGGATCGAAAATCCGTGAATTTCTCTTTTTGAGACACATAGAAAGACTCAGCCCGCTTTCCAAGGCGGATCATCTCACGGATTGCCCATTTCTTTTCAATTTTCATTAGCGCTCCCCATTACCCGACAAAAATCTCAAATTTTGGAAAGTGCTCGATTTTTTCAAATTAGACTTGAGAAAACAAGGGGAATTTCTGAAGAAAACAAAAGTAATTTTGAAAAGAGAAAAGTAAATTTCAGTGTTGATTTTATACGATAAGTTGAAAAAAAGGAATGGACTGGTTCTCCCATGGGGATGATCATTTGAATAAGGATAAGTTGTAAAGAGTGAAATGTGGATGAGTGAGTGAATGCAATGTTGATGTTAAATGAAGCCTCGACATCATTCAGAAGACATTATCTGTTCACCAATCGCACCCATGTCAAACCAAACCCCCTTCCCTTCTTTTCTCACATTTTCATCCAAAAAAAATAAAAAACAACTGTATCTAACAACATTTTAGATTTTTTTAGTACAGAGAAAATTCCCAGAGAACACAGCGACTACAATTGAAAATGGGCAAGCTGAATGGATTAAAAGGTGAACAATTGTTGTAGCAACTTGTCAGCTTAAGGATATTTCTTTGGTTGATCTCCAGTGGCGCAATCTTCCATAGTCGGCCACCCAGAGAACCAAATGAGGTGCGCAAACACTCAACCAATCCCCATTCTCCCTATTTCTCCTCCCTTTTTACCCCCCTTTTTCGAACTGTGCCCCCACTCCCGGACTTTTCTTAGCTATGAGGGAAAACTCGAACAATCTCACCCTTTCTTTCTTGGGAAACCGCACAAATAAGGATGAGGGACCCGTTTTCTGTCTTCTATGTAAAGAAAGAGAAAATATATCCAAACACAGCCTACTTTCGTTTACCGTCTGAAATGGTCAACTTAATCGAAATACTTAGAAAATCCGAATATGCTTGGTGAAGATCTTTCAAGAATTGCAGAAACGCCCTAGGCCAAATTTCTACCGTACTCACAAAGGAAAAGAGTGATGGGTGAGAGAAGAAAAGAGATGAAAATGGAGGCCGATTCCACATAGTCAGTTATTGCCTTACTTACATTCGCATCGAGAACTCAAATTGCCAACACTCAGCCTTGAACCACTGTGCACATCCACTTCCTCCACTCCGAACTCATCTCTTCTATTGACAATATGAAACCGATATCTCTACTTATTTTTAGAATTGGACATCTGAAAAATAAGGATAACTGGTACAAATTACTCACTCGTTTAATGTTTACGATAATTATTCTACTTTTAACTTGCATAGAGGTATTTTCATGAAATATTGAGTTAACAAATCAGAAGTACACTCAATCGAAATGAAAAATAAAAAGCTTGATGTTCAACGCTTGGTTGGGAGTTAAAAATAGCATAAACTTGGTAGAGGCTGAAAATCTGGATGACTATTATTACAAGGGTGGACTGAGGGATAAAGCCTAGGTGTGAAGAGGTTGCGCAAGGAGAGAGGGTGGTGCGAGCCCTGGGGTGGAGTGCTTGAGGACGGGGGCACTCAAAGACCCGCAGACAGGTTAGCCTCCCCCCGCCCATTCCCCATCCCCCAGGGGGAGATCTCAGGTGGATTGGGGAGACCTGGAGCACCTCTCGAGCCTCATCCACTGACAATGCGACGAGCGCTCGTCCCGCCAAACGCGGGTGGACACACTGACCGCCTCACCCCAACACCCATCCATTCCCTTCCCTCCCTTCTCACTCACTTCTCCTCTTCTTATCCCTTTCAAATCTTTGACAAAGAGACAATCATTGACTGCTCTGCATAACCCTCAATCAACAATCGGCGAATAGCACCCCTTTTCGGACCACCCGCATTTGACAACCGGCACTCAAGAACTTTCAGTCTTTCTTTGAACTCAATTCATCCAATCATCTCATTCTTTGCTGGTCTTTTGTAATAAATCTCTTCAATTGAAAAACAAAATTGCTCTAAAAACCCTAAAGTAAAGCCGAGTTTAGGCAAACTTGTCGAAAATTGCCTCTCCTTAGGGAAAAGTCGGCGGTTTTGGGTAACAGGCCAAAAAAGGGTTGAGATTTTACTCAATTTACACTCTTCTCTCCTTGTTACGAGAAATATAGCCGATTGAAAAAAGAAAGTGTGATAAAATTATGGAAATATATTGTATTGATTTGGTCAAAAATGGAAGTTTTGATGGGAAAAGAGCGGCTTTGGAAGAGCGTGACTTTCACAGCAAGCATAATGAATTCATGCGACGATCGAAAAGAACGGTGGTGATTCCAAATCAACCGACACACATCGGACCACATCGATAGTGGGAACACCTATGTTCTTAAAATAAATCCAGAATTGATTTTTTATGTTTAAATGTTTAAGTCTAGCAAACTTTCTTCTATCACCCTGATGCACGCATCTTTTAATGTTAACCCTCGAGCTAACGTTCAGAATTTGTACTGATAGTTCTGGAACACCTTCCAATATCATATTTGAGTCTTCCTGCCAGACTAGATCTTAAACTTGAAACAGTAATGTAAAATGAGTGGCTCTTTCAAACTCTAAAGTATTGACAATCAATCGCGTTTGGAAGGAGAAGAGGTGAGAGAGGAAGCAGAGTACCGCATAAAGGCTGATGCGAGCTGCGTGCTGAATACGGAATACCCATAAAATGAAAGTGGGCACGATGGATCGTCGATGACAGGCAAGGAGAGGATGGGAAGATCGAGGAGATGGCGATGGGGGAGGGGTGACCGGGGAAGCGGGTGAAAGAAAGGGGTGAGACAAGCCCCCACTCCCCCCTCCCCCGGGTACGGTAGGTGAAACGGGCCGCGTGGCACCCAACACTTTTGTTTTCTTCATCACCACTGTCCTATCTTGCGCTTCAATAATACAGAAATCTCTTTCATAACCCTCAAAAAAGAAAGAGAAAACAGTCCATATTGAGTTATTTGGGGAGTAGGGGGACTCTCTTGTCCATTTTTGTTTATAATATCGAGATGAGACTTTGAATGAAGCGCGCGCGCCAAGACATATGTTCCGATAGAATGAAATACATCCAACGGAAAAATAGACAATTGAGAGTTCTAAGAAAAGTAAAAAGAAAATTCCGAGCCCAATTCGCAAATCGTGGAGAAATCTTGGAGCAAAAAACTAAAAAACATCATCCAGTCAACACCCAGAAAAATCCAAAAAAGCGGCGCCCTTTTGAAAATGGGAAATGAAGACTCTAAAGAAATCAAAATAAATATGAAGATCAAATCTTTATGATGACACATTTTGTATCAAAGAGATCATTCATGCTCATTTTATAAATAACGATCAGTTAATAAGGATTTATATGGAGAAAAGGGAAATGGAAAGACGGGATTCTGGTTTTGACATTCCATTTATGAGTTAGGTTTCCAAAAGTATTGAGGTAACTTTATTCAAACAAAGAGACACTTTAGAAATTTGCCCGAATCCAAAAGAAGAGTTTCGTCAAGACAGAAAATGTTGATTTAGCGAACATTACGGTAAGAGTTAAGGTTAATGAGGCGATGCAAATAGATGTTTAATTGAAAAAAGAGAAAGAAAGCCCAATACAAACATTGACACTTTCACGGATCATCCAATTGCCTTTCCCAATCAATTCACCTTTCTCTCCATTCTCTCCCTTAATACAGT